TCTTGAAAAAAACACTGCATGACATGAGAGAGTTATCTAATTTTATTGACTTCATCTCACAATCTGAAACTTTTTTTGAGCATATCAGTATGTGCCAGAATGAGACTGTGAAGAATTGAAAGACTGAATTCAACATGATTAAGACATCAGTAAGTGTTAGTGAAGATGCTGATCAGTTCATGATTGTGTTGAATCTTTGATATAAATATACAGAGATCTTTTGTGAACACTATAAAGTTTTATTGAAAGTGCTTAATCTTCTCAACAGCATACATGCAATTAAAGATCTGTCAAAAGAGTTGAGTGCATTGAAAAGTAAATGCAGATCTTGATTTTCTGCTGCTTCCATCAATCAGATCTCTATTGCAGTTATTTCTGCAAAGATGCTAACATTTTCTGTCTGAGTTGATATTCTAAAAGACTCTGTGCTCTGAATCAATCTTTTCTTTCAGAATTCAGTTGTGCTTGTCACTGCATTGATCTGTTCACTGATTTTCTGTCAAAGAATTCATATTAACATGGCAGAGTTTGTTGACAAGTCAACTAAACTCTGACAGTTCATCAGCTGAAGTAGCTCAATACAATGCTTCTCTGAGAACTTTGCTAGATATTTCAATGAAGATCTAATATTTCTATCAGACACTGTTAGTTTTAAATGTGACCATCTCAGCTGTACATGTCAGCAGAAAATATCTCTCTTGCATATTAACTGAATTCTGTTTGTTAATCAAGATTAAAGAACTGATGCTCACTGACAAGAAGACATTCTTTTTTATATTCAGTATGCATTTAATCAGTGTATTCTGCTTCTCTTCTATCTGAGTGTCAGAGACAGAGTGTCTTTCATGTTTGAGAAGAAATTGATTTTACTGAATGAATCTGATAAGCAGCTTGTGCAAGAGTCAAACATTGTAGTCTGTTTGAATATCACAATCAACTATGACTTCAATGAAATGTCAAGTCATTATAAAATACAGAGGCACTTCATTCAATGGCTCTTCAATGCTACAAGAAATGTATTTCATTCAATTCAACACTTAATACCACTCTGCAGCAAGTTGAAGCTTGCTCACTATGACAGAGATAGATTACAGAACATGTTCAGTGACAGTAACTTCATTAAATAAATTATATCTCTTTCATTTCAGTTATTCATTGATGGGTTTGAACTATATTGGAACATGTATAAGAGTCTTATCAGATTTTACTTAATATCAGTGGAACTCTGTGCAGCAGAGTGAAGAAGACAGAACAATGTGTATATCATTACATTTAACTCTCATGTCATCAACTTTTCTGATGTGATTGATGTGCTAGATCTGAAATTCTGAGCACTGAAGAAAGACTTTAATGTTCATGTGACTGATGAAGAAATGATGTGAGTAGTTGTGCTCTGCCTCATGTTTTTAGAAGACATGTTACAGTAGAATGACAATGCAGAACTCAAAAGACTGACTACTGTGTGCTTCTATTGAAGCTGTGATGTTACAGAGATGCAATGATTCAACATACTTTATAATATAGTCTTCAATGGCTGTTATCATCATCAACTACTACATCTTCAGGCTGATATTGATTCAAAACAAACTGCAAAAGCAAGAGATAAATTGCAACAGAATCATGATCTGACTAGAAAACTGAGTCTTTTGTTTAAGCTAACATCATGTCTCAATCTAGTGATCTTCTTCTCATCTGATCTGTGTCACAGTGAGCTTTCTGAAATATCAAAGATGACACACATGCTCTTGGTCAATAATATTCTGACAGCTGAAGATTAAAAGAAATACTGTCTGACTCTACAAAAGTTCTCATTTCAATGAAATTCTGGTCAACTACAGTCTTCAATCATCCACTTGAAATTCTATCAGTTGCAGAAACATGCACACACAGTCATTGTGATCTCTATCATTCTACACTATGTCATACAGTCTTACTGAATTCAAACTGTAGTTCAGCAAGCACTTTTCAATTTATTCAAAAATGACACTGCTGATTTTATTAATATGTCAGATATTCTACTCATCTGAATCTTTGTGATCATTGCTCACACAAACTCAATACTAGTATCACAGAGATATGTGGACTCTGACAAGATACATGTATTGATGATGAAAAGCTGCATGATGTTATAGATGATCATTAATGTGATTACAATAATGACAGAGCTGCTTCAGTCAGTTAATAGAGCAGTTTTAATTCTAAGATTCTGACAGACTTCATCAGCCAGCACTTATTTCTTTAGAAAAGACTTAAATGAGTGAATCTCTGCTGCTACATCAAAGAGAGAAAGTGCAACATGATGATTGAAGAATTAATTCAACATGCACATTGAACTACACTATGCTGATCAGACATGAGAGTATGAAGTTGTCAACAATGTGAATGTTTTGATGAGAGAGAATAAACACTGTGAGTACAAGAGTCTGATTTAAAAAACAAACAAACAGAGTGTAGAAAAGATTCTACTTATATAAGAGAGCTTCAGACAGACTCTCTTCTTAATTCTGCATGATGCTTTTACTGAAATAAAACTCACAGTCATCATCTGCATACAACAGATTAAATCTGAATGCTCAATCTTGATCAAAAACATGTTATGCACTCAGTCAGATGATTTAGATGACAATCTGAAATAGTAAGCAAGCATTGTGAACACATGTCTTCATCTTGCATCAAATATGATAAATTAAATGTGGACAGATGAGGATCTTCAAGCTCTTGAGATTTCACACTTACAGTTATTCAAACTATCTATCACTCATCAATTTCTGAAGAATCTCTGAAACTCATATAAGCAGAACTGACACATTCATTCAATACTGAAATCAGATTCAGATTCAATAAACTTCTTCTGAAAGGCAATATTTATCTTTTCAACTTTCACTTATTGAATTGTGTTATGGAAAGATGACATGATTGAATATACTCATGAAATGAAGATCCACTGTGAGTAAATCTGACAGATATTCACACATGTTTGAAATGGTCAAGAAAAAACTTTCTTTACAGTGCATTGGGCTGAGAAGATCTGATGTGAGAGAGTGTTGAATTTGTTAATTTTGCAGATAATGAAGAGTGAATATGATATTGTAGAACTTCTGATGATATGCAGATCTGCTTTGTATACAATTTCTGTTAGCTGTGATTTCAAAAAACTAATGATGCAGTCTTCATCATTCAGTACATTTCTGCAGTGCACTTAAAAAGTCTCATTGCTGTGAATAATTTATGTATATAGAATTTGTACTTTATAGTATTAGATAATATTAGCAATGAAGCAGTTAAATCTACTGTAGAGTATTGAATATGTTTCCACTGATTGATTCAATAATATTTCAAGAAACAGAGAGATTGAGAATACAGATCAGATAATGATGATGTTGAGTCTGCAATACATTGTGCAGTGTAAACAGCTGCATACATTGAATTGAAATTCTACATTGAGAATACTGGGGATAATGGCAACCCAATTTGATAATATTACACAATTGTAGGATCAATGTTGTGCTGAGTTACTATGTAGTGATTACATTGCCACTACTGTCACATTATGGTATTCCACAGATCCGGAATTCCGGTATGGAGTTAATATATTACCACGTGATGTATTCCGTAGACCCTCTTCCAATTCAAAGATCACCTGGCATCGTCTCCGCTGCCAACAATGCCATTTATCTCCACTGCCGTTTTACTCACCCCAACTACTAGCCGGCCGGCAAGTGGCTTGAGTACGGCTGAGCGGACGGGAAGCCCTGTATTCCACTTCCTATGGTCGTATGTGCTATCTCTTATGTGTGATCTACCTATATAGTTGGAGAAGCTAGTGCCCAATTACCGTCACTTTTCGAGCATGGTGTTCAAAATGTAGTTGGATTAGATTTTATACGACCAGGAGCGAATGCTCTGCTCTGAGTTGCTAGCTGGTCTTTCTTAGCAACAGCCAAGTAGCTTAACTGATAGAAATGTTACTCGGCCTATGGGCTAAAATAACGCTAGATATAGCTATAGATGATAAGATGAAATGAACTGGTATCTTAAAAGGAAAGTTTTCCTGTGGTTTGATAATGACCAGGAGTCACAGTTCTGCATGACATTGATACATAGAGTATGTACTCTTCATACAGGATACATCTAACAGCATATGGTGGGGCATCATGAATGGTCAAACTGAGGCTCTTGGGGTTGGGAGGAAGAGATTGGAGAAATAATAACCTAAATTCAACTCTGCCTAAGATGTACATATATCCCGTCATTGCTGTGCTTACATAGTTACACCGGAGATGCGAAATGGTTATCACCTGTGAACTATATAAGCACAACAGATCAACTTGATATATACCGCAGTATCAGCAATTGTCCCCAAAGCCGGAATGTCGGTAGATGTGGTTTCAACCGAGGGTATATGAAGACGAAAGGGCAAGCACCCTTACTTGGACTCAAAGCAGCTTGCTCTCCGATAATCGACGCGATGGACGACACAGGGATCTCGGTAATCAACAGCCGTCAGGGGCCCCCCCGCGGCGTCGGTATAAAAAGCCGGCTCCGGACGATCCATCGAACAGCTTCTCCGCGCTCCGTTTTATCCACGCACGCCGGGGTCTTGGCTGGATTCCCCTCCTTTATCGGCACTCTGGCAGCGGCAGGCAGCTGGGCCTGTACTTGTAGAAAAGAAGGCCAGGCGAATAGAGAGCCATATTCTGGATCATTCCAGAGCGACAGAACGCTCGTGCGGTCTTGCAGCAGCCAGCACAGCGTGGGCAGCGACTGGCGGGCTGATTCGCGCAGTGGAAGTTGGCGTGGGTGGTGAGTGAGTTTAGTGGCCCGTTCTAAGATAAATTTTCCTCAGCTAAGAAGTATCCCAGCCCTTCCACCAACTGCCGGCGGCCCATTACCAACCCGACCTTCTCCAGCACCGTTACGCCCCTTCAGCTCTCCAACCCTCCACTCTCACGGTCCTGCTCCCGAACACGCTTTCCGGACACTCCTCGCCGCACTTCACAATGGCTGCTAGCAAGGAATTCACCCTCAAGGAGGTTGCTGCGCACGACTCCAAGAAGGATCTGTACCTGATCGTCAACGAGAAAGTTTACGATATTTCGACGTTTGTCGATGAGCACCCGTACGTATCCGCAGACTGAGCATGTCCTGGCTCTTTGGCTACATACAAAGCGGCTAACCAAGATTGTTTTTCCTGTACAGAGGCGGCGAAGAAGTTCTGCTGGACGTCGCCGGCCAGGACTCAACAGAGGCCTTCGAGGACGTCGGCCACAGCGATGAGGCCCGTGAGATACTTGAAAATCTCCTTGTCGGAACCGTCAAGAGACTGGTGCGTTGTATCTCGCTTCATGTTCATTTCTACATTCCCATGCTGACCCTTGGTTCCTCCTGTCGCAGCCCGGAGACCCTGCCCCTATGAGAACCGCAACCACTACCACAACCAGCGCAGTTTCGTCGGATACGTCTACGGGCCTCGGCATCGGTCTCTATGCCATGATTGTCCTTCTCGGTGCTATTGGGTACGGCTTATACCAGTATTTGAACATTGCGACTCCCGTCAAGCCATAGACGCGAATTCGTGTTCTTTCGTTTACACCATTATCGCCCACGAACCTCTTTCACCAGTCGCTGACAACATTGTGCCTTTGTATACACCGTGCCATACAGTGTTTCTCAGACTTTATGTGTTTCGGTGCTTTTCTTTTTTTAGACCTACTAATTGAATGTGAGTCCAACGCGCAGAAGACTTGGAATTCTGTTGGGAAGCATGCGGCCTTTGATGAAGCCTTTTTTCTCTCGTTTCACACCCTACACCAGTAGCTGTTACGAAGCCGCTCGCCCCTTACATACTTTTATGCCTGTTTTTACTTGAGCCCCGGCGTGGGATTCTTTACCAGTGCTTTGCGAATAGATGTGATCTGGGTTGTCTCTTACATTTTTGCTGCTCGAAGTAGAATTTTAACTTCACACTTTGGCCCTTTGTTGGCCTTTCTCTCGTGTTGTTTCATTATTTCTCTCGCTGACGTCCTGGCCCCGATCGGAATTCACCATTCCGAGTGATCCGTTCCGCGTCGACTGCATTTAATGTTCGTGACTCACTGTAAACGGCCCCGTCCAGCACAAAGCGAGCTGTAGCCGGAGAACATGCGCCTATGAAGCGGTTAGTTAGAGCAAGCGTATTCGGCTGGCTCCCCTTTCCCCCGCATTAGAGACTCCGAACTGGACTCAGCTGAGCGGTATTGGGCTGGATGGCCGAGCCCCTGCGGGCCATGCGCAATCTCGGCCCCCGAGCTGGCCGGCCCGTCCGCGCAAGTGTCATTCCCAAACATGTGTCCGTGTACCATATTTCACCACCACCATCTGGCCGTGATGTACGGGAGTATACGGCCTTATTGTTCTGTCTGCAGACTGCCGTCGGCGTCGCCAAACAGCCCAATCACGGCGCTTGGCGCGACGCGAATGGCCACGATTTGTTTGTAGCATTTTATGTGATACGCGATCGGCTCTCATGCTCCGAAGGTTCGATTGAGAAAGTACAAGCGAAGAGAGAATAATTGCCTCTGGCCCATTCATGGGTTAGGTTGATACTCTTGGGTTGTTTCCAAAACGCCGTGCTGACATGCACTTCGCTGATGTGAGGTTGTGAGCAAAAAGAGCCCGGTTCATCGAGGCACCAGGCGTCTTTTTTGGAGTCAAGTGTCGTTTGTGATGACTCGCAAAGCCTAAGGATGTCTAACTGGCAGTTCAGCGTTTGCTGTTCTGCTTTCAAGGGATCTTAATGGCCACGATGGTCCAGCAGTCTCCAGAAACAAAACTGCTGTGCAACCACGAAGGACATTCCAGCTAAAGACTGCTGTACAATTGAATTTTTTGTACATACATACGGAGTAGAAGGATCGATAGGATACAGTAAATGGACGATAATAGGCTTTCGACAAGTACCATTTACTTCCTGCGCCCGCCTGTGGGGTGCTCCCCCTCGGGTACCAGTACGTTTTTCCCGCCCCTCGACTCCTACCCCGCGGTCTGACATTCGACACAAGTTTACTTCTTCCTACGTGAAATTTCTAGCGCGCGATGTCTCGTCATCGTGTCAAAAACGTTGCCTACGATGATGACGATGATTACTATGACGATGACCAAGGCGGCGATGAGCTATCCCTGGAGGATCGCGAGCTGATGAGACTTCGAACCCTCGAGGTCCAGACGTTATTACGATCCGAACTTCCGCCCATCCAGGCTACAGAGGAGGAAATCTGGGAGTCGCTATGGCATTATTACTACGATGTCGACAAGACAACGTCTTATCTGAGGAGTGAGACTATCTTTCCTCCGGCTGTGAAGTGTTTGAGCTGTTTGGCTAATGTGCGGCTCCCTTGAAGGGAAATACCGCCAACCAAGTCCAAACACACCATCGAAACAGCCTACGCACGCATCTGCGCAGTCAAACAGTAAAGCCAAAGGTGAGTTGCTATTAGTTTCATACTGGTGACGCTTTGGGAGCGCCCGATTGCTTGAGGTGGCTGGGCAATACTCTTCCAGTCCTACAACACGGTGCGTTTGCCTCTTTTTGAGTCTCCGTACTGTTCGGATCTTTGAAGTATTTGCCTGTAACAAAGCGGACAGTGCCTAACTATTGCGATTCAGAAAACAGTTTCGAAACTTCGTATTGTTCTCAATTTTCGGCTGTCGATTTTTTCAAAGATTCGCCTTGGTTGAACGTCCCCCCGCACCGAAAAGCAGATATTCTGATCGAACCGCTGTATCCCCGCCTTGGTTTACTGGGCGGGGCAGAGAAACCTGTGAAGATGTCTAAACTCGCTGCTCTAGCGGCGGCGCGAAAGAAAAAGGATAGTGGGGGCAGCAAAGCCAGCAACGGAAACACAGCAGCGGAGGTTTCGTCAGCACCGGTGTCTACAGAGCAGCGTAGTACCTCGATTTCACTCTTAGATCGATTGGGGGGAGGTGGTCGAACGAAAGCGAACCTAGAGAGTCAAGCCTCCAGACGTCCCTTCCGGAAGGCTGATCGTACCCCCAAGGAGGTGCCTTCGATAAAACCTGGCAGAACAACCGAGTTGGCTCAGCTGTCGAAACCCTCTGCTGCTGCAAGATCCCCAGTTACTGACTCCCCAAAGAAGCTCACCCCTCAACGGGCGGATATTTTTGCCCAACCTTCCATTTTTGCGACGGCGTTAATAGGTCATCAAAGCGATCGAGGGCCCCTATGCTATCTCTCGCAGCACTTTGATATGTTTAAACTTTACGACAATGGTAATACTAAAACTTTTGAATTCACAGACCCCAGCCCAGACGATATTGTAATTAATGCACAGAATGCAGCAAAATGTAAGCTCTCCAACCAGTTGCCCAACCTTATGGCTACTAATTCTGCATAGTGAAGAAAGCCAAAAAAGCACAACCTTCTACTAAGGCGGCGTCTGACCTAGCGAATAATGTTAATCAGCTTTCGGTACAAGAGTCGGTAAAGCCTAAAAGCAAGCAGCTAGATGTATTAGAGGAACATCGTAGAGCCAAGAGGAAAAAGGCTGCCAACCTTGTTGTTATTGGTAAGCTAGCTCCCAAGTTCCAGTGAAATGCGGCTGACTCTCGAAGGGCATGTTGATGCTGGAAAGAGCACTCTCATGGGAAGATTGCTGTACGACCTGAAAGCCGTTGATACTCGGACGATTGAAAAATACAAACGAGAAGCTGATAAAATCGGGAAGGGGTCCTTCCATCTTGCTTGGGTCCTTGATCAAGGCTCTGAAGAACGGGCCCGTGGTGTGACTATAGATATTGCAACAAATAAGTTCGAAACGGATTCCACGAACTTCACGATACTGGACGCTCCTGGACACCGTGATTTTGTACCCAATATGATTGCTGGTGCCAGCCAAGCTGACTTTGCAGTACTTGTTATTGATGCAAGTACTGGAAATTTCGAGTCTGGTTTGAAGGGGCAGACAAAGGAACATGCCCTTCTCGTTCGCAGTATGGGAGTTCAAAAAATGATTGTTGCTGTGAACAAAATGGATTCAGTGGCATGGTCGAAGGAAAGGTTCGAAGAGATTGAACAGCAGATATCATCATTCCTAACCACAGCCGGATTCCAAGCGAAAAATCTTTCTTTCATACCCTGCTCTGGACTTCGTGGTGATAATATTATCACACGAACGGAGGACAAAAATGCCTCATGGTATTCCGGAAGAACTCTCATTGACGACCTGGAAACTGCGGAGCCTCAATCATATGCCGTTGAAAAACCCCTCCGGATGACTATTTCGGATGTTTTCAAAGGCGGATCTCAAAATCAGCTATCTGTCTCTGGACGCATTGATTCCGGTAGCTTGCAGGTTGGGGATCGGGTTCTTAGTATGCCAAGCGGGGAAGCGGCCATAATCAAAAGTCTTGAAATCGACCAAGAACCAAGTGATTGGGCCGTTGCTGGAAACAATGTTGTGCTTCATCTACTTGATATTGACCCTATGCACCTCAAAAGTGGCGATGTCATCTGCAGTGCTTCGTCTCCTATACAGAACGTCAGTTCAATCACGGCAAAAGTGCTTGCATTTGATCACTTGACGCCAATGCATATCGAACTGCATCGTGGCCGTCTTCATGTTCCTGGCCGCATCTCACAACTTGTTGCTACACTTGATAAAAGCTCTGGGAATCCGGTTAAGAGGAAGCCAAAGATTGTGGCACCCGGCATGGTGGCAAGGGTCGTGGTTGACCTTGACCAGTTAATACCGTTAGAAGCTCCGGCTCGCGTGGTACTTCGGACGGGCGGGGAGACTGTTGCAGCAGGACTCTTAGAATGATGACTTATATTGTATTTGACAATGACAGGGCCATGAGGTTTATTAAAAAGCATTTCACCAAATAAAAACAAAATCTTGTAGCAGCCAACAAAATATTCGAATGAACTATACCCTTTATAACACCAACTTGTTATGCAAGCGATGGTTTCTTAGCATGAAACATGCTGGGCTCCGAAAGGCATTTTATCTTGCAGTATTCTATATCAAGATACCTTTCCCTGAGAGGGCTTTCGAGAACAAGGGGAGGTCCGAGCTACACATACTGAAAATAACGATAGCTTCATGATTTGACCCGCCGCTTTGGATCTATCCTATGGGAAATCAAATGGCTCATACATAACTACGTAATGCCCGTGACATCAACGCCGCTTATGACTGGTGATATACCAGTGTCACACTCGGACGTAGTCGCATGATGAAAACCCCAGTTATGCTATTCACAATTCTCTGGAACCTAACTCTGTTGTTTGTATGTAGACAGCTAATAAGCATCCTAATTGCTGTCCCCTCTACGGAGTAGTGATTGAGCTGCAGGGATCATTGATAAGCCTAGCATGTGAAGACTATAAAGCTTTCGATAATGAGATAATATAGGGGTAAGCTAATGAATAACCAGAGAAAAATAGACAACAGATCTGGACATACCTTTTGGCATTTTAGCCCAAGGTTTGTTCAGACTCTTCATTACTTTCAACGCGGTTGAGCACGCAAAGTCTTGCCGTCATTTTTGTCTTCAATAACTAGATGTTCCTAAACTCGACAATTGTCCTTGTCTGATACCAGAAGAATTAGCAAGGACATAGCATAGTTATTATATTTCACTTATAATATACCTACATGTGCCCCCTATTACACGACAAGCTTCCATTCACCACCAATTCCTGCGACGGTTTTCGCTCGGACATCGTTTCCATACTCTTCATGCAATATCAGTAAGATCTAGTCAACCTGAAAAAGATATAACTGAACACGAACGAGTAATAGTGACATCAACTAATTCTTTGAACTGGTAGCCAGTCGTTGCATCAAACCGCTTTCTGGTCTCATCATTGTACATATGTGACAATGCATCGTTCAGATTTGCCGCGCAAGGTTCGCTTTTCGCCTGTAGGGATCTCCATCGGCTGTCCCTCGGTGAAATGAACTGTGATACTTTTCACCTCGGGGCCAAGATGCTTTTTTACGGCGTTATCGCCGGTGAAAATAATCTCGAGAGACATGGCTGGATGTTGAGAAAATAGAATAGAGTATAGACAGAGATAGGTAAAACAACGGTCTGCTCTGATAGTCGTATCGGTTCTGAAAAAAAGGTAGAGGGCAATTCGGGGTTCTTCCCTCTTTTTAACATTATAGAAGTCCTGTCTGTATCGAAGCTCGGTCATATCCCCTCCCCTCCCTATACGTTTTCGATGGTATCCTCGACAGAATGGATTGGTAAGGCTTGCAGGTCATCCCTTCAAAAAACTTGGTCAATGTACATCAAGAGGTGGGGATAATCGGCTGCTATTTCATTGACGACTGGCCAGTAATCACTTAGAGATGAGGGTAAACGAAGATTCTCTGGGAGATATTGAGGGTTCGACCCACAGGAGGCACGGCTCGAGCCCCCAGAAATCTGTAGCCGGTGAACAAGGAGTCATCCAAGTTGCTCATTCAACTAGGCATCCAATCATTCTTCAGAGACAGACATGTTTTTCTCAACCTGTAGATTGAAGATTCGGCGATCCCTGAAGAGCTGTATTCATCACGAATGCAACATAAACAGGAAATGGCCAGATGCCATGCCAGATAAATGCAAGGACGTGCTCACAATGGTACAGACTGAGCAGTAAATTTCCGGAATCAGGTGAGGGAACCCACAGAAGATCTACCCTTGTCTAGGTTGATTTTTTCACAGTAATCATTCTAAGGACTATCATGAGATAGGAGGGTTCTGAGGCTCTTGGCGTAATATGTAGTCTATTCAAAAACTTCACCATTCCTCAGGATTACGAGGGCTGAGATGGTTACCGGGACGAGAAGATGATGCCGGTACATGTGCTGTTGAATTTAGTCTTGGATCATGCCATGAAGGAAGCTCAAAGAGAATAGACGTGAATAACCAATGGGGTACACTTTTCGAACCCGTGACGGAAGAAATGAAGAAAAGAGGGTATCAGAATCCCGCCGGCTAGGAATTGGAATTGCAGAGTAAGGATCTCCCGTATCAATGTGCTCTGTAGGGTGTGGTGGCAACCGTTATGGTTGGCGACAAGGAGGGAACAAGATCATTCGCACTGGTATGTCCAGTATGGTAGAAGTATCCATGCACCCCAACAATGTTCAGGTTGACAAGTACATATTTTGTAGAGTGCTGGAAAATGCTGAGAGATGGGGTTTAAAATTGAACCACTTAGCATCTCTCCGAGATTCTCTCAGAACTGAGGAATGAGACAAAAGCTCCAAGTCAAGGGTCGCCTCGCATCAATCATAGAAATTGCCTCAGACGTACAAAGTATTCTAAAGACCGGGTTAGAACGTCCTGGATGCCGATGCTACGTGACTCTAGAGAGTAGACAAAGTATCGAGCTCCCGTTGCAGATCTAGCAATCGGATTTTCCGGATGGTTCTGTTTGAACCCCCTAGTCAACTGGTGTCAGGTTGGTCTAAGAAAACAGGAAATAGAATAACGTACAGGTTTATGCGGTATCCTTCATAGTGTCCCATAGTGGTGTGGCACCCCTTTTCCAGCCACTGACAACTGAGCCCCGAAACATAGCATCTAGTTATCTAACTCGGGAGAGTCCAAGGGTCCGTGGTTTAGTTATGTAGTTGGTTATCCTGCAGAAGATCCAATATGCTAACCTGCAGAAATCTGGATGAAATTGACCAAAAGAATATTTAATTAATACTTTTCAGTCTTGTTTGAGCTCAGCGCCCGGAGATTACTGCCATAAGTGCAAATGCTAGCTAAGAAAGAAGGCAAAAACTACTGGAACTTGCTCTCAATTTACCCTCCTGGAAGGCAGCATACCAGTTGTTTTTGTTTTCTCCTCTACAATCTTGACAGCCTACTCGTGGTGGCTTGATTTAAAATTTATGGAAATTGTTACTGAGCACAGGAATCGGACAGATGCATGCAGTGTTGCATCAAACGCAACAGCAGTCATGTCGGCAATTATTGTGCATAAAAAGTTGCTGGTAATTGCCAAAGGGAAAAGGTATACTAAGACTACCTCAATCGCTATCAACCTTGATGCTGGATAGGAGAAAAAGTGGATCATCTTGAAGTGTCAAAATCTATCTAAAAGGTGTCTACTTATACACAGAGCATGATTCTCCCTACCGACGAGGTTATCTTTTCTATGGTTTTTCTGCCACAGGAAAACAAGTTTGGCTTTTGCTATAGCCAGTACACTAAACTTAGACATGTATGTACTTCCTCAGTCTGGGCTCCCAGGGCCTTAGAAAATACCAGCTGCTTGCCCAGTTCAACAGTCGCAAAACTTTGCATTGTTGACCGAAGAAGAGGGCACAAAATGCATGGCAGCGTAAGCTCTAGCTCTCAAGTCAACTTCATGGCGACTCGGGATGGGTGAGTGCTGAGTCAGGTTTCTCAGGATGTTTGGTGATCATGACGAGGATGTGGTCTGCTGGAAAAGTAGGGCAATAAGTGGTATTGAGTAGGAAGGAGAGAGCCAGGTTTCCTGGTGTCGTTTCGTATTCCTAAGCATGCGATAATTTGAGGATCGCGCGATCCGAAAACTGGTAGGCTAAACCCTATAGCTGATTGACTGGGTATCAAATGCTTTCTTGTTGACTCTTACCGCTGGCCCTCGTTCTCTTCTCACCCTCAACGGCGTCGTTCTTGGCGGGCGTCCTGGTGTGGCGACAGCGCCTACTTTGGCCTATATTCTCGAGGGCAGTAGCATTAGAAACAAAAAGTGACGACATGGGGTGGTTTGGTCGGGTTCACTCTGAGGATCAAACCGATCGCCCTAGTCCGGTGGTACGGTGGGGTTGACAAAGAACTCGCCGAGGAAAACAAACAAGGCGTCCCACTGAAAGTGCGGAGGCCTTGTTGCCAACAGTGTGGTCCGCTTGCAGCTGTTCAATAGAAAAAAAATGCTGATCCTGTTCCTGAGCTTCAGCTTGTGGAATCCCGCAACGCCTCTTCCGTCCAATCTAGACAAGATGACATCAATACAGCTTAGAGAAAGGCAGAGGAGAAAGAAGGGAAGGGGAATGAAATGTCAATGGTAAAAAGATAGGCCTGAGAGGTGGTGATTATTTGTCCCACTAGAGTGAGGCTCTGTGCTATAACTAGTTGTCCGAACCAGCACACTGACTCAAAAATGAAATGAAGTGTCCCAGGCAGCGCACATCTTTCCAGAGCTTTCTCTTGGTTTTTTCTGCTTTACTTTGACATGAAAGGGTATATTAATTGCTTGCATTGTCAACTTGGCAAGGAAAAAAGGGAATTTCGTATGAAAATAGGCAGAGTCACTGGTATGGTCAGAAAGTTTGACGATAAGGGTGGACTTTAACCTCTAAATGCAAATTTCAACGTTAGTCACCCAGAGCTAACGCATAATATACCTATTATGTATATTCAGAGAGTTTCCTTGTATGTATCGTTCCTGAGAACCGTTCAACTGCAACTTAGCCATTGCAAGATCGTTCACTAGACTCCCCTCTGGGTCGGAATGAGCTGTGAGTCTATATCGGCTCCTAGGCGTAGACTCCTCCGTAAACTCCAGATAGTATGACTTCCGCTTTTCCCCTATTCACTGGCTTGGAAATTCCAATAGCGGGGGCTCGACCTGGGGGGGTTTATTCATGTAACCAGTCCATTGAGATCAGTCAGTTGCTTGCTCGGCTTTTAGTTGGTAGAGGTATATATGGAAGGATATCACTTTAAATAGGACCACCGAAACGGCCTAGCCACGAAATGAATTCGTAGGGATGCTGGATTATTATTGCCAAAGGCACGTAGTGCACAATTTGCGGGTCTTGAAACCAAGCTTGCGAAGCTAACCGCTACTTAATTCCTTCATTTTGTTCACTAAGCAGATGCAGGTAGCAGGTCATCTTCGCCAGCTTATAGGAGAAAACAAACGCGGACATGACTCTCGACATGAGACCCTATGTGGAGCCCAAAGCGGTGCACAAGACGCGGTTGCGGCGCCAGGCAACGGACGCCTCCAGGCAGTTGTGCTGGTGGGGCTCGAAGGGGCTGCGATGTGGTCGCTGTGGCCGCAAGGGGCAGCGGGCGCGCCGGAGAGGCCACATAGGCAGAAACTGCAGCCAATCAGCTTGCGCCAACTACCCAATTCGCGGAAATCGCTTGACGCGCTGACTCATCCCGCCGGCCAATCAGACGGTGCAAAATAAACCTTAATGGCCAGAAGCTCCCTTCGCGTGACTGTGGATGAGCGCGCTAGTTCTGACTCGGCCTAGCGCGACCACTGCTCGAAAAGGCCAACTGTTCCTTCACTCGCCGACTCCTGATAAAGCTCGCCTGTCGACGACCTCTTGCTTCCTTTCTCCCAAGATTGGAGCTACTCACGTCGCTCAACGCCTTTTCTTCCTTTCTTTCATTGCGCTGTATATTATTTCTTTTCTCTCCCTGCCACTCATTCCCAGTGAGCTTGACGCCTTCATTGGCACGCGGGCGATAGATTTTGTGATACCTCGCGGGCTGCAAAAGCGCAAGCAATTTACTCCTCCATCACACCTCCTCACCCCCCACAGAATATGTCTCGTCAATCGAGGCGGGACGTGGCTTCCTCGCCTTTTGCGTGGACCACTATCTTCTATCTCCTCTTGGTCTTCATCGCCCCATTGGCCTTACTAGGAACAGCCCATGCTTCAGAAGAACAAACCCCATTACAAGAAAACTATGGAACTGGTACGTTGTCTAGCTAGATATCATTTTGTTTGGCTGCTAACTTTTGCAATTGGAATAGTCATTGGTATTGATTTGGGAACTACCTACTCGTATGAGACTCCCTCTATATCTAAGTTGCGGGAGGGGGCCGAAGCTAATCATGAGTAGTTGCGTCGGTGTGATGCAGAATGGCAAGGTTGAAATTCTCGTAAACGACCAGGGTAACCGAATTACTCCATCATACGTGGCCTTTAACGACGAGGAGCGACTTGTTGGAGATGCCGCAAAGAATCAATATGCCTCTAACCCCAGACGAACTATCTTCGATATCAAGTATGCTCCCGTTTTACTTCATTTTCTACTTCTAGTCTTATACTGACTGCTCTGTAATAGACGTCTCATTGGTCGCAAGTTCGAGGACAAAGACGCTCAAAATGATATCAAGCATTTCCCCTTCAAGGTTGTGAACAAGGATGGAAAGCCTCAGGTTCGTGTTGATGTCAATGGAACACCAAAGAACTTCACTCCAGAAGAGGTGTCTGCCATGGTTTTGGGTAAAATGAAGGAAATTGCCGAGGGATACCTAGGCAAACCAGTCACCAGCGCTGTCGTTACTGTCCCTGCCTACTTCAATGATAACCAAAGACAAGCCACCAAGGATGCCGGAACTATTGCCGGTTTGAATGTCCTTCGTGTTGTCAATGAGCCTACCGCCGCCGCTATTGCCTACGGTCTTGATAAGACCGGTGACGAACGTCAAATCATTGTGTACGATCTTGGTGGTGGTACCTTTGATGTGTCTGTTCTTTCCATTGATAATGGTGCTTTCGAAGTCTTGGCTACGGCTGGTGATACGCATTTGGGTGGTGAAGATTTTGACCAGAGAGTCATTACTCACCTCGCTAAGCAATACAACAAGAAAAAATCTGTCGACATCACCAAAGATCTGAAGACTATGGGTAAATTGAAGCGCGAAGTCGAGAAAGCCAAACGTGCCCTCTCATCGCAAATGTCTACTCGCATTGAAATCGAAGCTTTCCATGAAGGAAATGATTACTCTGAGACTTTGACCAGAGCTAAGTTTGAGGAGCTCAACATGGATCTCTTCAAGAAGACCCTCCGCACCGTTGAGCAGGTGCTCAAGGATGCCAAAGTCAAGAAGTCCGACATTCACGATATCGTCCTTGTTGGTGGATCCACCCGTATCCCTAAAGTTCAGCAACTTCTTGAGGAGTTCTTCGGTGGAAAGAAGGCAAGCAAGGGTATTAACCCTGATGAAGCTGTTGCATTCGGTGCCGCTGTTCAAGGTGGCGTTCTTTCCGGTGATGAAGGCGCCAAAGACGTCGTTCTCATGGATGTCAACCCCTTGACTCTTGGTATTGAGACTACTGGCGGTGTTATGACCAAGTTGATCCCTCGTAACACGGTTATCCCAACCCGCAAGTCTCAGATTTTTTCAACCGCGGCCGATAACCAGCCCGTCGTACTCATTCAAGTTTGTAAGTTTCCCTTGGAGCAGCTGCAACTATCTTCAGCTAATTTCTGCCACAGTTGAGGGAGAACGGTCGATGACCAAGGATAACAACTTGTTGGGCAAGTTTGAGCTCACCGGGATCCCACCAGCCCCGCGTGGCGTCCCACAGATTGAGGTTTCTTTCGAACTTGATGCCAACGGTATCTTGAAAGTAACTGCTGGTGACAAAGGAACTGGCAAGGCTGAATCCATCACCATCACCAACGACAAAGGCCGGTTGTCTCAGGAAGAAATTGACCGCATGGTTGAAGAAGCAGCTAAGTTCGCCGATGAGGACAAGGCTATGAAGGCAAAGATTGAGGCCCGTAATGGCCTTGAGAACTACGCTTTCAGCTTGAAGAACCAGGTCAACGACAAAGAAGGTCTTGGCGGAAAGATTGATGATGATGACAAAGAAACTGTATGTTATCCCGCCCTTTTCTGTTTTTTTTCTTGTGTTTTATTTTACTAACCCTTTTATAGATCCTCGAAGCTGTCAAAGAAGCCACCGAATGGCTTGATGAGAACGGCGCCACGGCCACTGCTGAAGACTTTGAAGAACAAAAGGAGAAACTGTCTGGTGTGGCTTATCCTATTACCAGCAAGCTCTACGGTGCTGGTGGCGATGCACCTGGTGGTGAAGACGATGAACCTTCTGGTCACGATGAATTGTAAAGATGTTAAAAAAAATACCCTGCCCGAAGACCAAGTGTCTGCTGTAATGTTATACACAATTGACTTTATGGAGCATTTTTAACGCTAGCTAAATAGCTTATGTCATCCATTTTGGGGGGCTTCAAAGAATGGGGGATAAAGGAGTTTTGCGATGTTCAAATACGAAATTATGTTTGGTATAAATTTAGCATTTGTGTTGTCTGACCTTCGTTAATCGTCGTATCATATTTTTTCTTGATCAAACCCCGGAAAGCTTAGTGGCTTAATTATGCACATGCAATGCTTGGGGAGATCCTGCGCCACAAATCCAGAAGCAAAAAGGAACACGTAAAAAAAAAAGAAAATATCTGGACTCCGGGGTATAAACTCGTACAAAAAGCAGGCATTGTAAGGCAACAAAAAAAAAAGATGCATCATTTACAGAAATATATAATATTATTATCTAGTATCGCGAGGGCTGGGTCCTCCCACTATTCGACGAATACTCCGTCCGCGAGGACTTGGATATGGAGACATTCGTAGTCTTCATGATGCCGTTGCCACCGGCGTGGTCGGTGCCAATGATGCTCTCCTCACTCTCGGTGCGGCGCTTGTAGTCGTCGTCGTCGTCGCGGCTGCCGGGCTTGACGGAGGCGAGGAAGACGTGGTCCTGGTGGTGGTGGTCGTCGCGCGACGACCAGGGGAGGCCGGCGGGGTTGTTGACGGTGGGCAGCGAGCGGTCGCCGCGCGACTTGTGGCGCGAGGCGGCGGCGTAGGAGAGCGCGTAGGGCCGCGAGCGGTTGGACATGGAGAAGACGTTGGGGAAGAGCATGGCTAGCGGCTGGCGGATCATGGGCAGGCAGGCGCAGATGATGCCGGTGTTGACTTCGATGGCACTCCAGACGGAGACGGGGATGGTGTTCCCTTTTTTTTTGTTAGTGGGGGTGGGTATGGGGTAGGAAGGATTTTTTTTTTGTGGGGGGGGGGGGTGGAGCGGGCTTACAGGTTATGTCTTTCAGGTTGGCCGAGGCGGCAATGCTGGTTGTTCGGATGATGCTGGTGATGCAGACGCTGTGGAGACCGGGTTAGTTCATGTTTGAGGAGTGTGGATGGGCGGGCTGGGGGAGGCCTGGGGTTCGCTTACAATCCACCCAGCATGAAAATCATGATGACGGCGATCTTGTCGCGGGTTTTCAGCTGCAGACGGAGGACCTGGTGGACGGGCAGAAGGAGGATGATGAAGTCGGTGATGATGTTGATGAGGGCGTAGGAGAGCCAGGAGATGTGGTTGCTGATGCAGGTGAACTGGCCGGAGCGGGTCCAGAAGGCGGACACGGGCTTGCACTGCCAGATGGTGGAGCAGACGTAGGCGATGGAGGAGACGATGGTGAAGGCGATCATGCCGAAGCACGACCAGGTGAAGTATTTGGCCACGGAGAACACGCGGATGTAGAGCAGGAGGATGGACACTTTGGTGAGGCAGATGACGACTTTGTAGAGGACCTGGGTGATGAAGATGGCCTGCCGGAGATTGAGTCAACAGGCCGGAGATGGAAATATTATGAACAAGGTGCTGGAGCTCACCTTGAGCGCCTCCGTCTTTTGCTCCTTGGTGAGGCTGAAGTCATGCTGGCCGTATCCATGCTGGACAGCTGCAAAGGGGACGATTAGCCAGGCACTTCCAATGGGCGCAACAAGGGCCACCACACATACCCAGATTGTGAGAGAGCGTGAACATGGAGCACGATATCTGCGTGGCGGAAGTCAGAGGCACTGTAGTTTTGAGCAGGCAGGCAGATTGACACGGGCTACGACGTACCAGGGCAGCGAGGATAGTCCAGTCATCCATCTGGATGAGACTGCGGAAGTACCGGGCAGCCAGGCGCACGATCACGAAGACAGAGGCGATGAGGACCATGACGGTCCCTATGATCCACACGTGCCATCCGCGGTTTGGATTGTCGGGGGTGGGAAACCCGATGTTCACCATGGCAGACGGCGGCGACGCACCATGGACACCGGTGCTTCACAGGGAGGGAGGGAGGGGGGGGGGTATATCTCAGGCCGAAACGACGAAACGACAGCGGTGGTTGGTGGTGCGAGGCCGTGGCCCAGCAGCAGCAGCAGCAGCAGCAACAGCAACAGCAGCAGGCGCGCAACGTGGGGAATTAAATAAATACGAGCAGTCAGATGGGACGAGTCATGCCGCGGGGCGTCAAGCGAGCGGCCTGGACGTGTCTCATGCACGAGGCAGCGCAGCGGGTATGGCAGGCGGGATATCACGGCGGGAGCGGGCAGGCAGACGGCAGAGCACAGCGGACCAGCCGGGGCAGCGAGAGAGGAGGAGAGAGAGAGAGAGAGAGAGAGAGAGAGAGAGAGACTGAGACTGAGAGAAGAGAAGCGAGAGACAAGACCCATTGGGCCCTGCGAGCCGCGACGGGGCTGGCCAGTGTTAAATAAGGGCTTTGCAAGCACCGCCGACGAGCTGGTGAGACGAAGGCAGCGTAGGCTAGTTAGCTCTCACTATAAAATAGCTCGCCGGCGGGCTAAGCCAGGTCTTTGCGGAGTAGAGTTTGCATGGACGCAGGTCGCTTAGCGATCTAATAATTAGCTGGGCCGCCGGCTGGCCGCTGTTTCTCGCGCGCATCGCCGTCGCTGGTTGTGTATGGAGTATGTAGTTGGTTGTGAGCTATCCCGGCCAGACACCCTCCAGCCAGACCATCACCACCACCACAACCACCACTCTGGCCTCTCCCCCCACGCTGCACTGCGCTGCTGGGCGGGCGGGTGCGTGACGGGCTGGCTGCCGGCCGGCGTCGCGTGAAACAAGGCCTGGAGTGCGACATTGGCTGCCCGGGGTCCCCTGGGCATTCCTTCGCCCAGCACGGGGTCCCTCTCTTCGCTTCTCCGCCGTGTTTCTGCGCTTGGGCTTCGCAATTTGGTTAGTCGCGATAGCCTACCTGTTATGGAGTACGGAGTGCTAACTCAACTAACTACTGTACTTGCGTGGGCCGTCCCCGTCGTCGTCGTGTCGTCGTCGTCGTCCGCCGCCTGAGGTGGTTTTTCGCCGCTGCGTCTCTCATCCGCCATCTCGGCCGCCCACAAGCTCCCACCGACCGATCAATCAATCGAAGGCGCGCAGTCTCAGCCTGCTGCAGCCCGCGCGCTCTCTGGTCGATCGCCGTGCTTTGTCCGGCGCTAGGTCTGGGCCCTGATGCGCGCCGTTTGGCCGCCCCGAGGCGCGCCGCCGTCGAACTCAACCGCCTCAATGCAAAACGCTCCCCATCCCAGACGCCCGGCTAAACGTATCAGGCGGCGAACCGCCTCGAGACAGTGGATTGCTGGGGAAATACTAAATTCATGCTCGTCATTATTATTTCTACCACGCTGCCAGGTATCTAACTAACTAACTAGCTGACTGCGACTACTACTACTGCTGGCCCTTCCCCTTCTCCACCACGCACACGCCAGTGGCGCTCACGCCCGCGTCCGACTCCGACGTCGCAGTCAGCTTGACCACCGTCGCCGGCGTCGAGGATCCCTCGGCCTTCACGGCGACCCGGACCGTGGCCGACTCGCCCAGCTTGGCGATCGCGAGCGCGTTGGGCAGCTCGACCTTCCAGCCGTGGCCCTCGACGCTGGCCTTGAGACGATACACGTCCGACTTGAGGTGCTCCGCCAGCGGCTTGCCGCCCTTGGGTGGCGAGTACGACCCGGTGTTGGCCAGCTTAAAGGAACAGCTGACTCCCTTGCCCGTGGCCGAGCCGCCCGAGGCCTTGCCCAGAGACACCGCCACCCCGCGCTTGTGAGAGTCCTTGCGGGCTTCCAGCGACCGCACGCCCACCGTGTACGAGAGCACGCGGTCGTGGTCGTGGTGGATGTCCAGGATGTAGAAGTGCAGCGCGTTGGCCTTGTCGACGAACTCATACTGGCTGCCCGACCGCGTGCCCGCGTGGAACAGCGCGTCCGCCAGCTGCCGGTAGTCGCCCACCGTGAGATACGCCGGCGTGCCGTCGGGCCGGTAGAAGTCCACGACCCTGATGTCCTGCGGGTTGGCGTCGATGGTCCACTGGAACGCTTCGCCGCGCTCGTCGTTGCGCGTCTTGCTGATCATGACGCCCGAGTCGGGCGTGAACGAGTCGCTGCCGATGCGCTGCACCACCTCCATCTCGTAGTTGTCGTAGCCGCCGCCATCGCACAGCGGGTCGGCCCTGGGGTCGCATTTCGGCGATCGATCCGAGTCCAGCGTGACGCGCAGCCCGATCAGCTCGTCCTTGCGCGGCACGATCGAGCGCGCCTTCAACCGCACCGCCACCAGCCCGGTGCCCGCCAGCCCTTCGCGGGACACGCGGAGCACGCTAGCCGGGTCGACCAGCTTCAGGTGCAATTTGTCCCGAATCGTATGATGCGAGCCCATCGACGAACCCTGCGTGGGCGGAATCATCCACCGCGTGTGAGGGCCGCCGGGCCCGTTGAACGTGCCTCGCGACATCATCGACCACGGGCCGGAGAACGACCGGCGCGGCGGCTTGCCATAGGGGTTGTTGTAGTTGTCTCCAATGTCCAGCAGATGGCTGAGCTCGTGCGCAAACGTCGACATGCCCGAGCTCTCAGCCTGCGTCGACGACCCGCCGCCGGCGTTGGGCCAGATGCACGAGGCCGACGCCCACGACGTCCATTCTACATAGCGAGTGCGCGCGTAGTTGGGAATCGACGCGTTGGCCGGCGGCCCAAACTTGGCCGGCACGTCCTCCTTTTTCAGGAACTTCATCTCGCCAAACTCCAGCCAGGTCGCTGACTCGTCTTCGCCGGCGGAGAGGATGAACACCAGCTCGAAGCTCTTGGCCTTTTCTTCGCCCACCTCCTTGCGCCATGCCGCCAGTGCGTCTGTGCGGATCTCCTTGTAGCATTGCTCGCCGGCCGGGCAGGCACCGGGGTTCATGCCCTCGCCCACACCGTACTGGTAGGATTTGAGCGGCATCTTATACGCGCCAAACGGCGTCAGATCCACGCCGAAACGGCCGCCCGAATCCTCCATCCAGTACTCGTGCAGCGTGTGGCCCCGGTTGAGCTTGTTGGGCTTGTTCAAGAAATCGCGGTAGAAGTTCGCGACGTCCTGGCGTTTGATGTTGGCCGCGCTGGGGTGCGGCGTGCCCCAGACCGTCGACTCCGGCGGCTGCGTCACGGCGAAGGGCAGGTCCGGGTAGTCGACCGCGACGAGCGCGATGTTGAAGTTGCGGTTCGAGCCCTTCTTTGCGGGATTCGACCAGTCGGTGCCGGGAGGCGCGCGCCAGTCCGCCCACGTCATGTTGTCCGGATTGACCCAATTTTGCGGATCCAGCACCGCGAACGGATCCTCCGGAGTCCTCGCACTGTCGCTGTCGGCGTCACTCTGCGCGCTGGGAGCGGCAAGGGATAGAGGTGCGGCGAGCACCGCCAGCACGCTGCTGACGGCCAGTGCCCGCCAGCCGCACGTCGATGCACTAGGGAGCTGCATCCTGTTCCGTCGTTAACTCGATCGGGCGGAGAATTCGGAGTGATAACGCCCACCCAGCTCACTACTGGTGCGCGCGCATCGACAGAAATCCTCCGAGGCGTGCGTGCCGGTTTTATAACCGGCAAACCCCCCTCCCTGGCGGCATGCTGCCTGTCGTAATTAATCAAACGTTCTTTTCGCCCAGTTCCTTATCTTCTGGCCGTGGGATCGCCTGCGCGCAGATGAAGCAACACGGCGCGCGGGGCAGGGTGACATTTGTTTGCTGACCACGTCATATAAGCCCTGGCTGGCGGAAATCTGTTCCCGTTGCGAAGTACCCTATACCGCCCAGCGACGCGACTTAGCGTGCGCGTGCGTGGTACTGGGTACTTCCGTGCGGGGAAAAGCCATGGAGTGGTATATGATGAGCCTTCGCGGGAGGCCATCGCCGGGCCACCGCTAGCCGCGCAAAGCCAATCAGTGGATCCGGCGCCGGCTACCAAGGGGCTGCCCTGATGGTCGTTGGCGGCCAATACCACCTGCTGCAATAATCGATACGGGCCAGGGTCAAAGGACGACCTGGGATGTGCCTGGTACCCAGCTGATTTGACCGCGCCAGAGACGAAAGAATGCTGGTCCGCGGACGGGGGCATCCCGTATACGCACGCCGGAGCCATCGCTGGCCAGATGCATAACCGGATTGTTATATGATTATTCTCTTTTTAAATGACGGCAACGGGATGGCTTTCGGATAACTAGCCGGCTGCATTTAAAATTGCTGCCATCCGGCATGCTTGTTGCACTGCTTGAGGGGCTCCGTGGAACATTCTCCGGGAGTCCACCTGCCGGACCGTCTGGAATCGATCTTGCTAGGGAAACTGACAACCCGTCGCGTAGTTACGCTCTTCTGCCTGCGACTGTTGAGAGATCGCGAACGTGCTGACTAATCGGTCAATAACTGACTACCACGTGACCCGCTGCTTTCCTGGGGCTCTCGCCTAAACAGGGATTGGAGAAGAACGGCTGGGATGAAGCCTCGCTTGGGCCAGTTGTGGGATCATCTCTGCCTCCAGACACCAGAAGCCATGATCTGGATTAAGGCGGGTGCTTTGAGACAAGGGTAAGACAGCTTTCAGGGTGGCCGCAGCCGCTGTCCTCTAAGTTCTCAAACAAACCTTGCACAGCTCCCGTTCCTTACTTGAAGGGCATGGTTGATTCCCTGGTTGGATGGTGGGTGCTGGAAAGTGCATAAAACCAGTTCGCCAGTTCGGACTGCTGTTTTGCGTTCCGGGCAGGATCAGCTTTCCCTCTCCGACCGCATAGAAAACCTTAACTGGTTACTGCTTGCGAGCTGTCTGACTCAACCCAATGTTCGTACCATTCTTGGAGTTTCATATTCGAACAACCAGCTGTGCCAAAGAAACAGGCTTCGGTTTTCATGTGTCAAGTCTCGACCTGTAAGCATTATTTATTGCCAAGGGGTCGGTTTTATGGTGGAAAAATAGACCGCCTTTTTTTGACTCTGATGCCTGTTACACCTGACTCTGATAGATGCGGCCAAGCATGGGGTGCCTGGGCCATGCCGGGTTGCTCGCGAAACTCTCCATCTAAAGCTACTTATTGCTGGCGTCTGGCCCGAGTCCTATAGGATGACACGGCACATGTAATAATTATTGTGAGTGCTACAACATCCAGCCGTTCTTTTCGCCATTATTCGTTATTCTCGGTTTCTCCTTGCGTTTCGCGATCATTCTTTACGAGGTGCAATCATCGGATACGGGCCACCGTTGTTGATTTTGAGGGGCTTTATGCCGGGGTCTTGCTAGATGAACTTTAGAGGCTTCTAGGGGTCGGTGTTGGGAGGATCTGACTGAAGACCAACTTAAAAGAGAAGCACATACGGAGTACGGAGGACCTAATAAGATGGGTACATCTGTATACTTATATCATACTGGGTTTTGTGGCCGGCGCATTGGTGCACCGGCTCTACCATGCAATTTCAAAATGCAATCGGCCAAATGTCAATGCTGGGGTACATGATGTTCAGGATACCAAAAAAGGGGCCATTATGGCCGTTATGTGCTCCCGAGCTAAGTAACAAAACACCCAATAACACCATAGTTTACGTGTTGGGAGGTTTTTCTTGCTGGGCGCTAGACTTCGAACCAAAAAAAGCCATAAGAACTAGCAGAGCAATGTATTTTTTATCATAATTCATATCAAAATTGCTTGAGCCCCGCAAGGCAGAGAAGTGTTCAAGCTTAAGCAGATTGTTGTCATTATTCAAATGTCTAAGAACCAAACGAGACGCAATTAATGAGCCGGAACTCGTTCGTAGAACACGAGGTACGCCTGCTCATTCTGAAGACAATCCGAAGACCGAGGACTACCAGGCCTGAAGTCTGTTACTCGGTGATCGTCGAATTTTCGCCAGCAGTCGCGATTATTATCACGAACTAAGGCAATATAGTGGCCCTCGTGGATCGTTGATCCCAAATGCTGCACCACAGCGTAAGCATTGTAGATGTATGGGGGAGACGTCGCCAGCTCGTGGGGTGTAAGTTCAGTTTGAGCCAAAGTTGAAGCGTTTGTGTTGGCCTGGGGTGAGGAAGGGCGGCTGGGTTCGAGTTGGGCCATGAAAGGGCTCATATCTAGCCCAGACAAGGGAAAATTGACGGCTGTATGTATTTTTCTCGCCTGTTGGCTGTGGGAGGCAGAAAAGCGCTTAAAGTGAAAAACGAGGAAGCGAGGCGCACGGGTGAGAATGATTTGTTTGGTCGCTTCCCTCTCCGTGCGACAATGCGGGCACTTCCAAACTTCATCTCCACTGAGCATCTCTTCGTGGCAGTAACTACGAAGACATTGGTAAATATCCCCCGAGCCCGACACCGGAATTTCGACGCTAATGCTGTAAAATGCTTCATATGTGGTGGATGTGCGCCGGCAAGTCGTGCAGCGCAACCGACTTGCATGTTGCCCAGCAAAAAGAGATGATATGTAAGACAATTCGCGATGACAATAGCGATTCCATTCGATTCCCGATACTTGGTTGATCGGCATCTGCTCACGACGCATTTCTTGCTCAGTTGTCAGTGGGCGCAGGGGTGTCCTTTGCCAGTTCAGATTGAGATCCTCGTGCAAGCAATCGACGAGAACGTCGAAGAACTCTTTAGCATCCTGCTGCTGACTTCCAGCCCACTCTGGATTTAGCCGGCCGACAAACTTTCGAAATGAGGTAGGTCTGATCACTTCAACGTCGTTCTTCCACAATGATCGAATCAGATTGGCATAGAGTCCAGGTAAAACGCCTTGAGAACCCTTCCAGTTTTTTTGTACCTGGGTGTGAAATCGATTATCAAAGAAGAATTTAGTAAGTTCTGTTGTAGCACTTAAACTTTGAATGATGGAATTCATATAACATGTTGACCCAAGATTAACGAGACCAGTACGGGGGAGTTTTATGCGATCGAGAGGGGAAACTGATTTATATAAAGCGTGCTTAGTTGCAGAAGCTTGACGCGCAAGAGGAGGTTGGAGGTGACGGTCATCGGCAACTCCGCTGTACGAAGGACGGGGTACTGCTGGCGGTGGCCGAGACGGAGGTGCAATAGGTGGTTCGTCGGTGTATTGGGCGTATGCCGGCGGGTTTGAGGGAATACTCGCCATGGACTGACGGATATCCTGGGGCTCTGGGAATCGTCGGAAGAAATCCTCATAAGTATGTACAAAAGGCGAGTTTGATTCCGTGCCAGAAGCCTCAAGATCTTCAGGTTCTTCTGTGATACCACCGGCTTCTGCAACATAGCTAGTCGGGTCTATCTCCTCTGTTTTCGCCTTCTCTAGCCATGCTCGTTCTTCTTCTGGATTCAGAGGCGTAAACTCACGAAGCCTTCTTTTCTTCACTTCCCAGCTTGAGTTAGCACTGACAGTGGGCATTCTTCTTGGTGGCTGGCGTCTTCCCGGGGTAGATGTACGTGCTCCAACCGTATGCATTATAACAGCAGTGTGAGTTGTCGCCAATGACTGCGGCCCAACTAGATCAACCCAAGCATCAAGTCCACCCACAAGCAGAACGGGCGGTCGGCCATCCCTGAGTGGTTTGTACATGTTGAATTCGTAAAGAGTGTCATAGAGAGCTCGTAGATGAGGTACAGGGCTAGACGCAGGAGATCCAGCTAAGTAAGACGAGTCACTTGTACTCTGATCATAGTACACAACAAGATCAAATTCGTTCCGTCGTGAAAAGAGTGCTTGCTCAAATTCAGGTGATATTATTAAACGGTCTTCAAGCTCCTCCGCAGATACATTTTCTCTGAGAACGACAGGTTCCACACAAATTACAGAATTTGAATATATGTGGCCACTGTCGTATTGCTCCCGCGAACGAACATCAATAAGTAAAATATCATATTTTCGTAGGTACTTGAATAAAACATCAGCGGTTATTGTTGTACCGACAGAAATATCAATCGTCTTTCTTCCAGTGTCCGCTTCGACATGGATGCCATTAGGAGTACGAGACCGATATGGGTTTTCATCAAGTGAATCGTTTAAACGGTCAATTCCTGATACCTGTTTTTGACAAACAGAGCGAAGACTATCGGTCGATGTTCTGGGAGGATTGGAAGGCGGCTTTGATGGGGTAATATTCATAGGACTGTACGCAGGACTTGGGAATCTAGGAAGCGGCTCAATGGGGGAAATAGGAACTTTGGGTGGTAACGCGGGAGGGTGGCTTTGCGGCGAATTCATTTGTCGTGGTCCTAAAGGACGGGATGGAGGGTCCATAAGGGATCGGGAAAGAGGTAAGGAAAGGGGTCGACCGCTACGAGATGGCGAATGTTGTGGAGCTTGGTGTGGGTAGCCATTGCTCTGAATGGTTTGGTATTCAGAAGTAGCTGTGATGTGATGAGAATTCCTGAGGCTAGCAAAGCGTTGTGCAAGCGGGTCATGCAGTGACTGTGGATCTTCTAAAAACCTTTGTGTCAAATTCTCTGGTTTTGGTCTGATTTCAGGCTTTGATTTCTTCCCATGGCTGCTAGGCATTTGCGCACCGGGCCGCAAACTCGATGGGTGCTGAAAAGTTGCCGGGCTCGGGGGGCTAATTGGTCTTTCACTAAGTCTACGTCCCCCTTCGTGCTGGGACAAATCAGCTGAACGGCGCTGTGGGGAAGGAGGATATGGCAGAGAATTTGGTCTTGCCCCAGGAGCATCGTTATCCGAGAGAATTCTGCGTTTTATATTCTCCATACTCGTGTGTTGGGAGTTGACAGTCTATAAAGATCATTAGCAAAAATATTCTACGTCTTTAAATTCGAGCTGCTACGTGACCAGATCACTTTGGGTCGAAATTAACTCACCATGAGCAGTCTAGAAAATTGATCCGCCCATCGAGGGTGATGTTGGTTCATGTAATTAAAATCAGGATGATTTGGAATGTTATTTATGACGATATCAGAAGCACGAAGATACTGCATTAGAGCCAGGTCAAGTTGTCCCTGTTCCTTTAAATCGCTAGATTTCTGGATGGCTTCCTCTGAAAGTCGAACAAGCTCATTGAGCTGCCAATTTATAAGCTGTTAGTTACCACTTTTTCCCACTAAATAGGGCAGCTGCCAGCCGAGAAACATACGGAGACTTGTCCATCCAGGCTCAAAGATTTCGCCATTTCCTGTAGTGATCTCATGTCCATATATTGCCGGTTATCTATTCCGCTGTCGATCGCGCCCCGCTCGCCAAAATGGCGGTGGGGGTCAGCGACGTCTCCATGCATGGCTTTCCAACCTGGCAGCGTACGAGAACAGGGGTTCGCTGCCTTCGGCGTCGCAGAACAAAATTGAAGAGAATGTTCCAACACAGAGAAATTAGATTAGTCTCTAGAGAACAAAACCATCTTCACAGCAGGTGGGTAAACGAGCGAACGGATGGTCTTCGAGCAGTGCCGTCGTGCGAGTTATTGGCAAACAAAGACGAGGAGTCGGAGGTATTTGCGGTCCTCTGTAACCATGGAGATAATCGATTCAGTCATAACGTCATTAGCGTTTCACCGGCAAGATATCGACGGTCATGGAATATTTGCGTGAAGAACAGCTCCCCGATAGTGACACATGATGCCTGGAATTCCCCTCCGACGCGTGTGCGGCAGTAGCAGCGAAGTGACGAAGCCAATACGCCCGCAGCGCTTATTGAACGGCTAGCCGCGCTCGACGCTCCACACTAACCGCATTTAGTTAGCCCCACTCCTTGTGGAACTTGGGGCGGTCAGGTGTCGAATGACTAATCCACCTTTGAGGCACATGGATCTGGCAGCTGTCGAGATGCTGTAAGCCGCAGTATTGCCTTGAGCAACCTTTCTCGTTGGAGTTTGTTATGCCCTTACCATAAATATTCTACGCATCATCTTGCAATAAAGCGACTCTTATTCAGGATCCTTGCATATTCTCCTTCAGTTTGTGACTGCCTGGTGCTGGAAACTCTGTTAGTGTCGTCATCTTCTCCGTGCCTAGAAAAGTCGCCATCCAGGCAAACAAGTTCCTTCTCCACGCATATAAAGGACTTTTTAAATCAAGAGGCTTAGACACCAGAGAACTCCGTCATTATGGCGGGCTGGTTCTCTTCGGTTTCCCCGTTCGAGGAACAGGTCGAGAAAGCGACCGCTTCATCCCTGTATGACCAACACGGGCTATGGTACTGCCATAACTGACCCGACTGCCTTCTAGGGAAGACATCTCTTTGAATTTAGAGATATCGGATCTGATTCGCTCGAAAACTGTACAACCGAAGGATGCTATGAAAGTTCTAAAAAGGAGACTTGAGAATAAAAATCCAAACGTCCAGTTAGCGACATTGAAGGTGGGTGATATAGCCAATGCCGCCTGAACCTTTCACTAAGCCTTGATTTTCCAGTTGACAGATACCTGCGTTAAAAATGGTGGCCGTCATTTTCTTGTTGAGATTTCTTCCAGAGAGTTCATGGATAACCTCGTTTCTTTACTCCGACTCGAAGGTGTAAACGCCCTGAATGCCAACGTAAAGGCGAAGTTGCTGGAGTTGATTCAGACTTGGGCGCTTGCCACAGACTCGCGAAGTGAGCTATCATACTTGGGTGAAACATATAGGAAGCTACAATGGGAGGGGTTCGAATTCCCACCGAAAATGGAGATGGCCAGTAGTATGCTTGACAGCAGTGCAGTAAGTTCAGGATCACTCCAACCTCCCGTTATGTCTATATTTAAAACAGTTATTAACATTATCGTACCGAAAAGCCTCCAGAATGGATCGATTCTGACGTATGTATGAGATGTCGAACCGCTTTTACGTTCACAAACAGAAAACACCATTGTCGCAACTGTGGGAGTGTCTTTGATGCCCAGTGCTCCAGTAAAACTTTACCTCTACCCCATCTCGGAATTATGCAAGCGGTTAGAGTCGATGATGGATGTTACGCAAAGCTTACCTCCAAAACTTTTAATGCGCCGTCTAGCTTGGTAGACCGCTCTGGCCTGAAATCTCCTAAAGCGAGTACACGCATGGAACCTCGTGGTGGTCGCGCAGATACAGATTTTGATGAGGATCTTAAGCGTGCTTTACAATTAAGCTTAGATGATATAAAAGGCAAAGGATCTAGTGGATACGTTGCACAACCGAAAGCGATGAATGGGGCTGTGGATTTGGGATCAAATGCGGCAGAAGAAGACCCGGACTTGAAAGCCGCAATCGAAGCTTCTCTACGGGATATGGAAGAACAAAAAAGAAAGCACAGTGCTGCTTTGAAAACCTCGACATCTGACACGAATTCATCACATACTCCTGTTGTTGGTCTTCCGAAGAAGGATTACGAGCTTACTGCAACCGAAGCAGAAAAGATCAGTCTACTGGCGACCCTTGTTGACCGTTTGCAGCATCAGCCGCCTGGAACAATATTACGGGAACCCCAAATCCAAGAATTATATGAGAGTATAGGGGCTCTAAGACCCAAATTAGCTCGGACATATGGCGAAACAATGAGTAAATATGGTAAGCATATCTGTAGTAGGTGTATTACTGGTTATTTCGTGACTAAAGCCCAATAGATACTCTCTTGGATTTACATGCCAAGCTATCCACTGTTGTTCGGTATTATGACCGTATGTTAGAAGAACGGCTTTCCAACACTTACGCTCAACATACAATCGGTGCATACGATTCATTGCAGCCGTCTCAGCCATCTTCAAACTTATACCCTGTCATGCCACGTGCACCGGATGGTCGGGGAGGGGTAGAAAGCTTCTATGCACAAGGCGCAGATGCACAATTCCCCCCGTCTCAAACCTACCCATCTATCAGCCGACACTCGTCCATGGACCAATCTTATGGTCAGTCGCATCTACCGGCTGCGGTGCCGACTCAAAGCCCATATGGGCATCCAACTTCACAATATAACCGACATACCCATATGTGGAATCATTCCGCGGATCACAACTCCCCCATTCAAAACTTCCCACCAATGCCCTCGTACCCTGATCAGTCCGTACAGCTAACGCACGCAACCTCCGCCCCTCAAAATGATGCCGCCTATACTGCTGGTTTTCAATCGGCGCCAGCAGAAGGGAGTTACCCCCAACCAAGCTCGCAGTTTTCTCAGACGGCATCTCCAAACCAGCAACAACAAACTATTCGAACAATGCCCCCCCCCGCAGGACAAATGCCTGCGCAGCCTCTCTCCTACCATACTCAAGCACCCCCTCTCGGTGCGCCATACCAAGCATTTGCTGACGCAGCCAATGCGCCACCACAGCCTGCAGAGCAGACCCACCAACCTCCATACAGTTGGAAAAATACGCAAGGTTCTTATGCGCAACCACTTAAAGGAACAGAAATGTATCAGGGCCCTGCTGTTGGGGCTTCACAGCCGCTGTCACAACCGCGAACGCAGCCCCAAGTCAAGCCCCCAGAAGAAAGCCTGATAGAGCTTTAGTACCAGCCATATAGTGGGGGACACTAGGTAATTTGGTTTTGGTAGTGTTAACAAAATCGACTCTTTACCGACCCAACGGTATCGTTCTTCCCAATTTCCAATTTACACCAGTAATGCAACTTTGTATCGGGTTCTATTTGATTTACTCCGAACTCCATTCTATTCCGCATAGCGAATATGCTTTGTGGTGGTCAGCAAGTCATGGCGTTTTGGTTCATTAGTTGAGCGCTATCTGGGGCTGGGCATGTTCGATAGCGTCTAGATACTCCGTATGTATGAAGCAAACATTCTTCGTCGTGTTATATGCTCAATGCCGAATCGGTCGGAGCGGCGTCACGTGCGGGCTCACCGCCTGGCAGTTTCCGCCAAGCCCGTCCGCTTCTGGCCAGCATCGCCGGGCATCTCGACTCTTCGTGCTCTCCGCATGCATTCCGCTGCCTAGCACTCTTCTTCTGCGGTCTATCCGTATTGCGGCTTTCACGTACAGTTCTCTAGGTCATTTGACACTGCGAAACGTCCTCTTGTCCGTTTCTGCCCAACCACAACGTCATTCGCCCCTCTTGCAGCCAATTACCCGTGTCTCCCATCCGCCTTGCCCAATTACCTCTCGTTGCGCTCAGACTGAGGGGATAATCCCTTTAGAAATCACCACACACGTCCGAGCTCAGAGCGGGGCCAGCTCTGTTGTTCTCGCGGGCTAGCCGCATTTACGATCACAGAGTGGAGACCAAAGCGAATGTCGTCTTGCCTTCGTTGAACCAACATCTATTTCTGGGGCTGACACCATGCCATCAAACATTTCGCCAGCTAAGCGCTCGGTATCCTCCCCGCAGGCGCCATCGGACGTATCTTCGATGCCCCGTCACCCGTCCTTTACAGCCGCCCAGCCTCACAAGCCAACCGGCCACAAATCACATCGCCCACACGTTGTTGGCACGCATCGCGTGCATGGACGGACGCAGTCGCATAAGAACCTAAATAAGCTGCAACGACTGGCGCTTGCACACAACTTGGCTGCTGATGGAGTAGGTGCGCCTCCAAATCCGTCTCGCCACCAGCGAAAGAAATCGGCGCCTGTTTCTCCTTCGACGAGCCCCCCCACACAACAGAGTCACGTCCGCTGGAACCAGTCTACGATATCGCTCACTACTCCGCCTACCAGTGCGCCTATGCGGAAGAACTTATCTACTCCGGCGTTAAGACGAAATTCTGGAGTTCAGGCGAAAAAGGCCCTGACAGTGACGAAAGCTGAAAGTCATGAAAAGAAGAATACAACTAAATCTGTTGGATTCGACTTAGCTGATTCCGATGATGAGGACGAGTGGGAGGATCATAGCTCTATCTCGGCATCTAGTACAAGACGAAACTCTGTTGTCTCAGGCAAGATGAATGGCCAAAATAGCCTCACAAGTCCTGCAGCGGCAAGATCCCCTCTTGTTCAAGAGAGTCACACCACGGACGTTCCCGGTCGGGGTGTGGTCAATCAAGATCAGCCCTCGCAGAAGCGTCCTGACGAACCGTCAGAGCAGCTTCACTTGCTGGACCAGCACTTGATTGCAACTCGTATTCTACAGCAGTCGCATTCTGCGAAAGTTCCGCCATCGGTCTCCTCGATATCCGCCACCGCAACTCCTACACCTCCCGATAGGACTCCTCGTTCCAGCTCCTTTGCCAACTTAGCTTCTAGTCTAAGTGCAATGAACCATTCTCCTGCCCCCTCCGCCCCAAACTCGATGATTGTCACCCATCCTCATGCTACATCTTCCTCCGCTGAAGGCGGGGTGTCCCGATTTTTGATAAATGGCTCCGGCCCTAATCCTCCCTCTAGCTCTGATCCCGCCACCCCATCCTCTTTTCTACCACACTACCATCCTCGAACACCACCTTCACCCGAGTCCACTGTTGTTAAACACTCCAAGTCCCCCAAACCCTCTGCAAATGGCCTTTTTGAACCACACTCCCGGACACAACAGAAGCTCTGGTTGCAAAGGACGGCGACTATGTCCAACTCGCCTCCAGACACATTTGCTCCTGGATTATGCCCCGCCGTGACTCCCTCGGCAATAGATTCACATATATCCGGTGTCCCATCTCGTCCTACTACTAGTGGCTATGACACTCGTCGACCAGTGATCGGGCCCCCTTGTCCTCCTGGAATGCCTGCAGCTGATAGTGAAAGCAAGCGTGCACGGAAAATATATGATAGATTGGCTACGGAATACTCTGTTGTTCGCCGCTTTAGGGACCCTGTCGTGGACAGCTTTAAACGTCTCCGCCTGATACCTGGATCTAACACGGACGGAAAGCTGACGAGAGTTAACTCTGCCCGTGACCTTGCTAGCAATGGAGTATCGCGCCCTGAGTCCCGGGATAATTCACACACTTCTACTAGTATTAAAGAGCCAGGAGTAGGTAGCCAGTTCCTTAGCAAGACCAACTCTTCAAAGCAAAGTCAAGTTCGGTTTCAAGGGCATGATGATATAATTGAAGAGCCAGATCACGCTATCGAAAAGCTTTCCAAAACATCCGTACTAGCTGATGGGAATACCTACGAGCAACACGTAGATGGCCCCAGCGACAATACGCGATACCGGCCTACTGAAAATGAGCTGTTAGCTCGCAGAATATGGGAGAGCAGAGAAGTTCCCATAGCGGGGGAATAGTCTGCCATATACATACATACCTACGTTGTGGCATCTAAAGTATTTTGGGTTTAGCGATTACTGCATTGTGCCCGGGATTAACCTAATTGCCGTTTTAATTTCTCCATTTTGGCATAGGTCGTGTGGCTATCTTTTTTTTTCTTTTTGAGTAACTGCTGCCGCAACGTTTCATGTCTTGTTTCCTGAATCCTAGGTGGCCTTATTTGGCTCTAAGGTACCACTAAACAACATAGCGTCCGCGTTTTCATCTCAAGCAAGCCTGGGATCTGATGATGGTTCTTCATTCCATTGCTAAATTTGCTTAGTAATACACCCAGTGGAATCACTTTTTGTCTCCATTGACATTTCATTTGCTCCCAATATCTACAATATGGTTTAAAATATCTGAACCTTTTTCTTCTGCCAAAGGTATTATGGATAATGAAGTTAAATTTTTGTTCTTATTTTCACTGATGGAGAATTACGGGAGTTTGTAACTCAATATTGCCAACTGCTCTATTCAACAATAGCATGTTTTGGAAATCGAACATATACTATTACCCTTTAAGGCCGATGATTGTTTTGTGAAAGATATTGTAGTAAAATAGTAGAATACGGGACAACCATACGTAAAGATATATATATATACAACAAAAATATTACAGGTAAGTATAATCAACAACTGAAACCTGTTCTACACAGATATCCTGAAATAATGTACATTCCAGATCGGGACAACGCTTGCTTGCAAGCGTATCATTGCCGCGGCGGCGGGATCCTCACTTTTCCGTGTGTTGAGCCACGATTGGAGCCACCGCGGACGAAGCCACCTCTGGCACGATCATTGTTTTTCCTGTCATCGGCATTCCGCTGCTGGTTTTGGGCAGGAGAGCGGCCATTGAGTGGGTGGCCAGATCCTGGAACGATCTCCACGGGCGCTGAAGCCTGGTTTGAGCTGTTCTCCGCATGTCGTATATCACGGCGCTGGGCGCCACCACGGCCTCTGTTCTTGCCCTGGCCACCTCTTCCAGCTTCCATTTTCCTGCCGTGGCCCCGTGCACCACCGGAAGTAGATGCTGTGGTGGAAACGGCAGCCTCTTCTTCCATGACCCGCTTACTCTCCGCATCCCACCATTCCTGAAACTCTTGCTCTACTTGGATATCGTGGAGATTATGCTTGGCTGTTGCGCTTTCCCGTATTACGTCTTTTTCGAATTGCTGCTGTTGAAGAATTTCTGCAAGAGACAAAGGTGTGGAATTAGAAAATTTTGGAGCCAGTGTAGATTTGGTGCCGGTAGATGGCTCTGGCTCAGCATTTTGGGAGGGACAAGGGCTGCCAGAGACAGTTTGACGAAGGTTTAACGACGCTTTACTGCTCGATCGTTTTGGTGTTAAAGGTGACTGGTTGTTTTGTTGTTTATCCACGCCCAAAGTATTCTTCGGCACTGATGGAGTCTGCCACGGAGATATTGGTTTGGCTTTTGGCGTTTCTACCTCCGAAAAGATCCCCTGCAACTGTTGTTGCTTCATCTTTTTTCGCTCTCTCTGCGAAAGCTTTGAAGGCGTAGGCTTCGGAATCTCAAGTTCACGGCGTATAGAAGAAATAGACTGAGGCTGCTGGCCTTTTAACCCAGATGTTTCCGCCATAATATCCTTGAGGCCTGCCTTTGGGGTACGTCCAGAGAGACCCCATGGTGCTCCTGGAGTACCACCGATCCCAGAGATGATCGGAGAAGAACTGGGCGGCAGGGTGGGTGACCGTTGGAAGTTGGGAACAATATTGATACCAGAGATTGGACCTAAAGATGGCGAATATTTCGATGGTGGCGATACCTCACCGGGATATCTCCCGTTACTAATATCGGCTTGAGCCTTAAATGTGCGTGGAGTACTCGAGACAAGGCTGGCTGGAAGTGTACACTCATCGTCCATTGGAAATATTAAATCTCCATTGGAAGGCTTGGATTTCAACAAGGGACTCTCTATGGGTAATTTGGAGTTTTGCTCTTGAGTGGTTGTCTTGCTTTTTGGCGGTGAGAAAATCCCTGGCTTTTCAAGGCTTCCAACCTTCAGTTTCTCCTCCCGCACCTCATCTTCATGGAGTCGCGAACGTAGCTTCATGGAGTCGATTTGGCGCTGCCTGTCTTGTTCAAGTCGGGAAACCAACTCTGGGTATTTTTCCAGTATGTATTCTTGAGTATTTCTAGCCTTCGAAATTGGGTGATGGGCTATCTGGTTTTGACGACAAATGTCATCGAGTTCTTCGAACAAGTCCGAATCTAAATTATCCAGCAGCCTAAAAGAATGATATCAGAACTAATTTCAAGATCTGATATGATTCTATTCACCTGTTCTCCAGCATAACCTCTGAATTCAGGCAGATGTACTCTAAGGCGGCCCTCTTGAAAGCAGTCACTGAACAAGGAGCCACCGTATTCAAGAAAGGAACGACATTACGTATATCAACTACACTCGCCAGTTAGTCTCATGGCAAGAAATAAGCAGAACGGACCTACCAAAACTGCCTAACAGCTTCTGGCAAATTTCGGCTAGCCTGTCAATCATTAACTCGTTGGCAACGAACATAACATCAATGATTAGCTCAATAAAATCGTTCAAATCCGTTGTCTGAACATCTTCAAAAAGCTCATCATCGGTATCTGCGTATATGTGGCGTAGCACAAAGGCAAATATTTCGGGAGTGATATGTTTGAGATCGATACGAATCATCTCTACTGTCCCCGTGCCCTCCTCTCTCCTAGAGAATAGCCAACGGCCGCCAGCTCGACCATTGAATAGAGCGTCAAAGAACGGGCATCTTTGGCAGAGAATAGGGCTGTGGGCTTTGACGTTTCCTCTGTCCAGTTCAATAATCACATCACCACTGTCGAAGAAGCTAGGATGCGAAATGGTATTCTCCATATCAAGATTTAGGGTCTGTTCAGGTTGTATCATAAGCCTTGCTGCCCTTTCAAGATATTTTAAGTCTAGCTGTGTAGCCAACTTAATCACTTCGGTTCGTACTTGACGATATCTTGAAGCATGTTTTGTTTCCTGTCGAATCCGGTTCCAAACATTATATGATTTATCAGTATAAACAAATAATACAACATTAAATATAGATAAGAAGTCGAAATTTTGAAATTGAAGATGGGCCTGGCCACTACTGTTATACTCAATTGATAAAAGATCGGGAATGGAGTAGTAATATGATTGTCGAAATTCGGAAAACGCTTTGCGAAGCGTCGAGCTTCTAGCAGAAAGCACGAATTCGTGTACAGGTATTCGAGTTTTTGAGGAGGTAGAAGAGACCCAGACAAGTGCGGGGATCGTCTCATCTGGCTCACAGTGTTTTATCATATTATCCAGTGAGACCTCAAGCTCGAGGGGTCGTAAGGGCGTTTTATTACCCGGTGAAGCCTGATGTTCAGAGCGGTGATTCCTAGAGATATCTTCAAGAACATGGGTATCAAGAAGGTCCTTAAACGGTAGGAGAGAGGAGAGATCATGCCAAATTGTGCGAACCCTTGGTACAATTTGGTTCATTACCTCACACTCCCTCTGGGCAGCGGCATAAGCTCCAAAAGCATTGCTCCTGACAGCAACGACACGAGATAAGCCTGGAATTCTAACGAACTTATAATCCTTAGTCTGCCGCTCACCCGCCAGATTCCCACCTGCATCTTTCAGTCGGTTTCTAGGCTCCTTACGCCATGCAGAACCCGACTCGGTGCAAATGATGATAGAACCGTCCTGGCCAACATCCACATCTCGAACTGCCATGTGAGATTTCCGAATAGACCATACACGAGAAGGCTGCGGAAGAGAATTCCTGATCTTGGACGGGTTGGTGGTTGAAGAAGAAACAGAATGTGTATCCGCTTTTCGAGAGACATTTATGGTATATACCTCTCCGAAGCTTGACATAGCACAGATCGTGTTGCCGCCACTAGTGATTTTCACGACAAAATTCGCAGCAAGCCCATATCTAGTAGAAAGAAAACTATCTCGAATGAAGGAAGAAGAGCCGTCAAGGGGAAATGAGAGCCTAGAGTATCCATAGTGTGTGAAAACCCATACATCATGATTCTCCAATAAGACGGCAGTGGCGCGATCAATTGCAGTCGCCATTATGATTGATTGATTAAAAAGCGAGGCGCCAACACGTCGTGGTATCACCAACACCTCGAGTGAGCGTGCGTCAGCATCGATTAAACCGAGCTGACCTTCATTCTTCCCGAAAGTGTATATTGAGGTTGTTGTATAGACGACAGAATGAATAGCAGACGCAGCAGCGGCAACAATCATCTCCTTTTTAAAGGGGTTGAAGATTTGCCTTGGGGTGGTTTGAACTGGCAAGTCGTCTTTTTGATTCGTCTTTGGAAGTGCATAGCCGAGTTGGCCGTACTTATTACTTCCCCAAGTAAACACCTCTCCTTGCTCCGATATAGCAATTGAATGATCTTGACCCAGCGCTACACTGATAATCTTCTTTCCTGCTATTGCACCTCCCTCGATACAGGTAAAATGGAATCGAGTAGATTCATCACCAGTACCTAACCTTCCACCAGAGCCAAACCCACACATGTAGAGATTTGATTCAGGGTCGGTTGTAAGGATAGCAGTATGTAATTTGGCCATGACAATATCCTGGTAGATAATAGACTGACTGCGTATTTTAATGGGCAACTCAGACGCAGAGTCGAATTCACCTCTCTCATCAGTGTTCTTCAGGCCTTGTTCTTCACGCAGCGACTCTCGTTCGTGGTAGAATCGATATAGCAAATGGTCTGGGCGGGTTAGGCTGACACGTTCTGGGAACTGCCGGTCATCGCCATCTCCCTGTCCCAAGGATAGATTTTTATTGCTTCCAAAGGTGAACACTTCGCTCCCTGCAAAGTTTACAAGTGGTCTTAACTTCCCCACTGAGGTATGCACCTCTGTTTCATCATGAACCGATGAACATTCCGAGGAATCATCATCTGTTGTATGCATAGGATCATCATCACTTTTGTTGATGTCTCGGGCCACAATAGTAGTGCCGAATAGCTCAAAGGGGCTGTTTCCTTCCCGGTCTTTTATCTTAATTAACCCACCGGAGGCATGATGGCATCCATTGGATGCTCGAAAGCCCGTGGCATCATTGATATCTCGCGCAATCAAAGCTTGTGCAATGGCAATATTCCCAGCGTAGAGAGCTCGATGCAAAGCTGTCCACCCACTTTCCACATCCTGCACGTATATATCCAGAAAAGGAATTGCGAATAGTGCTCTGACAAACTCCAGGGCCGACTCTTTCTGGGAAGAGCATGCTAGGTGCAATAACGTGCGACCATGTCGGTCTCTCGAGTTGGCATCGGTGCGTGAGATGATGACAGGTGGCCCTTGCACTGGTAATGCCTTCTCTTGTAGCGGAGAAGCGGCTAGTCTTTTTGTTTTTGATCCGGTGCCGGGTGGTGATCCTAGGGAGGCGCTGTAACTGCCAAGCTTAGGTCCAACGGCGGTACTCCTCTGCCCGGGGGTATAATTGGCGTTGGCCAGGAAGCTCTTAAAGGCTTCAACATCATCCTGGAGAAAATACTGCCACAATTTACAGCTCATGTGCCGCACCGTGCCTTCAACGGCCGAATCCCCTTCAATCAGGCCCCGGCAATACGCGGTGACTCAGCTAACGGCGAAGTTCGTAAGCGGTCTCCGAGGGGCAAGGGGGAAGGCGCGGGAGGGATGGAGCGTTCGAAAGGGAGCTTTGGCGCTTAGATAGAGGATACCGATGCGGCTTTCGCGGGGGTGAGGGGCTAGTTCGAGAAGACACAGTGGCGGTTCGCGAGATGACGACGGGCGACGAATGCGACTGATGACGCGCAGGGGTTTCGATACAGCGGTTCCAGTGGTTTGCGAGACAGTTCCTGATGCAGGACGATGATGCTGACGATGCAGTCGGCGCGGGGAGCTGCAGTTATTTAAGGGCCGACGACGACGCGGGTCACAAGCTGGCGGGCAGTCGAGCTGAGCGCGTGAAGGCCGGCGGGCGGGACCGGAGGAGAGGTTGTTGCGGCGCGGCCAATCAGCAGGCGCGACACCCGCCATGCGGCCAGACGAGAGGCCCAAAGCATCGGAGCTTATTAAGGCGGCGCCAGAGGGGGCTACGGCAGACTGCCCAGCATACCCCCCTCACATGATCCCGACGTCGCTGCCAGCTGCCACTCGCGACAAGGGCTCCGTTACGTGGGGTACGGGAGTGCTGCCGGCCAGCACGACGCGGTGGTGAGAAGCGCGGCCGTATCTCTTGCGTGATGAGGCTGATCGGCACAGGCAACAGGCTTATCGGAGGCGCTAGGCTCCTAGTCTTATCATGAGGCTCCCTGTGGCGGCGTTCTTCACAGAAGATCAGAGCTAGCCAAGTGGGCTAGATATCAAAGGCCGCTGTTGCACGCGAAAAAGGGACGGGAGGATGCTTCAGGCAGGCTGCGATATTATTATGGAGTCGGTTAGTTACCCGGGTACGCGCTCCAGCGGTCCCCAGAAAGCATCGCGGGTTTGGGTGGGCCTGAGAGCGAGTGCTATCAACGGTGCCAACGTTGACACTGCAGTACCACGTTGGACCAGTGAACCTTGGAGCGTGGATTGTCCGGTACGGAGTACACCTGACGGGCGACGCGGAGGGCCAACACAGGCCGGCCAGCCATCGCCCAGGCCCAGCAGCGACGAGGGGCACAGGGGCCTCGCACAGGGCCGGCTGGGGCGCTGCGTCTGCGGTGTTTTGACGCCGGGGAGACGCGCCCGCGTACTGGCCCGTACGGACCCATACGGCGCTAGATCGATTCTGGCGTAGTGCAAGACGTGAGCCGCGTTTGGCTGCAGCAGCGCCGCGCCGTGGTTGGTCCCGGAATCGCAGCGTTTGCCGCCGTACCAGGCGATACGATATCTTGGGGGGGGAGAGCATGACCGGGCCGTGACCGCCACTGGGGCTCACCGTCTCGCCGTCTCGCCAGCTTGGACAAACGAGATCGAAAGCAGCCGAGAAGCTGCAGCCCGACGCCCAGCCCGCCCGCAGAACCCATTAACATTGTTACTAAGAAACCAAGCAAGCAGGCAGGCAAGCCAACCACGGCGCCCTATCGTGCGTGTTTCCGGTCTAGCTCGGCCAACGTTCCGCGACCCACCCTCGCCCGTGATCACCGGCTCCAGACAGTCGAGTCACCTGCGGGTGCGTCACATCCATCCACGCCCGCCCGTCCTCCACAACACACGCCCTCTTGCAGCTTCGCCCCGTCCAGTCGTCGCCTGGCTCCCCCCAGTTGAACCCAGCACTTGTTCGCCCCAGGCCCTGCTGCCGCCTCTCGTCGGTTTCCTATCTGACTCACCTCTCGTACTCCGTACCTAGCATGCTGTCTCCCTAAGTTCTCGCGCGGGAAACAACTCCCGTTTCCTCCATCACAGCCTTCAGTACTTGTTCCGCCCATGCTCTTCTCTTCCCTACAGCACGGTTGCCTGCGTTCTATGACTGTGTGCACCCCTACCGCCGCCTTCTTATCCTGATATCCTCCCCTGTTTGCTACTTAACCTCCAGCCCGTGAGCTTGACGCTCCAGCTTGTCGCACCACCGTCGTTTTCTGTTTTCTGCTTCAGATGAATATGGCATTCTACCGGATCCCACAACACGGCTATTTCATATCCCCTGCCTAATTTACTCACCCTATCGCCTCCCTACCTCCTACCTCCCTCGTAACATCGTCGTCTGCCTCCTACTTCTCTCCTAGTCTTCCCTTTCGTACTGTCCCTAGTATGCATCAGCACCGCAGAACCTCGTCGGCGGTGCCATCGTCCGGCCACCCGCGCCAGCCACAAAACAGACCTCCCAGTCAAGATGCTGAGCGGTTTGGTCCCAACATATCAAGAGGCCTGGCCGCTGAGAGACATATGGAAGCCTCTGAGTCCGATCAAAACATCGAATCTGGTGAGAAGCCGCCTCAGCAAAAGCTAAATCAGATGATTCAGGTTGGTGATTTTACTACTACTTTATGCTTGTGGGCTTTGCAACTAACGACAAGAGCAGAACTTCCACACCAAGGCCGCTCTAATCATCTTGCATTCAAGAATAGAGCTCCGACCTTGGATTGTCAATGGTGTTGTACGCACAAATAGATGGGTAAGTGATCAAAAAACCTTTACAAACTAGATTTCTGACCACCACCTTTCGTCTGATTAGTTCAATGTTGGGCTGGACGAAGCGGATGAGCTGAGACCTGCCCTCATTCCCTGGAAAACAAGCAACTGTACCACGAACCGACCTCCTCCGATGATCATCGAAATCTACCTAGACCTCACGCAGCTGACAAATAATCAGAGTTTGGTGATTCTGGATGACAAGGGCAAACGTTGGGATGTGGTTGAAGCCCTTGCCGCTAGCGGCTGTCTCGATAACTCAGAGGCTTTCAAGCAAGGCCTGATTCTAGAAAGATGGCGTATCGAACTCGGCCCTGGCCCTGATGACTTCCCTACAGATCTAGGGCTTCCAGCTGTCTACAAGAAAAGTATCGTAGTGTTCAGGTCACTATATACTTACTCCAAAATGCTTCCCGCCTGGAAATTCTTCAAGCGCCATGCGAAGGTCCGGCCAGTTCCCGCATTGCTCCTGAAATATCGGATCATCCAGGGTACCGAAGAACAGACCAGGACGTCAAAGGACCCCTTGAGAGTTCCTCTGGTTCCAGAAACGGATAAGGTTGTCGAGTCGTATTCATTTGGCATGACAGAATCTCCAGCTGGGACGTTCTCTGCCCAGGTAACATACCGATCAAATTGTGACTTTCGAGTTGACGATTCAGAAGCATTATTGAGTTCAAGATTTATGGGTGTGGATGAAGGTGTTTTCAAGCCTTCGCTACCGTCTGATGACCCCTATACTACTCACGGGAAGGGGCCGGGCTCTTTGCCAGTTCGCAGGCAGATGCCTGGTGCCTCTGATCTTGGCCAAATGTATGGAAGCATGTCAACATTCCATCACCCTGGTCTAACTAGAGCAGCAAGCCCTATAACGGCTGTTCGAACAGCGACAGAGCGGGCAGCTGGATCTCCTAGGTCACCCAGCTCTCCTACCTTTTCTAATTCCCCTAGATTGACACAAGCTAGGGTTGCCGCTCTTTCCAGTGAGGGAAATCCCCAGGTTCCTCGGAGACCATCAATATCAGTCCAGCCATTCAAGGCTCCACCTCTTTCTGCTTCACCCGCCCTTACCGATAACCACATTGGGTTACATGGAAAGGCCCCGGGGACGCGTGAAGCGCCAATAAATATCCCTACTACCACTAATAACATGCAGCGGCCAGGTACACCGTCCAGAAGATCGACAAATGCGTCTGAAACTGCGATGGGATCTTCCACATCTGGGTCACCAAAACCTGCCTCGATATCAAGGTTTAGCAGCTCATTTAGCCACCGAAGGGGTAGGCCGTCGTTCGGAGGTACCAGCAGACCCAATGAAGATCATTCCAGTGATAGAGTGAGCATTAGTACTTCCCCAGCTTACCCAGCAATGGCAACTTTTGCAGATACTGGTGCTACAAGCTCAGAGTCTGTGCAGGCAGATGAGGATAACATTTCAGACTTCCTAAAAATGCTCGACCTAAACAAGGGCCTCTTATCTAAGAGAGAAGCCGGATCGTCCGAGTCGAACTCAAAACGGACATCTACAGTACTATCCAGATTTCGCAAGATGAAAGAGTCTAATACCATGCTATCGGAATCAATGTCATCCTCTCTGATTCTTCAGCAGACTGCGCCTCTTAAACAGCCCAGCGTCTCTATGCCGACGTCCGGCGCTGCAATTTCTGTGTCATCGTCCCCAGGCAAAGCAATATCTCCACACACGCCGCACACACCCGCCGTTCCGTCTCGCCTAAGTGCCAACAGTGTTGTCGACTATTCTCGTCACGACCGCCCTTCGCGTCAATCTAGCAAAACGGCTTCCGAAAGGACCATGGTTGCACAAACTGGATCTCAAAGAGCTGAATCCTCCGCCAATGCTATTGATATTCCTCAATCCCCTCGCCCTTTTCCTCCTACTTTTCGCCGACCCAGTTCTGCTGCTCCACGGCGGTCGAGTAGTGCTACTGAAGAAGACCCTGCTGATTACTCACCATTCGGTATGCGCAGCCTCAGCCTAGGCGCTGAAGAACGGTCTTTAATGAGCTTGAGTGAGCTTGTTCAAGGCGCAACAAGCGGCGAACCAGAGCCAAGTTCAATACCCCAGAATCATTCCGCAAATGTTACGAATCGATCTACCGCCAAAGAGACCCTCAAAGTCGAAAATATTTCGGGCATTTCACGTCCATACCAACCCCGCTTTGCTCATGCTCGAAATCGTGGGTCCTTTGGCCACTTGCAATCCCAAAATTCAGCTGCTAGCAGCCTAGGACGTGGCAGTGTGGCATCAAATACTACAGATGCCGAGCGAGAAGGGTGCTCTGGTAGCGTCAGCAACAGTGGCACCTCCATTGCCCCAGACACGCGACGCAGTCTTACACACAGATTTAGCATGAACCGGGGCACGTGCATTCCTCCTCACTTTGACGAAGATGAGCCCTTGTTGTTTGCCATGAGTGATTTTGGCGTTTCTCGTCGAAGTCTGGAAGAGGGCAAAAAGGGTGGGCCGGGTGCGAATCCATAGATTGTTCTAGACTCGAAGCTTAACTATGTACAAGACCAAGAAAGAACACAGCCCAAACTCCGGTATCTCCGAAAGACCAAGAAAGTCGCAATTCCAGGTGCATGGACCGATTCAAGTTATCAGATGCGATGGACTGGTCGCAGTTGAACGCTCAAAACCAATATGCCAGAAGGAAGTTGTGAATTGTGCGAGATTATGTAATTCGCCTGCCACCACTTTTACTTTCCCTTGCAGACCTTACTTAGTTCAAGTAGGGGTCTACAGCTACCTTAGTCTTGTTCTACGCTTTTCTGGGAACAGCTTACGAACCCATTATCTTGTTTTTCAATTTTGGAATCGTTGGATTCTGTTTTCTTTTGGTATTTCCTGGGGCTATACGGAACCCCATTACGTATAGGTCCTTCCTCAGGGACCTGCATACTTATCAGATATACAGCAATATGCTTGGTTTAAAATTGTCTTTTATTTCTTCGTTTGACTTTTTCTTTTCTTTTCATATTCAAGCTCGTTGTGAGGCAAAGATGTTACTTGCGCTTTCCCAGCATTGGCTCCTTTTTTACCGGTAGTCTACGGTGTCTGTTGGCTGTGCTTATTTTTCCACTTTGATTGCCTGTTGTCTAATGCGAAACTCATTTTGAGCATTGCTTTCATCCTTTCATTGTTATTTTCTATTTGGTGTTTAAGGTTGGTGTTTTACATCATATACTGATTTGGACGGCAATAGACCAATATCTTGAGTTTGTTTTGAACAAAAGAGAAAAAGGAAATATGTACTCAATACTTGGCTCAGGGAGTCGGGCTGGGAAGTGAAATGTCCTGGGAGCTTTCGCATTGTTTTCGCCATACAAGACGTATTGGTCGTGGCGCCCGTGGGATGATGGTTAACGAAATTTGCAATAGTATTAGCCATAATATCAATGGTATCTAGTTTTGCTAATATTCGTTGGCCTTTGCCTGTGTGGCTCAATATAACTATATCAAATACCCACAATGGAGAACGACCTGGAACATCAACTGCATACATCCGCCAAAGCGTCCCTGCATTTCAGGACCCCCTGTCCCTTCCGCCAGCCTACAACTCGCGGCTCCATAGTTGGACGAGAGGGCCGTCTTTGCCATAGACTGGGTCTTGGGTGGGCATCGCCACCGTTGAAATGGCTTGAATCATGGCTTTCATATCGGTATGAGTTTCGCCGTACTCACTCCGCCAGTGTGGCGCGCCCTGGTGTGTAATTATGTCAAGAGAAGGGAATCGAAGAGGGGAAATAACAAGGAGCAAATTCTGTTTACCTTTGGGTAGACAGCAATGTATTTATAATCGCTCTCGCTATTTAGAGAGCAGTGGGTGGTGCCAGCAGGCAGCACAAGGACGTCTCCGGCGTAGACGGGAAGATATATTCCCCCTTTCTCGTCGAGCTTTCCACGGCCAAGAATCAAGGTTGATGAGCCTTGGAAAATTCCTAGGCCAGGATGTTTTTAGGGGTTTTTTTTTTTGAGATGAAAATGATAAAATAAGGAATGGAAACTGACCATAGCATTCATGGACATTTGGATGGTAGTGGTGCACTGAAATTGCCCCCCATGTTCCCTTTAGTAGGCATTGAGAGATCTGGGTCAGAACATAACCATCTCATTTGATGACCAATATCCCGTGGAACAGAGCAGACTTACATTCTTCTCCCAGTCATTAGCCTGCAGGAATTCGGACGTTGACTGCTCCGTATACGGCTGCGGGAGCACGGCTCGATAGAGCAGGATCGGCAAGCGGCTATTGGGCGAATATGCGGTTGGCTGCAGGTAGAATCGTTCAACGCTATTGGCGGCCATAGTTGGATCTCAGTAAGGTGTCCTTTTCTGTGTTATCCAGGAATGCCGGGTCTTCATCCTCAAGCAGGGCTGTTGAGTGCTGTGCAGAGCCGTCGCTACATGAGGGGTAACCAATGCCCAGGGTTTGATGGCTTGAAGGGGCAAATACAACCGGGACTTGGGGACTGGAGGTGGGAGGAACTAGAGCCGTAGCTTGAAACTCTTTGTTCAGGAGCGCCAAATGCCATTCAATACAAAGGGGGTGCTAAGTCGCACATGTTGATATCTTTATATGCTGTATCTTCCATCGTCTTCAACCGCCGGGACAAATCTTAGGCATCTGGAAAATGGGTGTAGTCGTTAGTTAACTAACTAACCCTCCAAGAGCAGGTTGCTGCCAAACTCCTTCTCAGGCGAAGCAAAAGTGGTGAAGAAAAGTCTAAGCAAATATTGAATTGCTCCAAGGATCTATTTACGACTAGAAGGCTATGATGGTGTTTTTCGGTTGGTTACTTGGTTGGCCTAATGGAGCCACCTGGCATCTTCAGATGGAAATGAGTCAAAATCGGCCATCGGAGCATTCATCAGATCTCAGGATTTTATCAAATGGCCGACATCTCGTCATACTTTCATGGTCGCTGCATTATTATGGCAGACAATAGCTGCAACGTTCTTCTCGACTCCGACCTACCAGTCAAATTCTGTGATTTCACGGAGCCTACTCAATCAACTCTGAACTCATGCATGGAAACAGCTGTCAAGACAGGCTACACCGTACAAAAAAAATTGGACCATTGGGAGTGAGGAACTCCACGGCACCGAAAATGTTTGACTCAGCCAAATAATTGGAAAGTCCTGGGCAGAAAATGTGTTTTGTAGGTACTGTCAGACCTGCTAGCCAGTCGACTAGAGACGTGACCAGAATCTTGGTCTGTTCCACACGTACGACTTATTGAGCGAGTTCGAATCCTTTCGATGACGGAGTTGTCCTTTAAACTGCAGCTCTTACATAGCTAGTTGGCTATATCAATGTTCAGCACTCTAGAAAGTGGATTTGATTTCTTGTCTTAAAAAGCTTCTTATTCTCCTGCATCGCTCTTGCGCCATCTAGTGAAACCATGATTGATATCTGGGACTAGCGGCATATGGTTGCTAGGAGTTTATTCACCAAAATTCCCATCGCACAAACCCAAGTTGTCAAGTATGACGTATAATAAACAGAAGCCTCTTAGCTTTTGGTCTGCCATGGTTCCAGTCAATTGAATGCCAGATAATCAATTGCTTTCATGTGTACGGTTGGAACCGGTTTAAGCGGGGAAACGGTAGGGCAGCCCCGAGATCCGTTAGATAAGCCCTCCATACTGAGACTAATATAAATCCTGTAAATCGATGTATGGGGGCCTGCGAGGATGTTGAAAGATCCGGTAAGCGGGAGACACCAGGCGGTCTGGCCGGCCTAGGTCGACAAGATTGGTCACCAGTTTTACGCCCGTTACTAATTTCGGAGGACTCAGTGACAAAACAAGGCTGTCAGCACTCCGGTTTTGTGTGGGGATTGGTTATACGTTTCCGCTGTCCGTCTCACGCCGGCATTTTTTTATTGATCTTGAAGTTGTTCAAGAGAGTCTTAGAGTTAGCGCCGATACTGAGCATTGAACAAGCCAAATAAACGAGGCATTTCAGAGCTTTCAGATAACCTGTTTGGAACCGCACTTGTCATTGTAACATATGCGTAGCAGTAGGGGTAGGCATATGAGTATTTTAATGGGAGTGCGGGGCAGTGTTGAGCGAAGACCAGCCAATGCCACCGGGCAGTATTTCGAAATGCTCTCTGACGATGTCAATCGAGAACTAGGCAAATTCTCGGAGTAACAGTTGCATCGTCCTCTATCCTGAAGATTCTGTGTGTAACTATGGAGTAAGTAGTGGTTAGTTCATTTAACTGGGCTAAACCTCTCAGTGGGCGCCGAGAAAAAAAATCAACCAGCAACACGCTGCACCAACAGCATACGCGGTGCAGGGTAGACAGAAAAGAAAAAAAGTCATTGAAGAACTCCGCTGAGCCGGAATCGAGCCGGCGACCTTTCGGTAGCAGAAGAAACCCTTTACAGCCGAACGTGATATCCAACTACACCATCAGCGGTTGCGTTGCGGGCCTGGCTCACCGGCCCGTCGTATCCTTCAGCTTCAGCTTCAGCCGCCATCGACTCGAAACAATCGGACAGACGAAGAAACGCGACTGGCGGGCTCCTCGCTGTCGAACACCCTGTTTCCGCTTCTGGCGCCTCTATCTCCGAGCTGGTCACCCCTGGTCACAATAATGCTCTGCTCATCCTCGTACAGCCGAGAAGATTGCAGGTCCGTATGCATAAAGTCCGGCGCTGGTGCTTCTCACGTTCCACGTTCCGAACTGGCATCGGCTGGCATATATCCGGTGCCGTCCTCCCGTCAGCCCCAGCATCGGCGATAAGGGACGAGAGGGGTTTGCTGGCTGCCTCTCTGCTTACTGCCGTGTTGATGGTGCTTCTTGTCAGCAGACACCCTATAAGTACCTCACCAGAGGCCCTCTCTCTGTGCTTGTTTCTTGCTTAATCCCAGCCCACAGCAGTTCATCAAACAAGGACTTCATTGTGCTTTCTTAGTTACGCATCCAAAGCGCCTTTGAATCTTTCCACCCTACAAGCAGCCTTTGCGCCCACCAACCAACCATGGAAGATCCCAAAAGCACCAACATCGATCGTCGAACCTGCAAACGGGTAGTTCCCATGCGGGTGATCTGTGCTGGACTTCCAAGAAGCGGAACAGCCTGTGTGTGACAGCTGTCCAGTGACCTCCATGTTGTTGTTGACTGTTTACTGGCTAGTTGCCCCTTAACTAACTAGCCAACCTTCTTACATAGCTCTCCGCGAGGCGTTAACCCGCCTTGGCTTCGACCACACATACCATATGATCTCTGTTTTATTCGAAAATCCCCCAGATGCCCATATGTGGATTGATGCAATCAGGGCCAAGTTTGACGGAGTGGGAACATTTGAAAAGGAGCAATGGGATCAGCTCCTCGGCCATTGTCAGGTATATACATACCTACCTCATGTTTGGCATGGCACGGTATCTCATAACCGCTGGCTCTCTACAGGCTGTGTGTGATGTTCCGCCTGCTCTATTTATTCCAGAGCTTGTGAAAGCATACCCAGAAGCAAAAGTCATTGTCAACATCAGGGATTTTGAGGGTTGGTATAGGTATGTCTTAGGGTAGCTGTTGTCCCCCAGCTGCTGATTGCCAGCCAGGTCGATGAATGCAACTGTTGCACCGGTCACTGCTCGCGCTGTTTTAAAAGACCCAAGCTCTTTCAAGGACCCAAGGCAGCATACTTGTTTCGAGATGTCCGGGTTGATCTGGAAGAATATGTTCGGTGACAAGTTTTACGAAGCGGGAGAAGAACTCCATCGCGAGCACTACGCCATGGTACGAAGTCTCGTCCCAGAAGAAAACCGTCTTGAGTACAATATTAAGGAAGGATGGCGCCCGCTTTGCGAGTTCCTTGGGGTCCCCGTCCCCGATGAGCCCTTCCCCCACTTGAATGACTCGAAAACTTTTATTGAAAGATCACTGAGGGCTTTTGACATTGACTTGAATGATGAAAATCCCGTGGAACAAAACAAAACTGCATGATCAACGGTAATGCCACCAGTTTACCAAGATCTGGACTGATATAGACAAGAAAACCATTTGCCCGATTTCCCTATCTAAGTCTCCACTCAAGGACCGCTATTTGTACACATATATTTTTAGCACACAAATACCATATAATAACCAACTTCAACTCTCCGTATATCCAACTATTTAACAGTAGAGCGTCATTGCCAGTCCGTTCATTTTCAACCCACATCCATGGATATAAGGACGGAACGACGTCTGAAAAGGTTAGCTGACTAGTTTCCATACATTGTTGGAGCAGCCATAACTTGGAAGCTAAATTCACACTGCTATTCGCTCGATGTGATGTCGGCATACCTCCTCGTCGCAGCGACAGGCCTTAGCCTTAAAACGCCGCAAGAGCCAACAATCATGACATGAGTCGAAAGCTAGGCGGTGGGGCGTTCTTAATTTTATCCCTACCATATATCATACTAGGCCAGTAGCATGGGGGACGCAAACAACCTTGCTCATCACATGCCCCTGAAGGTATTCCCTGAAGCACTCCGACGGTCCTTGGCGGGCCGATGCGACTGGTTCTCACGAGAATCGAATGCTGGCTTAGGTCGAGACTTGCTTTGTGGTGCAAACGTGACCGTTTTGTCACCGACTGCGGAGCGCATGGCGGTTGGGCGCTCCCTGACTCTGCTCTTCTGGACTCGCGAAGCAAACGAGCGGTCGCGAGCTTTTGCCGTTCGAGAACTCGAGGAGATTTCCATTTGTGGCTGCTGGGGTCGACGTTTTGTTCGTTTGTATGAAGCTGTGGATATAGATTTGGATGATTTCGCCTTGGCGGGTCTCTCGTCTTCACTGGATGACTCCTCCGTGCTTGAGCCGGGGACTTCGTCGATGGCATCTTCCTCGACAGCTGTTAACCCTCTCTCCCGCTTTTCCGTGGTATTAGGTACGCTACTTGGGTTCAGAGCCTGGAATTCTCTTGATGTCTCGTCCACAGCGAATTCTTCGTCCTCGAATAGTTTGGCGAAGCGAGGATCATGGAGTAAGCTTTGTTTAGTAGTTTCAGTTTCATCGGCTGTTTGCTCGCCGCCTTGCGCCAGCAATCGCTGTGCATGGCGCTTCTCTTGCCTTTCTTCCTTCTCCAAGAGTTTTTCTGCTAGCTTTTTATTGACCTTCACGGCGACCTTCTTCTTTCCACGAATCCGACTCTCTCTCTCCTTATCGATTTTCTCTTTGATTCGTTTCGCGCGTTCTTCCTCCCAGACGAATGGATTCGTTATCAGACGTGCTTCTTCATACAAACGTTGCGCGACAAAATAGCCATGCATATATGGTCGCAATAATGACGTTCTTCCAATGAGATGGTCCAAGTTGAGAACTCGTAGTTGGGGTATTGTTAAAAACTTGAAATTATCGTATACAGAGCCAGCCTGGCCAGAGTTGAACGCATGTGGGTCATTAGGATCTTCGGCCATTTCTTCGACAAGATTATCCAGAAATGCGCACCATTTTGGTGCAGGGCCTAGTTGCGGAATAAAGAAAGCATGTTGCTGTCTTCCTTCATTTGCCGTTAATATCATTCCGCTGTCTTTACACCAAGCAACGCTATTGATATCCACTGCCGGCTCGACAGACGTCCACGGTGTCCCATCCCTGGCATCCCAGATTTTAATGATTCGCTTATCTGAGGAGAGAATCTTTGGGTCTGTTGTCTGCTGCCGGGTTCCAGTAGAAGGTGTGAGGAAATCCAAGGTGTGGATGGGATAGCCGTATCCCTGGTCCTTTTTCAAGAGAGGAACGGGAGAACGGAGATCGTAGAGATGGATAAGCCCCTGAGAGGAGCCAGTGGCGAGGGTCAATCCAGAGCGATGAAATTGTAGAGCAGTGATCTCAGATCTCTCCTCTCGCGAATCCGATTCTGGAGGCAAGAGTATTCCAGCTCGTCCCTTTGCTCTCGAATCCCACAGCTCCACTGTGCCTTGGGATGTTCCAAATGCAAGTAAGTTATGGCTTTCTTCAGCAATAGCTCCGGTGTTCACGCTTCCGGTGTTAATGCCACCCTGCAGAGCACCGCCGCCCGTAGAAGTAAAATCATCCCCGCCAACATCAATTTCGTAACTGCGCATATACCTCCCTTGTTCTAAATTTAACCGATAAACCTCACCCATCCCACCTTGGTTGACTCCAACGGAAGGAACAAGGGCTTCAGCGGACTGTTTATCGTATAATAGATCGCGGCCATATCTAGGAAGGCGCATGGTGTAATGACATCCTTGCGGTGTGTGAAACTCCAACGAGCGATCAGCCTGTAGATGCAATGATTTTGAATAATCAGTGGAAAGAAGCTGAAAGGTGGTGTTTAGGGAGATAGTGTGGCGCGCCCACGAGAGAGACAGGTGCGGCAGATAGTGTGTGTGAATCTGGGGTTTATATGTGCCTGTGATCCCTGAATATTAGATTTCTGCTTCTATTTACGAGTGAGGGTCAAAAAAAGCGCACCAGTGCTCATTACCCATTGTCCATCATCACTAACTCGAATGCATTGGCTGGCTTCCTCAAACTCGAAATCTTGTAATAATTCCACCCTGTTCGCATACTCAGGATCGGCTTTCAAGCTCCGTTTCCGCTTGCGGGCAAGCCATTCAGGAAGGGGGCGGGCAGATGAGGAGCCAGATATCGTATAGACCGGAACAGACGACTGGTTAGTGAGCTTCATCTCGAAGCCTTGACATCTCCGCCGTGCAAAAAAGTTGCTCCCCCAGCAGCCGTGCACTCCACGAAAGATGAAAAATAAACCAGGTGGTGCCAAGACAAATGGAGCCGCTATAAGCTTTGCGCTAGGCTTTATTCGGAATGGTGTTAAGCCAAGATGCTTGGGCCGCAACCTCCAGTTGCTTCGATTGTCGGATATCAACTTCTATTCCATCTCACGACCAAGATACCCGACTGCAATCATTTTGGAAGCATTGTTTCTTTTTATTAAATATCGATGCATTATTGACTGTTTCTATTTTACTAGTCGACATCTTGATTGGGCCTTAGTAATCTGCGACCTGTCGCTTCTGACCATGCACACCTTCTATGATACCCTTTGGCATCAGAAAGACTCCGATTTTTCAGGATAGGCACAGAAGGTGCTTGATTGCTTTCGGAAATGAATATTTGTCATTTCATGCCGCGCCTATCTCTTTGCAAACTGTTTTCCATGGCGACCACTGATTGGGACACAAACTTAAGACATGATGGAGTTCCCAACAGCAGCGGTAACTAATTTTCGGATGACTGTACGTTGGATTTTGTTTGTTACTAGTATCTACCTAAGGTCTAACAGCATGTCTAGGATGTATATTCTACCATACATTGGAGAATATACGCCGTTGACACCCGCCAAGCATCATCCTCGGAAGCAGAACGGCTAGGCATACCTAACTCAACTTTTGTGAATGAACTTGAATTCGTAGTGCTTGAATTACGAAATCGAGGCTGCCTTGTGGAAACTGTTACTGGCAAGGAAGCTTTCTGGATCTTTTCTCACGATGGCGAATTCGATAAGCTCCTGCGATTTTCCACCGTGGAAAATGACCGCTCAATTAACTCTCTTCAAATCAATGGAATCTCGTTTAAACGTATGTTATAGTCTCTCGAGCCCATTTTGCCGCTATAGAGTGCTTATGTGAATAAACAGAACTCCATACAGACTTTACACCATTGGCTTATCTCATGAAACGACTTGTGACAGAACCTCATGGTGGTATTTTCTCCCCTTTAATTCAACAGACACTAGCGAATGCCAAAGCGAATTATCCTATCAATCGGGAAGCAGTATCTTCTTCAGCCTTCTATAAAGCATTGACGACTGCCATCGCCGGGCTGCTTTCACTTCGCGCAACACAAGTCCATGGAGCAATACCGCTTGGAAAAAGATCGATTTTTACAACAAAAAAATCAACTAAATTATCTACTAAGCATGACCACACAGATCATCTCCCTTTAGGATGTACATCACTACTCTCAACCCTTAGTATTGAATTGAGTTTCAAAACTTTAATTCTCTCCTGGCGTACTGCTTCACAGGATGGATTGCAGCAATTGCTCCCATATTTGAAATTGAAAGCTGAGAATAACATATCGTTGCATGAAACAATATGGTTAGCACCAACAGGCCTTGCCTGTCGATTTGTCGGCCTTGACACAAGCATTTCAAGTGCTTCCCAGTGCGCGCCATCTAGTGATAACTGCACTTCTGGGTCTAAACTAAGAGGTCTCTCAGTGTATCCTAGAGAATGGAAGACATATGTTTGTCTCTGGCTTCACAAACTTGCACTCTGCTCAGAGGACCCAGAGACAGAGAAATGGATTGAAGTAGAAACATTAAATTCACTGGGTGCGCAATTGTATGAAGGTGAAAGAAAAATTAGAAAGGTTGCTACATATCAAAAGTTTCTTTGGCCCGCTCGCCTGTGTTTCAAACGCCTGGCAAAACAGCCTCAAAATCCTCCAAGGAGCATTGAATACTTACAAGGTAGAACAATGGACCCTTTACACTTTGCTGAAAAGTGGTTCAAGATTGCAACCTCAGAGGAAACCTTAGAAAGTAAAAAAGCTGTTCGAGAAACACAGATGTCGGATGCCCCGCCCCTTGGAATGACAGCAACTCCATCTAACAGCTCTGACTTATCAACAAGCCTAGCACGAAAAATAAATCTCCCTGAATTATCTTCTGGTGCTGTATACCCTACTCCACCCGACGGAACCAGTGGAAGTAATCAAGGACCTGCATACGATGGCCTGAGCATCCTTGGAGTACCGGCTGTGAGTCACAATCGCGATCAAAATGAATCCAGTACTATGAGCCCCGGTCTGTCTAATACTGGTCGACTTGCCGCATCTGCACCTTTACCCGGTGTTTGTGAAACAGCATCCACTATGGAAATTGGCTCGGGAATGTATGATACCGCAGCAGATGAGGGTCTTTTTGACGAACTTGATAACTTTGAAGCGAAGGAAATTACTGAGGCAGATTTCAATTTCTTCGACGAGCCAGATTTAAGTGATATGGATATAGAAAAAAGCGATGATGCACACCAGGATTCTCGAGAGGCCCTGAAGGTCGACAACATCAAGCCTTTAGCAGGAATTGATATCGAAGCCGAAACAGGTCCTATTGGGGACCAAAGAGCGGAATCCGCCCGGCTGGAAATTCCCCAACATCACCCAGATTCGCTGCATCCTTCACCGATGTTTTCAGAAGTGGAACCTTCGGCTGACCGTCGTGGCGACAGTGTGTTAGGATACGAAGACTCGCTCCCCACCCTCAGCCCGCTACATATAAAAGAGATATTATTTTCTGACAATCATTTCTCGTCTCCTACCATAGAGCATCGATCCGCAAGTATTAAAAATACAAGGAAAGCTGGACGCGACTATGGCCCCATTCTTTTCAGAAAGGATTTACTGGCCTCAGATGAGAAATATGGAATAAATGGAAAATTTTGGTTCGTGGCTAGTAGTGATAGTCCAAAAGCCAACGATACTACCAAATTACACGTATCTGAGATCCCAACGCTCGGTATTCCGGAATTACGAACCAAGACACCGCATGTTCATGGCTCCACGGCAGAATCTGTATCTGGCGTTCGGCCTCCTTCTCCCTCCACAACGGAATCTAGCGAAGACGAAAATGAATTTGGTAACACCCCCCTATCCTCAGACAATATCAGCCCTTCCTTTCGCCTTTTCTTAGATAGAAAAGACAATGGGCAAGTTTTTCAAGATAAGGACTTTCCGTCACCTTTAGATAATTCAAGTACCAACACTGGAGCATCCAGAACAGGAATGGATGCAAACACGCTTTTACTGCTGCGTAACCTTGTTTTTCGAGGCACCGATTGGTCATTTGATGGCCTATTTCCAGTGACGTGTAGGTATCTTCCTACGCTCCTTCAAAAAAAAGACTTGATTCAAGTTGCCCAACTTGTACTTGACCAAATTACGCAATCCAGCCTTCGTCATACCTCCAGCACAAACGTTGACAGTGATATCAACTTCGAAGACGACATTCTTCCATTGAGCGTTACCGACGAGGACACTTGGCATGGAGAGTTTAGCACAGTTAATCTAAAACGCTACACAGCAGTTGACGAAGATACTTGGGTCCCTGGACCGCGCAAAGATCCTAGATACATTACCCTTGGCTCTATGTCAAAATTAGACCCTCCCCATATTCATATTCATCGAGGAAAAAATTTTCTTGATGTTCTACCTCCTGCTGTTTTATTTTGGGAACCGTTCGGTTTTGGGCCTACGCAAGGACAAAAAGACATTATTTCATACTGTATTCACCCTCAAAGTGCAAAAAAGGGAGCAGAGGCGTTTCTTGAGAGTTTAGGCTCGTCATATTCCAGTGCTAGCCTTGGGCAGCATTCTCTTCCTCCCGATTCAAATGGACTAATTTCGTGGGAGTTCGATTCCAAAATCAATCAAGATTATAATGCAGCTATGGATAGACTGCGGCATACATGCGAATATTTAGGTAAATTATAATACTACGCCCTGGAATTGTACATGTTCTAATAATTCACTACTAGGAAGCCGCATCTCAACGATATCCCCCGGTAGCAACAACATAGTTGTATATATTGTGAATCCGTTCTCCCACGAGGCTGCGATCGTTGACATTTGCGCAGCTTTCGTCTGTCTCTTTCGAAAATATATGTCCAATCTTGACAAACGAACTATTGCACTAAACGAAATTGTTCTACAAATTGTGCCACTCTCATTTATTGCTTGTTTAGCGTCACTTGTGGTGCCTCCTCCGCGGGATTATTTGCACTTAGCATTCGAAGTTTATGGTCGCTGTCCCCCCAAAAATCGCTCCGCCGATCGCCTAGCTTGTGCACCACCTTTTACGCTTGCGAATTCCACACCTAGAATCATCCCTTTCAAACTTTCAGCAGATCCCGGCTCACCCTTGGCTGAAAAGAATTCTATTCATGTTGCGCTTTCACACAGCCCCGACCAACGTTGGATTGCAGTTTCGTGGACTGACAATATTGGAAAAAGTCAGTTAACAATGGCTTACTGCTTACGCCAAAAAGGCTCCAGTGTTTCGAGACCCATTTCCGAAGTCAGGGCCGATATATGGGATATCACGCGTGATATTATTAACAATTCCCATTCCTTCTGGCGAGTAATAATGGTCAAGGATGACCCAGTTGAGCCAGAAGAATTAGAAGGTACTGTTTTACCTTATTGCATTCAACTTATAAGTTGACTGACTCTCTCATCTTTTAGCTTGGATATCGCTTGCTCAGCAGCATAACCAAACAAGACTCACCAAAATTGAGTTGACCCTTCTCAATATTAACATTAAGCCATGCCTTCGCCTTAAGATCCCTCCACCGCCTCTTCAGATTACCCCATTACTCACTACCAACATTTTTACTCCGGTTTCAACTCCGAATCTCAGCATGCCCTCGCCAGACCCATCTGCCGCAGCACCTACACCTCCCCCATCTTCCGAGCAAGTCCAAACACCCACCACCCAGATACCCGATGCCCCCAATTCCGACACGCTTCTCATCGACAAGTCTGACGACACATGGTCAATCACACTATCTCATCGAATTAACATTTCTCCTTCTTTGACTCGCTACCACCCCTCTCTTGCTAGCGGATATCTTATCCGCCGTAGTGGTACTAGTGATACAACAGGGCAGGCATCACTGTGTTTAAATGTTGCATTTACAAATGCTCGTCTGCCTATTGAGATGCTATTGAAGGATATATTACGCGTGTATCGTGACCTATCGACTCTGGCTAGGACAAAAGGCATTGTCCATGCGCAAGGGGACGATGTCTTACCATGGCACGTCTCTACAGCAGTGAGAGGAAGGGAGTTTCTAAGCCTGGTTTTGTAGAAGTATTCTTCGACACCAAAATCTATTTTGACCTTCTCATGAACTGTTTGCATGTATATATTTGACACTAGATATTCGTGCTAATGATAATGAAACTCGCAAAAAGACAATATTGCGTGCAACGATAGCCCTATGCATATAATCCAAATACGCATTTGAAGCTCATATTTTGTTGAAGGTATCGTTGTGACATCCGAGAAGGGTAAGCAGTAAAGTTGCAAGGAGGAAAATATTGATAAAATTTGAACCAGCTGATGACCCTTATGTCTTCAAAGGAAGTCATGAACCGGATCATGGTGGCAATCTGAGACTTTATATATACCGTAACTTAACGGTATACTAGCGGGTACACAACGGCGTGACCTTGTCCAGCCTTACGTGGAGTCTCATGTGAGCCAATACGAGCAGGATCCGAAGGCACTGTGGATCAACATTTGTAGGTGATGGAGAGTAGACAGAGGCAAAAGCAAAACACCACCAACGGCAGACATAACCAGTCTGTGTCGGAACAATACGGGACAGTAAAAGCATTGATAAGCAGGGGTAGTTGATAGCTGACAAACCGGAATAGATCATGAAGCCTGCTCTCCACTGTTTCGTAGAAACGAAACTAGAAAAAATAGTGCCTATCAGTTGATGCTACTCACCCAATAACAAGGCACGACGCTAGAATTTTAGGCAACCTCGTAGCAAACAAGGTTAGGGGCGTCGTTTGAATAAAACAGTTGGGTAGTTCGTGCCACTACCTGCTGAGTCTCAAACCTAGCCCCTGTTAGGTGACAAGGGGGGCAGCAAAAGTAGAACCCAAAACCTGAGGCTACATGGGACGAACGATCCACAGTCTCCTGTTTTTTGGAGCCGCAAAACTGGCATTTTAGGCAACGCAGATTTGTTCAAAGGTAGTCGGCATAGGAAATGGAAGCGAAGAAATGTAGAAAGGTGAATATCCTCCTAGAAAACAAGATCTAGAAGGCATGGAGGATAAAGAGCGTGAAGGAGCATTCCAGATGAAATCCAAGCTGGCTTCCAAAGGCCCATGTTTAGCATCGATAAAGATGATAAAAGAGGATCGTAATTCAATTCACACGCACGCAATAGATCTAGGGTATTTGTCGCAGGGTTGGGGGTTAAGATAGGGATGAACGCACGTCGTGGAGTTGGGTCACCCCAAAATGGCTTAGCGCGGGTCGTTCTGCAAAACTGCAGACAAGCTGAGAGATCACCTGTGCCTCGCAGGCGGGATGCGGCAGCGCATGCACGCCACACAGAATCCCCGGCCTTTGATTTTTTGTACGCCGGACGGATTATACCCTTCTTCTGCTCCGTGTTGTGCCCCAGCAAGACTGGGTTAACTAGTTCCTATCAGCCTCAGTGTGGCTTCGACAGCGGGTGGTGGCACAGCCTTGGCTTAGCGACTTCAGGTCGACAAGGGATCGACTGCATTGAGTTTGTTTCGCGTATTATTTTGGCGTCTAACCCAATCATAAGGCAGTTTTGACTGTTGACTCATTTTACCGTGCAGCCTCTGACTCTTTCCGCTCTTCAGTGTTGCGGAGTTTCCCCGGGGACTTTTTCTGAGGTCATTTGCTCGTGCTTCTGCGGCCATTATTGGACAATTGAGGCCGTGAAAACGACGTGCATGCAGCTATGAAGACTTAGCTGGGCCGGCGGTTGGCAGGAAGCCCTTCTGAGGATGCAAGTCATACATACATCCACCTGCTGGTGTCCCCCAGATTTGTTTCTTGAACAGAACAGCAAGACTAGCATTTGGCCGATTCGGAGGATAGCCTTAACATCGCACTCCCGAAATAGCCTGGTACGGAGGCTTAGGTCGTTAACGGCCGCCACTGACGGCATGCTAGCGGACGTTCGTGGAGAATATCGAAGTTTCGCTCCCGTGTCGTCGGCGCTTGTTTAGGTTTAGCGTGGATGCGAGGCGCATGCCCAAGATATACGGTACCAATACGCCGTTACTTCCCGCTAACCATGCCTGCTGTACCGTATGCATACCGCGTACTGTCTAGACCACCACCAAATCGACTGCCTTGGACGCGATCGGACGGTACTGCGGCGTATGGCCAGGGTGTTTCAATACCACCAGCTAGGCATCCAGTTCTCCTCTGCGCCTCGCACCAATGGCTGGCGGCTCCGTACACTCCTCGCCTGTATTCCTCAGTGACTCTGCAGGAGAGGAGACGATGACTGTTTCCAGATATGGAGCCCGCCAGGCTACAAATACTGCAGCATGCCCCTCTTCCCCAACAATTATTTTTCTTCCATCAACAACACAATCCCCCATTGACGATACCCTCTACCTCGAAGTTCAATATCCATCCATATATATATCTCCTTCTCAATCATTGATTCCGGCACTATACCACGAAGGAACAGGCTGCCGTGTTTTGAGTACCATCTTCGACCAAGACGAACTCGTGGTCCGCTGCGTTGCTGTCCATACCATCAACCCTATTACCCTCGTCTGTTCATCAAGATGCCGTCCTTTGTCACCGCTTTCTCTCCTACAGTCAAGCCTGCCAGTGTCTGTCAAGTGAGCAAAACCTCCCAGGGCAGCAATATTGGCCCTCCACGTGATGATGAATTTCACGTTATGGAACGCTTCGCCAATCATGCAGTCAATTGTTCGCAATGCGCTCGGCCATATGCTACGATTAGACAAGGAGAAGCACTCTGTCCCCGTGGTGCCCGTCATGTGTCCACAATGGCTCAGTATATCTACAGCTTCGACGGTAAAGCCTATTCATTGATGGCAAGGAAAATGGGAACCGTTCAAGAAATTGCCATTCCACCATCTCTCGCCATCGTTGCCGACTTGATGCGCGCATTACAGCACGGATTAAATGTCAAGAAGGCCCAGGCTGCAGTGATTGTTCACAATGAAGAAAACAACGCCTCAGGAATGCTCATTGCTCCCACGCCAAACAAAGATTCCTCGCGCAGTGTCCAGGTAATTCAACACAACCGCGGCTCTAAGCAACGAGAGGGCGCCTACGTTCGTGGCACGTTGTTCGACAATGACGTGGTTCACAAAAAACCTCGCGAGAACCTTCAACCCGGTCAAGTAAGACCTCGCCATGGATCCCTTAGATGAGCTTAATCCTTGCTGTGAAGAATGATTCGCAAGTGCAAAAATACCAATCTGAAGCTCTTCTGGTCCCATCCGACTATTCGCAAATTCGATTTATATAACACTCCATTGGAGGATAAAGAAACATCAACAATTTTCACCAAGCTTAGAGACAAAGCGGTAATTTGGTTGATCAGCTTTTCGTGGCGCTTGAGGTCGCGTTTTTACAAATCACGCCGAGGAGCCGATCGCTCCGTTGGGCAAAGAGAACATTTTTTGATCTTGAATATCCTGACGTTGGGCCCCCTTTTTCTTTGGATGGGATTATACACCACCTCAGAGTATATGCAGATAAACTTTGGAGAGATGACGTGAGTGGATGAGTGAAGCGCGGGTTTTAAGTACCATGTGGTTCAAACAATGTCGCTACCTGTATTTATTATCCTATTGGGACACGCCCTGCTGACCCAATAGTTGAGTTCTATGTATGTATGTATAATAGTAGCTGGGCCTTAGGCCCAAATAATACTGATACCTTCTTTTCTCAGTGGAGATATTTCAGAGTTCAACGCGGAGTAGACACGTGCACACCCATGTTCGTTGGTTGTAAACTTTCGCAGAATCCCTGGCCAGCTGAGGGGTGCCCTGGACGGTCCAGATTGCTCGTTCTTCAAACCATGCTGCCTGACTCTGCCCACATCAACCCAGCCCTCCCCCACAAGGGCGTTGAGCCCTATTTTTTAGGTGTTCGACTCCTTTCGACTTGCGGCGAACTGCCTGTGACCCGCACGCCAAGACGCCTGGCCCCCCCTGGTCGGCGGCATCCCAAAACGGCACGGATCGACAAGTCGCGATGCATCAAAGCCTTTGGTTCGTGTGGGCCGCAGGGCAGTATGACACGATCACTACAGGCACATAGACGACAAGGGAAAGCAGGGCGCACGACAGGATGCATGGTATTTAACAAGTTTCCCGTGCCAAGTCGCTTCCTCCGTTGATAGCCAGCGTTGCGTTCTATCCCCATATTATTGAAGCGCAGTCATAACTAAGTTGCCTGGTTGCCTAGAGCCGCCACGTCAGGTGGTTTGACTTCCCGTTTTGAGCCGCAGTTTGCGTGTGTTTGCACTGTTCCTCTAGTATATGGAGCCACTTCATCCATGCAGGGCGCGCCTTTTTAAATGGATACAATGCATTATGTATGTATTACTTGGATTGTGACGGTACAGATATTTTCTAGCCAACCTGCCAAAACTAAATATATCTCCTGTAGGAAGGTCATCGTATAATGTTGACATCGAAGCGCGTTTACTTCATGGTGTTGTGCTCAAGCTCTGGATCTGGGTCCTTTGTCACAGCCTGGTGATTCTGGAAAGAAGATTTACTCGAATCACCTTTGACCTTCGTGGAGGTAGCTACTATCTGTTGAGCTAGTTGAGGTGTCTGTTTTTGTATTTTAACGGGATTGCTTTTTACTTTCGTAGATTTGCCGCGCTTGTAAAACGAAGAGTCTTTTGAGGTACTCTTTTTACTGCCTTCCGGCACTCGTTTGATCACTTTAAACGCATTCCATGCGGCATATTTCCTTGGGTTATTTTTTCTGAGTTTGAGCGCACCCCCTGATTGGTGCCGGGGAGGAGAAGTCAGAACAGAGATAAGTTGAGGGCTAGGTGTTCTTGGTGGCTGACCTTCAAGATTATCTTACGTTAGATAGCCGCCTAGGTAAAAGAAACAAATAAGGTCACTTAACTCTTTGGGCTTGTGAGGGGTGACATAACTAGAACGCCGAGTCCCAGTACCAAAAGGTGGACATAGCCCGATAGGGGTCGGAACTCTGCGATATAAACGGCGCAGGATTTGATGAGCGCAATACAATCTATAAGAGGGGGCACATTATAGTACCTGAGCAACAATTGAAAGGCGACAAGAGGGGGAAAAAGTGGAAGAGAGGCAGTAAGATCACAGAAGAAGGTTCAACTTAGAGTTAGATCATTAACTCATTGGGCGAAATGAATATGTGACGGAAGTGAATTCGTCTAGTCACTGATATCTAAAAGTTTTGGCAGAGTAAAATACCAACTATGAAAGAAATTGTACCTGTTGTTTACTTCAATGCTGAAGCAAACAAAAATGAGTGGGAAGAGATGTTCCAGTTCATGCTAAACAGAACAAAAGCCTCAAGAGAGGGGCTGAAGGTGAAATGACAAGGTTGCCTGGGTGATCAAAAAAAAAAAAAAAGTCATGTTATGTAGTCAAAAAACAACAAGTACATCCAACAACATTGGAATATCCAAACTTGAAGGTCAAGGTTCCTAATATATATGGCACATTATTCACTCAGGTAATCCGCGCTGTGTCCCATATAAGGACGTGGAAGCCGGGTAATGAGTACCCATTATCAAAATACTAGCAAAGGCTAGAACGTCAAAATCGCGTCTCAGAACTCGACAACTTGATGGAATATGGAAGAAGTGAATCGGATAGAAGGACGGCCCGACCCAGCAAGATGGGCTTGGCATTCAATCATGTGATATTGTACCTCACTTTTGTACTAACCTGTTTTGAATGAATACTCTTGGCATTTGCATTATCTTAGCGCCTATTGGTGGTCTTGGCGAAAGATATCCTCGATATCGAACCTTCACTCCAGGTGACAAGGGACAAGTCAGAAGACGCAATGTTCTTTAAATAAAAAATACTTTTATATGCATATACATCCTTTTGTTTCGTGATTACTTTCGACTTTCCTCATAATGGCCAAAAAAGGTGAAATATCCGGTTCATAGCAAGCGAAAATCTTACTTACATATAGCCTAGCCAAATCCCGTACTATTGCCGTTCGCCTCCTGAGTATGGCTATGACCGGTTACTACAAGACCTTCGTTCGACCCCGCACAGGAAGACCCCTTAGCATGTTGAAATACGATCCTGTTGTAAAGAAGAAAGTGTTATTTTTGGAGGCGAGGCGTGGTGGGAAATAGATTGTCTACACTATGTTCAAGGGATGAAGTGGGCAGGACAGATCCGGTGTGGAGTTTAGACGTCATTCGCTTCCGCGCAATAAATTATCTTGCAATCGATACTGAAACGTACGGGGAACAACTACAGCTTGAACACCCTCAAATCGAACCAACTGTCCCTACGGGCCCTATTCTGTGGTTGCATTGCATATATTCGACCAACCCTTTCTCAAATATAATGATGCGAATGGTGGAGTTTGGAGGTATTGAAAATTCACTGTGTTTCATTGAAAATGTCCTAACGGACTTGTATTGTTTTGTTGGCTATTTATAGTACTAATGGCGTTCTTCAGCAAAGAGATAACAAATTTTTCATCTATTCATAATTACCAGGCATAGACTTAAATATTATATTCTAAAATACTGAAACATAGCTCTTTTTCATTCGGGGTGTTTTTTAACTTCTGTCGCACTTTAACACATCTTTTCCCACACTTTCTACTCTCCGTTGGCTTGTTTGAACCGATTATTGTAGAGGTCCACTAATATATATTGGTTATCTCCCTAAATTCATATTGCGAATATGCGGAGGCATACCTTTCTTTTTTCCATAGCGGCGAGGCCTGCTGTACTTTGCTGCTGTATCAGTTGTTTTTTGCACTGCCCATGACCGTCGAGTGTTCAGAAAAACGGAGCTTGAATCTTCTGTAGAGCTAAAATATTGAGAAGAGGTACGAGATCGTCGCCTCGGAGCACGTGGTAACACACTTCTTTCGCAAGTTCGTTGCTCGTCTTTCGATGGGGTGCATACTCCTTGAGCTACATTTGTGGGAAGTGAATTTAGCTTGGCTTCCTTTAAGATACCTTTGGGTGAGGTCCGGTTCTTTTTTGTGTCCTGTAGTAAGGGTTCTTCTATACTTTTGTTATCTTTCTCCTGCAATTGGCGATCATCTCCGGTGATGACTTCAGGGTGCATTGTCTCTTGTGAAGCTCCTGCAACTTCTACAGGCCTCGACAAAAACTTGGGTGATGGAGTGCTGGGTCCATCTTTTTTTATCTCCGGGGTAGATGGAACAGGAAGCCCATTGATCTGGACCTCGGACGTAGATAGGAGTTTACTTAGGTCAGTAGGTGAGGCATCTTGGACACCTGCATTCGACTCAATCTGCGAAAATGGTTTGATCAGCGATGTCATGGGATTAAACTGCTTCTTCTTGCTTTGAGAATGAAGTGAGAATGATGGGTTCCGAGGTGAGCAAGAGATACTTCGACTGATGCTTTCCTTGTGGTACACAACCTCAGTCATTTTCCAATCTTGGGAAATACCTCGAGGTGACACCCGCTTTAGTGCTTTCGGTGTCATGAAAGCAGTACGCTTTCTTTTACCAAGATGTTTAGAATTCTGTGTATTCATTTCGCCCGCTATCTCGTCAGTATCAGCATCCAGCAGCATTTCATTTGGGTCCTGTCGACGAATAAGGCATGCTAGTCGTTTCTCTAATGAAGGACATGATTGGGATAACGATTCTTCCGGGTTAAGGGCATTGAATTGGCGTAAGATATTTTCGACTTTTGTGAAAGTTTCTTTTACTCCAAGTAACTGATTCTGCAATAATTGAAGCTCATCATCTTTGTTCTGCACTGCTTGTTGAAACTTGGGTATGGTTTCCAAATCTCCTTTGACCCTTTCTAGTTCTGCCGTCAAGCAAGCTACATCGTCATCTCGGTGTTTCCAGCGTTCGTCCAGCTCTACCTTTGCCTTTTCCATAGCTTCCACAGTTTTTTGCAAGGCCTCAAGTTCTTCCATTGCTTTAAGGCCATCAGCCTTTGCTACTCGAGCACTTTCGAAATTGTCTCGGAGAGTATCGATTGTTGCTGTCATGGAAGCAATCCTTTCATCCTTTTCAGCGCTCTCATCTCGCAAGAGATCAAATTGCTCTTGTAATATACAGACTTTGTAGGATTGTTCTGCTGCGCTTTTAGAAGTAGCTAGATCTGCTTTTAGTCTTTCCACTTCACCGAGCGCGCGTTCCATCTCAGCTTTCGACTTTGCGGTATCTTGTAGGCTTTGCTTTAATTGGATCCCCAGGTCTTGCTTCTCCTTTTCTAAATTATCGAGCTTTGGTCGGATCTCTGCTACCTGAGAAAATTTTCAGCTATCGTGGCATCAATTTTTATATAAATTGATACTTACAATTTCTTCAAGCTCGCTACGTGTAGCATTTACCGTGGCCTTAATCAACTGTTAGGAAAACTATAATTTTCCGTGTTAAAATTTCTGACGTACCAATTTTGATTTCAGTGTTACCAACTGTTCCTGGATCGTCTCAGCATTCTTCTTCACTGTATTTCTTTCTCGGCGAAGCTCATGCAACTGCTGCTCAAATTGGGCACGGTCCTGCTCTTTTGCTAGCAAACTGGCCCTTGTAAACTCTGCCCTCACTCTATTTTCAACAATCATAGAATCCTCGCCAACTTTCACTTTCTCCCTCTCCAGACTTGAGATCTTTGCCTCAGCTTCCTGGAGGCTATGCTGTCTTTCCTCCAAACTAGCTTCTAACCTAGATATATTGGTTTCATTTGCTTCTAGCTTGTGATTTGCATCTATGAGTTTTGCAGATGTATTGCTGAATTTTATACGCAACTCAATCAATTCGTTATAGTCTTCAACACGGTTAGTTGCATCAGCTAGCTGCGATTTTAGTAAGACTACTTCGCCCTGAGAACGCATAAGCTCTTCATTGAGATATATTTCTCGCTGTTTCAAGGCAGAATTGGCGTTATTCGCTGCCAGAGACGCTCCTTCGAGAAATTTGATTTTTTGGTCAAGAAGCATATTCGTCTCTTTCGATTTTTCTAATTGACGAGTAGTCTCAGATGACGCCGTTAAGGAAGTGCTAATGTCTTTAACTAGATTTAAAGTCCGTAATGTTTGCTGGGTTTGAGCATCAACGTCTGCATCTAATTTCTGAGTTGATTGCTGGTTTCGTGTGTTCAACCTGAGACAAGTAAGCATCTCTGATGTATAGGAGTAGAAGGAAATGCGAACTCAGAAAACAGGCGCCGCATAGTAGTGTCAATTTGCGAGAAAAGATTTTGTGTGTTCAACCCTTCCGCATCAATCCTCCTCAGCAGCTCTAAGCAGGACTGAGCAGGAGCTTGCAGCTCTGCTTTCATGTCAGACTGGGCCTTCATAATGATATCATTAACTTGGTCACAAAATGTGTCAAGCTTGGTGTTTGTTTCAACGTGGTTCTTCATCAATATCTGTATTTGCTTCAAACTCCTACTAGACTGATTTCGGATAAAGGATTCGAGCATAGCAGTGCGGTTTTGTTCACGAGCAAGATATTTTTCACCATCTTTAAACTTTTTGTCGCTCAATTGTAGAGATTGCCCAATGGCAGAGCATTCGTATCGGACACTAATGAGCTGAGCGTGTTGCTCAGCTAAACTCCTATCCATTTTGTCATTTTTGCCATTCAATTGTCTAAGTTCCACTAGAAGTTTTTGGTTTCTTCGAGCTAACAATGCCTGTAGAGACTTCAGAAGCTGTCCGTCTTTGCGAAGGGATTCATGGTCATTCCCAATTGCCACAACGAAATCCCGAAGTTTCTTGAACTTGATTTTCCATCTTTCTATCAAATCCTGCTGGGTGGACCTTTCTGTCTCCTGTACCTCACACCGTACCTCTACTTGCTTGAGTTGATCTTTCAAGGTATTGTTCTCTTGATAAGCCACCTTCAGCTTTTCCTCTACTTCCTCCAGCAGGGCAGCGGTTTCAGCTTCGGCTTGCTCTCTTCTCTTTAATTTGTGAATTAATAGATAGTGAAGATCTTCTTCAGATGGTTGAGATGGAAGATTAGCATCATTGACTATGGCTTTGTTGACTAAATTGCCGGCGACTGGGTTTGGCAATTTTGATATCTTAGAAGATATGGTTGCAGAAGTGGAAACAGATCGTACAGATCGTGAGTCGGGGTTCGATTGTCTGTCGGTACTAAGTCTGGACCCATTTAAATCTGTGGGGTCATTACTAAACAGGGAAGTGTTGTGACTTTGGCTGATATTCTAGGTCGCTAATTAGTATGGTGGGATATTGAGAGATGCCAAGGCTACAAGCTAATTTTGTAACATTGTCAGCTCAGATATAAACTTACCATAGCTTCGTCTTTAGATCTATCATCGGTAACTAAGAGATGAGTTAGTAAAATTTCTGAAAATAATAATAGAGATGGGAACTTGCTATTTTCTTCACCATGATATTTTGATGTCATCGATTTCGTGCAGGGTTCTAAATGGGACGCTCTAAGTGCCGGGTTATCAGCTTGCATGGGCTTAGTTATAGAAAGAAATGGTTGCTGCCGCGTTAATGGAGAGAGCGAATGGTCCGGTTGACATTGCTCGACAGTAATGTCTTGAAAAGAGCCAGTCGTGCTAGTTGGGTTTCTAAAAGTCATATCGTTAGCACAGGGAATTTCTAAACATAACTTCTCTTAGATGATGGAATATCTTACATCTGGCTCGTGCCCTGGTTGAGTGACGAGCTTGGGTTATAACTTCCAATAGCAGGCGACGGACAACCTCCTCCGGGGTGATCGCCACCTCTGGCTAGTGTTGGCTGTGGTCTTACAGAATAGCTTGTAATAGCATGGTTTCGTCGAGCAAAATGGAACCCGGAAGTGCCATCAAAGTCAGAGTTAACAGGCCGAGAAATAAGAGTCCGAATTTGTTCCTCGGGAGGCGCCGTAACCGTCACAGAGCATTGTTCCAGAACTTTTTTAGAAGTAGGTGATAGTGCTGTATCATCAGTGATACCAATCGGGTCGTCCCCTGTCTGAAGATCTTGAGTTTGATTCATGATAGCTCGTAATTATCAGCTAAATCATTGAATTATACTCTCTAGGGAACCTCATTGACTTTACGTCAGCATAAGCTATGCTGCAGGCACCAGCCCAGTCAAATACGTTGCTTTCAGAGGGTATAAGATGATAATGGAGCCTTGATGGGTATGCCTAGAGAAAAAAGAGATGCCAAAGGGAGTCCGGGGAAACGGTGGGGTGAAGTCAAGATTGCCAAATACGGTAATGGCTGAAGGGCGCCTGCAAATATCTATTTTGTCTGTTTGAGAATACCAAAATAGAAAGATCAACTGGAAAGCGCTTGTTCATGGTATATGTAGTATCTATTTTAGAGAAATCTCGTCGCAACTTACGGCTTCGATGATATCGACGCAAGCATATTCAAATGGAAGAGCTAAAAGGCGCAAAAAAATCTTGTAAAAGAAAATGCCTCTCGGATGAATTGCAAAATAGGAAACAAGAATTCCTCTGAGAGTGGCTTACCCTCGGAGGGCACTTTTACCTTTCCAATCTGTAGCAAATGTGATGTTAATATCGGAAGCGCTCTCACTCAAGTATGAAAGAGAGCCGTTGAATACCCAATAAACAACAGTTGGCGATGACTGCAGCTAGAGTTAAAAACACTATAGAGAAAGAGTAGCTTATTCCTACCTTGCATACAGCAATATCTCTCTGTAAAACGCTCTCTGTATTGCCCAATTCCACAAGCCCCAGTTCAAAGCAGAAACGGAATCCTCGGATCTGACACAGTGATCCATGGTTCATTGAGTAGTAAGTCTCTATTTTGATTAGGTCATCCGCTACAGAAAACGTGTGAATTTCCTCGCGTGCCTCTCCTAATAAATCCGGGTTCCGATCAAAATGATATATTTTAATTCCGGTAAGCCTAGCCTCTTCGAGTAGGGATTCTGCATATACTGTAATGCCCGAAATCGAGGTTAAGTCGGATCTAGAAACGAAACCTAAGACAGACTCATTCTTATCAAATGTGACAATTTCTTGAGGCCAGGTAGTCACTTCAATGGTGGCAACATCATCGACTATCAAGTTGTGGCTCCCTGTGCATTCTTTCAATACGCCAAAGAAAGAAATAAATGGCATGGAGCCGTCCTTTTATTGACCATCAGACGATGTCATTACGCTCAGAAAATGGCTTACTGGAAAGGTGTGGCAAAATATTGCAGAAGAGCAATATATTCCAGCGATGCCTTTTATAGTATGCCAGTCTCCTAGAATTGGGCCACCAAAAATTACACTGCGGCCGAAATTTGTGAAGAACTATATAAGGTGTGAGTATCGCAACAATCGATAGGATAATAACATCAATTTACCTTGATGGAGAGTCCTTGGTTGTGATGAGCTACTGCACAGCCAGCCCCTAGAATAATTTCTCCCTGCTCCCAATCAAGATTGAATGATAGTTTAGTAAAGGTCTTTGCAGGTCGGCCGAGTCTGGCAGTATCTGATTTTCCACGGAACGTAAATTCTATTCCAGAAAGCGACTGCCACCAAGTGTCGACAAATGCACTGATCGATATGACCGTGTCAAGACCTTGGTCTAGGAAGGTACAAGGTCTAATACCTTCGTTGGGAAAACGATCGAAGAGAACCGATGGAGTGAGGTAGGGTGAAGGAAACCCCCCATGCCAAATTGAGAAATGCGGTAACTCCTCCTCTAGGTCTTGTGAATGGTATGATATGGTTTGGATTTTGAATGTCTGCGAAAGATTAGTGCAGTGTCGATTTGAGAGCGGTAACATGGACCTACATCCAAGCAAAGTATAAGCTCGCTATCCTGGCAAATGGGCCACTCTAGCTGAGCAAATGAAAGGTACTCAATCTCATTCGGCGGCAAGGTACCACAGGTATGTAATTGCCATGACTTTCCATCCTTGACCTGAAGAGATAGAAATCCGTAATCATCTAGAGCTATGCGTAAACCTCTAAACTCTTCAATAGTCGTAGACAAAGATAAGTTTCCTGTATATCCTGCACAATCGTCGTTAATTTGAAGGCCACAAAGATAATCCCGAGTTCGGACTGATGTAAAATGCACAGTTAATTTGCAGGGGGATTTCAAAGGGAGAGATTTTTGGTGCTTCAGCGCTCCTATCACGTCGCGGCAGCGAACGACACAACGATCGTCAATTTTTACGGAAGATATGTCTGACCCACGTATGGTTTGTGCCAAAATAGAAAGTGTGAGTTTAACATTCTCCCAGACAGCACAATAGTTGGCGATATGAGGAAGGCAAGTCGGAGAATTGTGAACATTCCACAAAATTCGCTCGATTATATCTGCAATTTGTCGTCGAGTCCCTTTTATGGAAGCTAACCCGGGCCCAAAATAAGTTTTCCCCAATGCTAGCCAAGCCGCTGGGGCAGGATCCACTCCTATCACCCGGGTAAAATTGCGGACGTCATCATAGCATTCCAAGTGGCTATGAATGACTTGTAAGATCTCTACAGGAAGGAAAATGTTACCAAAAGTACCAATAACGGAAGAGTCGAGCTTGTTAGCTTCAGGAGCAGGTATACTCTGCCAGCTCCCTTCTAGAAATTCTGGGCGTTCGGGCCACTGGATTTCAGCAAAGTGGGGTTCTAAATCCTCAAAGATTTCGCGGATACTACCTAACCACCGGTGGCTGATATCCTTGGAGAGAACTGCACCATTCAAGATGGACCAACAAGCAGAATGAACTGCATGTTGGTCATGACGGAGCATGAAAGTAACAGGCGGAGTGATAAGTGTTGGGCCATCATGCTCTAGCTCCAGGAGGGTCAAAGAAGCCTTCCAGTCTTCCACCCCCCTTCCACTAAAGGCGGAATCAACATTCGTATTGCATAGCGGACATGGTTCAGAGTAGGGCATATCTCCGGTTTAGAGGATGGAAGGGTACTCTGAAAAAATAGCCAATACGATTTCTAAACCACTGTAACCAGTATATATGGCCGCGAAGCATCAATAAACGAGTATCACGATGTCAAAGCATCTGATGCGGAGTTCAGGCGGCAACTGGGACAAAACAGGCCCAACTCATGCAACCAGAAGAGACTTGGCGCCTCGGGCCGGCCATACCAGTCACGTGACACCCTTTTACCACCGCCAAGCCACTCTTTTCATCTTCGAGTTGTACTCCGTACTCCCTACGATTCTCGATATGCGACTGACATTTGGTGTAGCACCGATTCTTTGGAATGTTGTGTGTAGTACAGAGTACGGAGCATCTACGGAGTACATTCCTATGCTGTTATCTCCGGTTTGCTTGTACAATATCATTTTCCGCTGCTACCAGCACTTTTAGCGGGGGATTAAATATGACTTTGGATACATTAGCTGTTGACGCCTGAGAGCAGATGCAACAAAATACTGGAATTCTTTTGCAAAGTACTATTCATTTTGAACGTATTGGCTATCCTAAAATGCGACTCCTCATGGCCCTTGCAATCGCCTCTATTCTCGCTCTTGCTTCCGCCAGAACAAATTCGCAACTTAACGACCCGGCACCAAATATCCAGTGTAAAAACATAGTATGGATCCCAATTATTGATGGACAACGGATACTCACTCCATTCAATAGTGTAATTCTAAAGGACTTGGTGATGGCGAGGTGGTTCCGAGTCCCCACGGTGGCTAGTAAGCTCTGTTCTTCTGCAATCCGCCGCGGCGCCGCATACTCCCGCTAATCGGTGAAATATGTACCGTGATAGTAATTGTATATGCCCTCCTAAGTCGAAAACACTCCAATGCCCACCCGAAAGGCTACGATGTGAATATTTGACAAGTTGAGACTGCCATATCTTTTCGCAACAATGACTTCTTGTATTTCAATAATTTTGGGCTGCGGCGCTGACTACCTAATATAGAGTAACTACGTGGGTTAGAAAATATTATGCTCTAGATTAAAAGTATATACTCTGTATGCTGATTAGGCTTAAATTTCTCCATGGGTACTCCTCCCGAAGAAAACGAGATATTATTCGGATAATCATAACATAATCATAGTAAACGAATGTCTCAACTTTTGGACCAACCAAATTCTTGGAAGTAGAATCATTATGACCATGTACGGAGGGAGTACTTCATGCTGAGAATCCTCGAGACTTGGGCCTTCATCCTCCTCTTTGCTAGTAATATAATGGAACAAATCACCCTTATCCATTCCTATTCTCCAGAGTTCACTGAGTTGGCCACTTCGGGCCCGGCCTGCAGATTAGGGCTAGCCGGGCTATTCAACACGAGAGCGAATATACCCTGGGGCCTAGTAAAATCTATAACCAGCATGCAACAAAGTCAGAGTACATGTACATACACCAGACAAATCACATTCGTCTCAGAAACACATGGATAAGGACTATATCAAATATCTCCGGCCAGGTTTGCACACTGCCGAATTCATATTCGCTGACCTGAATCACGGCAAGAAACCCCTTATACACCGTGCTGCCGTTTCCAGCACTCATCAGTAGAGTTGAGCCTGGAATAACGACCAATGTCTCTGCTAAAGAGGGTGTACTCTGATCAAGATATATATATTTTTTAGCGTTGCTGTGAAACCCGCCTGGAAACTACAAAACTTGCTAGAATTTGCATTATTGATACTGGTGCCCATGCAGGTTGCCTTTGCACATTCAGAAGCAATGTCTTTATAGCCCGAATTATTCGTAAAAAGAAAACGTTGTGGCCGTCGAACCGCAAGCTAATTTATCTCACGGACCTCCACATTGGGCCTCGAGCTCACTAGCAAATGCGCTATACAGGGTCGAACCTTTGGATGTCGTACCGCCTCTTCGCGCAAGATACGGTGAGTGTAAGAATATATAAAAAATAGAATGGATAATTTCCAGTTGCGTTGACCATAGTCTCGTACAGAATAGGCGGATGAAAAACGGGGGAACGCTGGTCTCCTTGTTACCAAACCAAGAATGTAATTGACAACGGCCTCGCTCGTCATCCTAAGCGACGTGGGGATATCATCCGGTGGTTAACCGACCCTAGTTGAAATATTAAATTCCTTAGAATTCGATCACTTGGTATATATCGATGGCGACTGCTTGTGCTCTGTCATTCTCGTGAATATAACTTGAAAGGATATCATGAAAACAGCAATTTAGAATTCTCCCACTGTAAAATCTGAAAGCTGCTAAAACTCAAGACACCAACTTACTAGACCGAGAAAGCCTTGTCGATTTTGCAACATACTGCATAGTTAATAAATTTTTGTTCAAGAGAAAACTGGATATAAGATTTATGGCATTTTGTTATTGATATCAGGCGTCTGCTTCCTGAATAGATTTGATTGGTAGCTTCGAACGTACTTGGTCTAAGACAAACACGAGCTTTGAAGATCCTACCCATTTCGCTTGTCATATTGCCAAATTCCGAGAAAAGGAATTCTTCGAGTCTGGAAGTTATCACGGTTGGCCTTAATGTATTCTCACGTTGCAAGAAGACCGTGGGATAGGCCTGGGCGGAATCCCCTCATTAAGCCAATGGCTGGGCACCCACGAATTTAGTTAAGCGTCACAGAATAGGTTTCAGAGAGTCTACTCTGTATTCATATTGAGATACTGTCGGATGTCACCTCTGGGTTTTATTAGGGATTGTTTTTATAGCCCGATATACAGGGGACTGCAAGACCTCCGAGGCAGAACATCTTTTGTTTCGATCGAGTGTGAGTAGCAACTGGAGTAAGCTTTTCCATTCCCTTTGGATATCCATTTGCTGTATTTACTGGTCTAGTGGCTCGATTGGGATGCTGTCCTTAATACGCGTCGCGTCAGCGAATACCTGCCCGAGGCTTTGACCGTATACATCCATCCATTCAACGGGAGAAGGATGCCATTCAGGGAAAAGGCGCATGAGTTTAGCAAGCATAATTGTTTCAACCAGGACATCATCTCGTATCACTGAAAAACTAAAGGCGGAGTGACTAAATTGCTCAAACAAAGTCACTCCGAGAGCCCAAATATCAGAGCTATGGAAATGGCCTTTGCCTTCCCATACTTCAGGAGCGCGTGTCAACGAGGATCCCGTAAGAGTTCTAGAAAACCCATCATAATTTGCTATGCTGCAGTCAGTATCGCGTCTTAGTATGTGGTGTCTGTACTCTTTACATTCTCCCAAATCAGAAAGATTCACTTCATAGGTACAAGGACTGTAGTAGTTAAGTAAAATATTGTCTGGTTTGATATCTGGATATGCTTAGTCTTGATACGACAATGTTGAGTACAGTCATCCTGCCCGAATGCACTCGCTTATTATTCTCAAATGAAACGAGGACTTTCAGTGCCCCAGTCGCAACTGCCTCAGCCAACACATAATCTCGCCGGTATATTCGAGGATCAAAATCATACAGGTTGTGGTCCATCCATTGGAACACGAGACCTGGGGGAATATGACTGGCAGCCATTTGATGAGTGGCGTTATTGTCATATTTCGGTCTAGTTGGACTATCGTTAACATCAGGAATGATATCAAGGAGCGGCCGTATGAATTGGCATGACGAGACGCTTGCCCTGAGGTGCTCGCGGTATTCCACCTCTAGGGGCGCCCGACATTCCGCAGGCCGCGTTTTGATAACAACTCTATAGAGCAAGTTAGAGGCATACTTCTCTGGAAATAAACACTATAATAAAGACCTTTTAGCATTGGCCCCATTTCCGTCACTCAGTTCTTGGGCTTTAAAGAGCGAGGCCAGGCTCCATCCATTTCTTACTCGCCCAGTCAATTTATACACTCCTTTCGCTCCGCACACAGTCCGTCCAACCTCGAAGACAGTTTGAGTGACAAGGTTTGCATTGATTCACTAGGCTTCCAGAAATAGAAACAGAAGGACAAGATAATTCATCTATAGTGTTAGTTGAAATTGAAGACAAGTGACCCAGTTGAGTAGGTAACTTTAGGAGATTGTAGAAGATATCTTGCGTAAATAAGATCATGTCAAGTCTTTCTGTTGTCAGAGATAGGTCTCAATGGAGTTCTCGGGGACATTTTATCATAGACATTGCGGAGTGCTCTCTGTACTCTCTCTCGGTGAGAAGAAATTGTCGCGTTGAGACGCGTTAAATTAAGATTTCATACCGCGACCTTGCCAAGCCTTCTAGCCTGTTCACGAGGTTCACCCGCCAGATGAACCATGGGTAAGGGGTATACATATAAGGGCGCGTGAAGTGGTCACTCCAACAAATGGAATCCTAGGAGTGATACTACAGTGTTTTATAAATAGTACTATCTCAATTCTATATTGTGGGTTTAACTTCCAAGCGTCCGAAATACTGAAAAAAAAGAAAAAGAAATCAGTACCCAGATGGATACCGGCGGTGCATGCAAAGTACTACTAATGTCGCCGCGAAAAGAATAGGTATAGCTACTGTATGGTTTCCTTTATGCCACCACCAGGATTTTGATGCTACAAGCTGTGATGGGCACTTCGATCCCTAGTAAGGCCAGGGAGTCAACCATTCTGGTTTCTAAGGACAGTAAGTGGATGCAAGCTTACCAATGACTCAGGGGGTAACCAATACTGGGCCTTCTCGTCCTCCTCCTCTTGCTGGTATTCGACATGTACATCTTGCCTCATTTCACGGTTGTATTGTTGGAGTTCTAGGATTTTTAAGCGCACGACAGTCTCCCGGTGATTACGGAGGTGGGCTTCGCCAGTCGTTCGTGCAACCCTTTCTGTCTGTAGTGCCGTTCCATAAACATAATTATCAAGCAAGTTCCAGTAAAGGTTATCGGTACTCCAGCCGTTTCGAATTGCGAAATTAAACCAGACTGTACGATCCTCCAGTGCATTTCGCATGCGGTTAGACAAAGTTTCATCCGTATTTATCGAAGGCCGGTTTGTCTCATGCTCTTGTAGTGTTTCCAAAAAAACATTGAATTTCGGGATGTAGACATCTAAAAATGCTTGCAGACCAGAATCTTCCACCCAATGGCTAATGGGTTTCAAAAGAAGCCATGGTGGTGGTGATGCTGCGAATTGCGCAGGTGCAGCATAGCAAAATTCCCAGTCAATGACACCAGTCACCTTGTTTGTTATCGGATCTACCAAGATATTTCCAGGCCCCAAATCATCGCAAAATAGTTTAAAAGGCCCGTTGATATCGCGTTTGGAGGTGAATAAAGTAGCAGTGGATTTTAGAAAGCGGCGACAGGTATATTTAGCTCGGCAGTCACGAGAATCATGGACACTGTTGCGTTGCTTCATAAAATGCAACTCACGCATTTCGCAAAGATGAAAAACGTAGTCTAGCGATGATTCAAAGGTTCCACAAGCTAAATTCTCTTCATTTATTCCGCCGTACCTTACCAGCTCATTCATACCAAGCGTTATTGGTCGGCTGTTGACTTCCCATGAATTGGAATCAGAATTAAAATCAACGGAGCCAATTTTATCAAATTCAAGAGTCCAAAGCTGATAAAGTATGCCAGAAACTTCGCTATACAAAGTTCTCAGTGTATTGGCATCGAGTTCTGGGTCCAGCAGAGTTTCTTCAAAACCATCTGGGGAGCATACTTTTTTTTCCATCAGCTCTTTCATCCGCACCCCTTCAAGCCAAGTCATGATAATGAAGGGGCCTAGGCCAGTTGGATTCTCGGCCGCTGAGCCATAAGTGATAATCTCTGGAACAGGTATAGACGTATTTTGGCGAACGAGTTTCATAACTGCGATTTCGCCGCGAAGTTTCTCATCGGCAAAAACTGTTTTGCCAGGTATTTGAAAACGAATCAGCCAGTCTGGCCCATCATCGTCCCAATGCAGTCGAACACAAAAATTAAAAGAACCACAGTGCTTGGAGACTAGAGTACATCGGGGATTTTGGCGATATTTTCCCGCCATTTCCCCGATTTGGAGAAGTGAGCTGTCGAATTTCCTCGCCCAATCCTCCATCAGTTGCTTCTGGTAATTGTCGCGGGAACAATCAAACTCCATGGTAGCTAGCGATGCCCTTAACTGAGAATAAAACAATGTTCTCTAGTGGTGGGTTTTCACTTCGAAACACACAGAAGTTTCAAAGCTTCAGCTAGTTAACACATCTTGTTTCTGCAAGAGATGGCTAGCATAAACAATCAGTTTCCATCAAAAAGGGCATGATATACCCATATGCTCGCAAGAGTTCAAGTACGGGATATAGAGCATAGTCAACAACTCCGTACCCTCTCAAGGATTTTCCTTGTTCGGGCCGGGAATTTATCCTGATCCTATCAAGGATCGCATGTTGAATGTGCGCCCTGGCCCCTGAGGCATCCTATATTGACAGGGTGTTAGTTACATGTCAAAGTAGCACTCCGTGCGGAGCCCTCCGTACCGTACCTGGCTTCCGCAGAATATCCAATCTAAAGATAAGCTTAAATACATGGGGATATCCACCCATTTTGACAGAATGTCGATACAAATCTCCCGACCCCACAATAACTACTGAGTCCGCAGGCAGCATCACACAAATTCTAAATATCTTCATTCACAATGCGACTTCTTGCACTTCTAGTTGCTGCAGCGGCAACCACTGCCGCCATCCCTTTTCCCCCTGGACTGGAATGTGCCGAGCTCCTCATCGAGTTGACGCATCGTGAGATTTGCTCACGCCCTTCAATGGCGGGAGACACAATCAAGATCCACTACCGCGGGACGTTCACAAACGGCACTGAATTCGATTCGAGCATTGGCCAGGAGCCCTTGAAGTTCGCCCTGGGCCAGAAGAAGGTCATTAAGGGGTATGTGAAAGCACTTAGTTGGCGCAACGTGTTTTTTGTTTCTCCGGCTGACGCTGATTTCCACTCGAAGATTCGATGAAGGTGCTATGAACATGTGTGTTGGCGATAAGAGAAAGGTTATAATCCCGCCATTGTTAGGATACGGCAACAAGCAGCGTGGTCCCATCCCGCCTAACTCAACGCTCATCTTTGAGACCGAGCTTGTGGAAATCGTTGGGGTCCCAAAGGAGAAGGCATAAAGAAACACTGATAGGAACATTTAGTATTGGCTTTGCTCCGGTGTTAGGGGTAAAGAGTAGCTTAATAACAACAGCTATCTCGTAGAGAGAGAGATATATATATATATGTACATACATACATTAAGATCTAGTTCATAGTATACATTCGCTGTACATAGCAGACTCGAACGCTTATTTTCACATCCTGTGTTATTCAATCTCAGAATATTGTAGCACATTTTTCAATACGCAATAATACTTGGACAAAGCATGCAAACCGATTGCCTCTAATAGCTGAACCGCAGGGTATAAATCCATCCTATGTACCCACAAAATAGGATTGCCTTTCCCCCCTTAAACCCCCCACAAATTCAATACATTCTCCACAAGAATCAAAGTGAAAACCAGTAACTCCCAAAAAAACATCAAAAAAGAAATCGCTCACATTTTAACGCTCAAACACTCAATCGACGCTTGGAGAACTGCATAGTGTCGTCACCTTCTAAGACTCAGGCAAGTCGCCGAGATCAGGGAGAGCATCTCCACACTTAAATGCTGGCTGGTACGCTTTTTGCGGCAGTATGCCCGCCTCTCGACCTCTTCTCCAGCTCCATTGTACAGCGGACTCGGTTTCCCAAGTCCAGTAAAACCATCCCCACCCCTTTTCAAACGCAGACATCTGCGCTTCCGCATACGTCTGCAAAAACTTTTTATACGCAGCAGGGTACTTAGACGGATCAGAGTTGGCTCTGTCACAGCTGCATGACTTGGGGTCAGTTGGGCATAGAGGCCTGAAGACCTGTTCTCGGGCAGTGGGGCTGTCCATAGTTCCCGTCCAGCGTGTGCCAACACCAACGTTGTTCAGAAATTTGGCGCAGTCTGTGTCAGCTTGTGACCATTCCCCGCAGATAGTCGGGCCCCAGCTGCAACATATATCAGTATACAACGAAAGGTGCTTATGGAAGGAGGTACTTACCCAGCTTCTTTCGAGTTGCTTTTACTGATTAAGTCAACCCAGCCGTCACAGACAAACTCAAGTTTCTTCTTCTGCTTCAAGCCAACCAAATCCGTATTAAAGATCGTGTACTGATGTGTATCCAAAAGAAGATTGTACCCCGTATTCTGAAGAATCGTTTTCCACTTCGATAGTTTCAAAAACCCATCTCCAAAAACAACATATTGGTCCTTCATGCCATTGTTTTTGACAATGCCAGCCGCTTTCGTAGTCCAATCAAGCACAGGCTCAATATCCAACTTTAACAGCAGCGGTTCATTAACAAGGCCATATAGCGTAATGACGTTCTCATACCGCGGCTGCGCGAAGAATTTGGAAAGCTGATCGTGAATATCCAGAGTGCGCTGGGCATTCTTGCTTCCATCTGTCCCATTTAGCCAGCGAATTTGACCTTGGCGCCCGCTGTGGTTCCACCCGTTCTGACTCCCAGGGGCGCCATGCAGATCCAGCTTCACACGAAGGCCATATTTCCTGCAATATTCAATCCCCCGTAGCAGATATCTCCAAGCAACGTTCGGAACAAAGGGATCATCATCGAAAATCTTGATTGCCCAATACGAAAATGGGATTCGAACATGGTCCAACCCAGCATCACGTATTTCTCGAAACGACTGTTCTGTGATGAAAGTAGCATAATGCTTTTCGAGCGTAGATTTTGCATTCGGTCCCAGACGCTTAGTGAGGGTGTATTCATCGACGATGTTGTCTTGTACCGAATACTTGCTGAAGAAAGATGGCGTAATGAACGGCTCGACAGAAAGCCAACCTCCGACGTTAACGCCGCGAATCGGCTGCTTGCCATATGGAAACTTCTTGTTTAAGGGAGGAACAAATTCATTAGCTTGTGCAGAATCGTCCCAGGCAGAATTCAGGCCCATTATTGGAAGGCCACCAACAGCCTCATCAGTGTATGTCACGTTAAAATCTTTGGTATCATACCACGAAAAGGGATCTAGATACGTCCCTCTCGCATTTTCCTGCAAGAAAGTTAGTTCAATAATCAATGGTATCATGTAGTGACTGGAGAGTAGCTCACTGGAATACTGTTTCGATCAATATCCTTGAGGTTATCATTTGTTGGCTTCGAATCATTCTTGCCGCCCGGGCCATCACCATCGTTCTTCTTTCTCGAAACTACCACGCCAACAGGAATAAGAATAATCAGCAACAGAGCAAGTATCCCAAGGATAACAAGAATCTTCTTCCTCTTGCTCCAATTGCTGAGGCACGATCTACCGCCGCCGCCGCCATCATCGTCGTCCCCATAATCGTCGTCGTACTCCGACCAATCCTTATATTTCCGACGGCCATGGCCACCACCACCGCGTACTCTCAGATCAGGGCTGCGGCCTTCCTCCATCATGGCCCCGGAAACCATCCTTCTCTGGCCCCTATCTCGATCTCGATCACGATCACGGTCCCTAGACGCTTCTCGCCGGCGAGATTTCTCCACCAAAATCTCCTCCTTCTTTCTCCGCCGCTTCTCCTTCTCCCAACGAGCTTTTTCCTCCTTCGCCTCACGCTGCCTTTCGGCGGCATCTCTCTTGGCATTGTGTGCGTTCAACTTCGACAGTGCATCCGCACTGAGCAATTGCGTCGCACTGTTCGCCGACCCCGAGCTGGCGTGCTTCTCCCTGATCCGCTCACGCTCTCGATCTCGCTCCCTATCCCTCTCCTTCTCGCGATTTCTCGACCGTCTCTGCTCGTCCTTGCTGCGCGCCCGCGCATCTGTGATATCCCTTTCGGCATGCCTCTCGCGCACCGGCCTCTCCCTCCGTCTGGCCTCATCTCCAGTACTGTCTCTCCTCCTGCGGTCGCCTCGTCTATCCCGTTCCCGATCCCTCTTCTTGATCGGTGACGTGGCAGGAGACTCTTTCGCTTTCTGGTTCCTCGATCGCTCCCTGTCAACCTGACGTCGGGGCGGCGTCGACCTCCTGGGACTGGGCCGCACATTCGGTGGCCTGGCAAAATTCGGCCTTGAATCAACGACAATTATCTCACTGTCCTCATCATCATCATCATCATTATGGTAATCGTTTTCGTCGGGAGTATCATAGCGGTCGTAGCGCCGGTGTGGTCGTGACCGCTGCCGAGGGCGTTGACGGCGGTCGCGTTCGCTATCGTGCTGCTCCTCCGTATCAAAATCATCGTCATCGTAACTATGCTCGGCTCTATCGTGATATCGACGTCGCTCTACGCGTCTTGGTCGCTCCGACTCCGGTTCATAGCCGCGATGACGATCTCGCGAACGGTGCGGCATACGCAATAGAGGTCGGATCTATCGACTCGTAGGGGGCGGTGTAGAAAAGAGTGATAGTATGCAAAAGTCTCGCCGTAATAGTTAGTTAGGCTAGCTGATGGCCGAAGACCAGGAAATTTGAAGATAGCTCTGCATTCAACAAACGCCGGCCCCCCAAATCACGGCGGTGCCAATGAATAATGAGTGAAAAATTGGCACCTTGAATTGTGTGCAAGTCTGGCTAGTAAAAAGTATGTAGTATAACGAGTGTCTCTAAAGTCCAATTGCGAAGAGTCTGGATCTTTTGGGCCAAACAACACGAGATCGCTCAGTTCGGGAAATGTGTTTATGCAGAGCGAAGTAAGTTACGGTTTGTGTGGACTGGCCAATCAACGCTCTAGATGAAATAACGTCGTGTGTTAGATAAGCCGAAATGACATCATTGTAAACAAACTGCCAGAAACGGTAATGCCGAGAAGGGGCTCCAGCTCCAGGACTCCATAGAGCGCAAGGATCGCTTTGTGGCCTGAGAGAAAGCTACTACACAGAGTTCCATGTGATTGAGGATAGAAGATTACTAAAAGTTAACAAGACAATACAATCAATCAACTGTTTCCATCCACAATTTGAAAAACGGGTATATGAGGGGAATCCAACAGAAAAAATGCAGCCAATAATACACAATCACCCGACCAATAAATATCAGAAAATTCCCGCAACTGGGTTTGAACTAGGGCCTAGCAAGAGGAGAAAATAACAGAGAAGAAAAGAAGTGTCTAAATCAAGAACTCTTGCAGATCTTTATGAGCCTTGTTGAACTCGACAGTGAAGAAGAAAAAAGAAGAAAAGAAAGCCAAATGAAGAACGCCTTTCCGCCCTATGCAGATGTAACAACAGCACGAAACTCATGAAGCATCGTACCACCCAAGTATTAACAAAGAATCTGTTATCCCCCAAGATATGCCGTAACATCGTTGCATTAAAAAACTGCTTTCGACGGAGGGTATGGAGACGAATGGTATCAAAAAGGATCAAGTAAAAAAAGTAAAGGGTGCGTCTGAGAAAGGCACATCTGGTAGTGCAGGTGGTCGTTATCGTGGTAACATGACACTCGGGCACGAAGTCGTGGGATGAGACAAAGTTGGTTGTCGTTAATGACTCCATTTAATCGAAGCAGTTGAATCGTTCGTAGAGTTTCGGTCCACAAATATCGTGGAGAGTCGCTCCCGATCAACTAATAATTTGCCTGGCGCCCTCTTTACCCAGTATTCCTGGTTCAGTGGGCTTGGGGCTCTTTTCACGACCTTTCTTCCCACGCAGAAAGGAGAACATGCCATTTGCGCTCTTGCCCTTCGCTCCTTCATTTATGCTATTCTGGTCTGCAAGCGAGCTCCAGCTACCAGAGCCTTCAAGGACCATCTGTACACCTCCACCTTTACTGGTCTTTCGAGTCGTGCCTGGGAATCTTTGATGGGAGGGTGGTGGAGAGGGATAATGTCGGGGCTGGGAAGTGGGAGGTCGCTGGATTGGTGGCGAAGCGGAATGTGCCCCGCGGTGTTTATTTATGTCTCGAGACGTTAAGGATTGTGTGGTTTCACCAAGGGGAGAGTATGTGTCAGAAGCGTTGGAAGGGTTGTAAGATTTTTCGGTTAGAGACGGCGATATGCTTCCGGAGCGGACTTGCGAGACCTGTCGGGAGTGCACGGAGCCTGGGCAGGGTGTAGTGGAGGGAAGACGTTCTTCGGGGTTACTACGACAGGGTGTTAGTTACGATATGAGCTAGAAAGGAGAGAAATTCACACACCTTGACGCTTCAATAGCGGCCGCAGCCGTTCTGAGGTAAAAGTTAGCCAATTGTTTGGTGTGGTGGGTGGGTCCCGAAAGAACATACCCATCGTACTTAACCAGGGTGTAGTCGAACGGCTCAAACATTGTCTCCATGATTTTGTACAGCTCATCTTCTCTGATTTCCTTGGGCGTCGCATCTTCTCTTAGCTCTGCTCTAGGCTTCTGTCGGCGAGCCCTGGCCTCTAAAGGCGCCTCCTCCAAAAGCAACTCCTCAAGATCGTACGTGGCATCAAAATTCGTCTTTTCGCTAGAAGGAACAAAAATGGGATCGACCTCCTGCCGTTCTAAAGCATCGAAATCGATCTCGGCAAAGAAAGGGTGAGAGGTAAAGGTTTCGAACCCGGTGGCTCCGATGCGCTTTGATCGATCTTTTTCCATCAAGGCGGCCATAGCTCGTAGGCAAGGAACGGTAACGGCGGGGTTCGTCACATAGTACTTAGGCTGAGCGCGCATGATAGATTCTCCCAGTTGTGAGTGGCTGCGGCCATCAAACGGTCTCTGTGATAAGAGTTAAAATTCGTGGAACGTTACACCTGCGGATCGGGCTCTGGTACCTTGTTGTAGATGCACTCATAGAATGTTACACCTAACGACCACCAATCAACTTCATTAAGGTAACCAGAACCATCGAATACTTCAGGGGCAAGGTAGGCAAGAGTGCCCGATTTGCTTGTCAGCGGTCTCGAAGGTTTGAAGTCGGATGCCACGTTCTACAGATAATCAGTAGTCTTCCTCGCAATACGAGCGTGTTTTGCTCACAAAATCAGCCAGGTGCACATGGCCTCTGGAATCAAGCAGGACGTTGTCTGGCTTTAGGTCTCGATGAACGATGCCCTGGCTATGGATATATCGCAGAGCACAAGCCAACTCCGCAATCCAGAACCGGATGGCGTCTTCGGTAAAACACTTTCGTGAAATATGAAATCTGAGGTCACCACCATTCATAAGGTCCACAACGAGGTAACTGCGGGCTCTTTGTCAGATTCCATTTGAACCGTAGAAACGTAGACCGGGGCTAGACGCACATATACTCGATATCTTGAAAGCTATATCTCAAATTGCACAGGAATTGGTGGTTCAGGTGCTCTAGCATACGGCGTTCTCGCATAATATTTCGAACACTTTCGGAGCGTACCACTGGTCCAAGTTAGCAAGCAGCGAGCATGTCTGAGGGTGGAGATATGCGTACCTTCATCTTTTCTGATATATTTCAGAGCGAAGGTCAAGCCGGTGTCCTTGCGCTCGACAATACGAACTTTGCCAAAGGCGCCTTTCCCAACAACGCGAAGGAGGCGGAAGTGATTCAGGTTGACTAGATTACCCAGGCGTTAAAACAAAATGATTCGAGCGCAGCAGAGAGTCGTCAGCTGCGATCACGAACCTGTGTCACTGCACGACACCTGCTTGGTCTGCGTGTTCCCCATTTCACATAGGCGACCACACAGCGATTATGCTCGAAGACTCAAGACAGTCTCGTCTCCTCATCACACTGGATGTTGCGTGGCACGGTCGCGGAGGGAACGGCTGTGGGTTGTGCAGCGTTCGAGGGCAGGAGGAGGAGGAGGAGGAGGGGAGGGCGAAGCGAGGAGGAGTGCTGTGGAAGCAGAGAGTAACCGCGTACAACGAGCGTGATCGCAGTGAAGTCAGCACACAGGCAGGTCGGTGACGACAGCGGGCTAGAGGCGGGCGAGCGAGGTGGTCGAGGTCGACGGTCGAGGTCGAGGCCAGGCAGGGAGCGGATATGGGACACGGACGGGCCCCAAGACGACAAGGCGTGACAAGACTCACGACCAATTCTCCGACAACACACCAGATGACGAGGCCTTGTTTATCAAATAAAATAAGGCCGGGCAGGAGAGGCGAGCGGAAGCCAGGGAGGCGAAGGTTTTGCGCCGCAAAAAATAAAAAATAAGAATAAGAATAGGCAGAACGGGGTCGCGGGCGATGAGCCAAAGGCACGCCAGCGCAGGACCAAGCCGAGTCAACTAACTAACTAACTAATTAACTAACTAAGTGAACGAACTAACCGACTAGCTAACTCTCTCCTTCTCTCCACGCATGACCCGGCGGACTCTAGCTCGCTCGCAGGGGGCGGGCACGGCGAATAAATGCGCAGCGGGGAGTGTTTTGCCGGGCCCCAATCTCCCGCAGCAGCAAGCAACAGCACCAGCACCAGCAGCAGCGCCAGGCTCGATCCGCACAGGCGAAGGGAACTGCCGACCTGGACGCCTGCGGGCAGCCAGGGGCGCCGGCGCGCGCGCACCGCCGCCAGGCCCGGGGCTTCGTATTGGCGGCGCAGCGGGCAGGATGGCCAGGATCAGCAAGACACGCGCTGATCGCTGATTTCTCATCATCTGCTCAGATTTAATTTCTCGACAGCCGACAATAAATAATAATAATAATAATAATAATAACCGCTAATATAATACGCCGCGACTAACTAGACTCCTTATACGGAGTACTCAGGCTCAGGCTCTGACAGGCCCGCGTGCTGCCTGCAGGATGCTCCCGCCAAAACACCTGTCGGTTTGCGGGTTCCCGAAGGTTGGCGACAGGCGGCGAGCACGCCCTGAGAGCCGATCTGCCGCCCGCTCGCCTAGACTCCCCACGGCATTACCTGCGCGCCCTACAGAGTACTCACGGCGCTGACCGCCAGTTGCGCAGCAAGCGCCGTCGGGGAGGCCGGGCGCAGGCGTTGCGGTGCTCTCGCGCGCGCGCCCTCGTGGACGCCACGTTGTGCCCGCCAGCGAAAAAGCCCTGCAGGCCAGCATGCCCGCCTAGCCCGCATACGGCTAGCGCCCCCGCCGCGTGCTCCACGGCCCTGAAACGCTGACGCCCCCGCCAGCCCGCCTGTCTTGTCTGATGTGTCCGGCCTGCCATGCCACGCCCATCATATCGGCGCCCGCCCGCGCACTTCGGCGGCCCAGACAGCTTGTCTGCGTGCTCCCCTCCCCCCGGTGGAGTTGCTGAGCTCCCGTTTCGAAGGCATGTTACTTCCGCGCGGCCTGGGCCCCCCGCCGTGACCACAGAAGGCCCGCACGGCCAAGCTGCTTGTCCGCATGCTTCCCGTTGCCGATGCATATTATTTGTATTTTATGATGGGTTTTCAACTGTACGCGGCGAGCAGGCCCTGTCATGGGAACCCGGTCCCAGATCTCGCGCGTTTTGTCTGACTCGCTCGTCGCAGCATATTGCGCGGCTGCCTCGCCCTGTTCCTCGGCTGCGCCGGTTTAGACGTTATGGGCCATGCAGATCAACGACAAATAATGTCCCGAGTGCGACTTCGTCATCCGAACGATCTTTGTCGGGTGGGAAGTTAAAATAAATAGTTGGAGGCTGACATCCAAAACTTCGGAACGACGATCGATAACAATGGGAAAGGGAAAAAAAAAAACGTGCCTGCATGCGGAGTACAGATTGAAAGAAGATTCAATAATTCGTCGTATTTTTAGACATCATGGGTAGAACACCCCATCCTCTAGCTCTCTACGGAGTAGGTGCAAAAGATACGAGTCGCGGCGTATCATCGACTACTTTGGACGAGCAGATTCGACCACTGGCGGTGGACACTGGCATGCTGATCGGTGGAGGACTGTCTTTGCTGCTAGATCAAGGAACCGAATTTTGTTTGCATCCAAATTTGCCGCAAATTCCGATCTTCCAGAGTTGTGTTTGATTTCCAGAAAGCTCACCTGTGAAAGTTTCCAACCATTTGCCACAGAAGCTTAAATGCCCTGAATCAAACAGGCTACAGGACGGTTCGAAACCACATGCTGCATATAATGGTTTCACAGGCCATAGTAGATGGGAAATATCGCTGTCCCAGGCATTGAAGAGATTGTTTTTGCGACCCTTGGCGTATATTATGTCCATGATAAATAACATCATTGATTCATTTGACCGCCATCCCTGTAGTTTTCATGTGCCGTGGGCAGCCTGGCACAAGGCACGCAGAAACCAAAGGACCGATGCAGCTCACTACTACCCGGGATTGAACCCACGGGATGCGGGGGGACCACCATTGCCTTGTTCTTGAGGGACCCCATCGTAGTAGTAGTAGTAGTGACGGGCGGGCAGATGAAGCCAAGCCCACGACCCGGCCACGGGGCGAGGAAGCCGAACTTGCACTTCCCTGATACGGGCAAGCCGATGTTGTCCGGCCGTGGAGAGCGGCAATATGCCAAACGGAAGGGCGGAGGGCTGCGCTTGGGGTGGTTGGAGTTGCGCGATACGAGCGAGCCTCTGGGAACAAAGTTCCAAAAGACGCCAAATAGAACTCAGCAGTTCGGCGTTGGGGTGTATAAGTACCCAACAAGTTATGTCGCTAACATCAAGTACAAGGGCTGGTGGCGCAGCGGTAGCGCGTAGGATTGCAGATCCCAAGGTCCCCGGTTCAAATCCGGGTCAGCCCTCAGATAACATCTTTTTTGCCGTTTCAGCGTTTTTTTTTTTTGCGGCGACGGCAGACACAAACGCAGCACAGAGGGACGGCGGAGCACGATCACATCGCTGGCAGTCTACGCGGTCACATCCCCCTTTTGCTAGTTCCGATCTGTAGTCGGACTACGGACTGAACAGGCAGGAGAATAAACAATTCCTTTTTTTTGTTCGCCTCCTGGGACATTTTTTTTTTTGGTTCGGGTCAACTTTCGCCGCGGGCCACCGTCCCGGCCCTGAAAAGACATCGTTTCAGTCGCCGCTCCTATTCTGTTACATGGCGCATCAGCAGTAGCCTCCGAGAACTAACTAGCAACAAAGCCGATGGCTTCGCGCCGCAGGACTGGTCCCCTTGAAGCACGAAGCTCATCCTCCATCCTCCGCAACGCCGCCATCGCGTCACTTTGTTCCCCTCCCTCGCGCATTCAATATCCTCTTTCACGGCTTAACTGGTGTGCCGCCTGCAGATTTTATGGCCTCCACAAGATCCTGGAGGATGCCCAATTCACACGGAGAGTGACGTGAACCAACTCTCGACCACTACGACTCCAAGCACCTTCGTAGACGCTTCCGTATGCACTTCATACTTCTTCATCTAGACTTATCGAAATGGCGTACCCGGAAACTCAGATTCCCTTTAGGGGACCGGATCCATGGAGCGTCCCGAAGCTCGGCAGCCCACATTATTCCATCTTGCACAAGAGGTTTCAATGCCATGGCCCCAGCCAGCACATATATTAACGATAATGGCTGCATGATATGACCGTCGGTTTGCCACAGACCAACACACATCCGATTTCTTTGGCTCATGGCTGATACCCGATCTCTTGGCTCACTCCCTTCGCTGGCAGAATTTTTTTTTTCTTTGTCAATCCTTTTCGGGCGGCGGTCAACGGACAGCAACAGTGTTCGGCCAACGGAACCAAATAATGTGCCTTGAGTTCTTTGTCGGGCTGAATCGCCTGATGCGGTCAATAATAATAATAATGACTCCGCATGCAACACAAGCCCCGCGCGTGGGCACGAAGAACAAAAGAAAAATGTAAAAAACAAAGGAAAAAAAAAAAAAAAAAGTGCACGCCACGCGACAAAGAAGCCTTCTGGAATCTCAGGCATGATAACACGCAGCAAAAAGGCAAAAACAAGCGAGAAAAAAACACAAGAAAAAGCCACGCCCCCGGGACTCCTCACCGCTGTTTGGTGGGCTTGTTTTTTTTTTTTTTTTTGTCTATTATCCCCAGGTTGCATTTATTGTGTAAGGCTGAAAGTTGAGCCAGAACAGGCTCAGCGCCCACTTGTGGCGCCCCGGAAAAGGACTTGCTCGGTTGGCGGACTTGGGAGAGCCCGCTGCTATGCGGCCTCGCCACAAGGAACTATGCTTCTGGCTACGGAGCAGATCTCCGAGCCTTTGTCTGTGTGTTGCCTGCTGGGTTTCAGCCCTACATGCTGCCCAGCACTTCGGCGGTTCTACAAAGCAGCCACTGTGTCTCCGGGTGTCTGTAGGACAAAAGGCTGGCCCCCTTTGTCTCGCCTGTTGTTTAGGTGCAACAATCGCGAAAATAACCGACACAGTTCCCTCTATCTGATATATTATTGTCGTGATACGTCATTATTATTGTTCCAGAATTGCAATTACCCGGTCGGCAGACAAACGCCCGTAGACCTTTCGGCTCAAAAGAAATACGCCTTCAAAGCGTGTGCAACCCAAGAGCACAAACGCCGAGCTACCATCTCCGTCCATATATAGAACTCTCTGGCACGGGCCTCCTATTCTTATTCCGATCCCGCTCCATAGCCGGCGGTGTGCTTCGTCTCCCCTGGCTGAGACCCGAATCCATTGATGTGTGATCCGTGGATTCTCTCGACTCCAATAGCTTCCCCTTACCCGCTGAAAAGTCCAGATCCTCATCTTCTGCAAACTTTGACTCTGCATCATGCCGGAACAGCGCAAGCATATCGTTCATGGTAAGTTTTCCGGCTGCCGTCTTGCCTTCAATCGTAGCACTGGCAAGCTCCCGTTTGCGTTCCTGGAGGTCTAGAATACGTTCTTCCACTGTATCCTTGATCGTCATCTTGTACACCTTCACATCGACCGTTTGATTCAAACGGTGAACTCGATCAATGGCTTGCTCTTCGACAAACTGTAATACAACTCATTAGAACCAAAATACGAAAAATTGGGGTGAAGTGGGGACATACAGGATTCCAGAAAGGCTCAAGAATGACAACTCTACTGGCAGCAGTGAGGTTCAAGCCTAACGAACCAGCGCGTAAGCTACACAACAGTATCCGCGTGCCACTCGAATTTCTGAGCTTTTCCAAACTCGCTTCACGATGATCATTCCGCATTCCACCATCATACCTCGCATAGCCAATATCTGCAGCCTTGAGAAATGGCTCGATTTTATCCAGCATGGATGTAAACACCGAAAAAACAATGAATTTGAACTGCCCTGCCTCTCGTTTGAGGATTCTCATCAAATGTCTGATTTTCGTGGACGAGGTCACGTCCCGCAAAACACTGTAGTCGCCGCCGTATCGCACTCCGGAATCTTCCTCCTGGTTGGACACCTCATCGGCCCCGTCTTCGTCATCCTCGGTTTCTGAATCTTCTGAACCAATCCATTCACCACCTCCCTCCGCATCTTCATCGTCAGTGCCTCCAGCTGTACCAAGAGTAGCTGTCGTGCGTTTATCAGCAGGGACAATCCACTCGCCCTCTTCCTCATCGTCACTATCAAGAATAACAGGCCTTCCCCTCTGGCCCCGGCGTCTTTGCTGCGGTATCGAGCTCACCTGCGCCTGTTCCTCTTTTGGCTGTTTTTTCTTTTTCTGCTTCTTCTCCCGTTTGCTCTTCACTAAGCCAGTGTGGATCTTTAAGTCGGTTTCACAATCCGCACACCTTATAGCTCCACTTTTGGCTTCCTCAGGAGTTAAGTCAATCAAACAGATATCGCATCTCTTGCTCATGACGGTCAGGCCTCCAAGCATGTTGGCAATCTCATCAATATCTCCCCCTTGCGAATTTTTGGCTTGGTTTGCATTCACTATCGTATCTTTTTCTTGTGCGAGGTCGCCCTTTACAAGCTCCACATGGTTGCATGCCTGTCGAAGTCGTAGGAGAAGAACCAATGCACTTGCATAGTTCAGTTTCTGATGGCCAATCATGTTTTCTAAACTTTTATCCGTTCTGTCTTCAAGGCGACTATAGAACTGTCGTTCTTCTTCTGTAAAATCAGCCTCAACTTTGATGACATCTCGCTTCGTTATTCGAAAGCCACCCGGCGAGTCTTTGCTCTCCTTATTATCGCCAAACGATTTGCCTCCCAGACCGCCGTTTAACTTCAAGACGTCTTTCGTTCGTCGCTTCATGAATGCTTTTAAATAGACCTGCAAACGACGAATAGCTAAGCCGCCACGGCCATTGTTTAGCGGGCGAGTAATTTGATCTCTCCAAGCTGCGAGCTCATCATATGGCTTGATTCGTAGAAATCTGATTAAACTCTGAAGCTCATCCAGATTGTTCTGCATCGGAGTACCGGTTAAGCACCACCGATACAGCGAATTCAGCTCATAAACTGCCTGTGTAGATTTAGCGTTGCGATTTTTGATCGTATGTGCTTCGTCGAGAACAATGCGATACCAGTGTACTCCAAAACATCCAGTTTTTCCTTCGACGCCATCCTTGCCTTTGACTGATCCGCCATTCTCAGAGCTGAGCGTGCCGTAGGTGGTAATGACAACATCGAACTTAGTCAAATCCTTTGCGATTTTTGCACGACCAGGTCCATGATAAATACCAACCTTGAGCCGATGAGTCTGTTCAATTTTAGTATTGATTTCGGACTCCCACTGCTTTACCAGGGCTACAGGAGCCACAATCAGTGTCGACTTGCCAACATGGAGTGGAATCTTGTTTGTATCTTTTTTCTTTTCTTCCTCGGAGCTTTTTGGAGGCGGACTTGGATTGGTTAACATCAATGCGATTGTTTGTATTGTTTTCCCAAGACCCATATCATCCGCTAGAATGCCACCCTTTGGGAGTACTCCCCTGGTCTTTGTCAGCCCAGTTTCTTTATCTCTCATCCAGGCAACACCCTCGATCTGATGTGGTAATAGTGTAACCTTGAGGCCTTCAACCGCCCCGTCATCTTCTTCTTCTTCTTCTTCTTCCTCCTCTGCTTCCTCCTCTGTTTTGACGCTGTCTTTTGTACCGTTTTCATCCTTTCCATTGACATTTACCCCACCCAGTTTCTCTGTCAATTCATCAACTTGAGATTGAAGTTTCTTTTTGCGTAATCTCGTTCTAGGCTTATCATCTTCGTCTTCGAATGCACCTTCAAGCAAAGCTTTGATATTCTCATTTGCTTTCGCACTGTCTAAATACGAATAAGCATCGATGGCTCTCGAGTCGTCGGCGAAGTGAGAAGCGTTGGTTGACTTTCCAATAGTACTTGTCGTGAGGTCTATAAAGCTCTGAAGATTACTTGAGGACTTGCTAACGGGTTTCGATATGGGCTTGGAAGAGAAATACGGTTTGCTCGTTGGTTGTGTGGTCCAGATAGAATTGGTAGGCTGTGTGATTTCGACGACATCGGCATCGTGGGGTACGTGGGAAGATCTATAGCCAGAAAATGACGACGACGGTCTTACTACTCGGAAAGGATCGGCCTGCCGTTTATCACCATTTGGCAGCGGCGGGTTGGAACTAGGCACAGGTCTGTGGTGCTCCAGACGCGGCTTATTTGCTTTAGGAATGTAAAGGGGGTTTGCTCGGTTCGGTCCAAGGGTAGATGGCTTTCCAAATTCGGGTACAACTGGATTTGGAGAGTCTCTCTTGGTATTCTGGTCAGAATAGAATGGAGGCCTTGGAGGTTCTCGTTCATTGACCATTGTGGACGTCACTCAAGTTGAAAAAATCAAAGTCGCAAGTCATAAAAAGTGTTGTTTACACGAATGAGGCTTTTGGAGTAAAGGGAAACGCTTGAGGAAAGCTGTTCGAAGCTTGCATGAAATTCGCAACAAAGCTATCTTGAGTGTTTTGGTCGACTGTCCTGGCAACGGCGTATTGTTGATGAGTCATCATACGAAGTCTAGTTAACTAGGTATTTACCTAGCCGTTTGAGGGTTAGTTAGGTAACGTAATTCCTCACCGAACGCCCAATCTCACCCAACGAGTTTAGAGAATGGAATTTTTACTAGTATTTTGGGCTGGAATTGGGACTAACTATTAAATTTTGGGAAGGGATTGGGATCAACTGAGTTGGGTTTGGCTTCCAGCTTTGTCCCATTGGGATCCCAAAGTCTAGATGGTGATGGGTTGTTTTCATTCTTGTCTATTACCTTTTTCTGTCTATTGTTGTCAGCAGAGTGGGCAGGGCTGCAGGAGTTTCAGACAGCTGGTGTGTTTCATTTCTCAATCTGTAGAGCAGTCTCTGCTAAATGTTGATGATGTCTCAGTCAAGGTCACTGACTGTGAGCTGTAGTGCCTGATTGCTAATCTTGACAAGCAGATCTTTCATCTTCTGGTGGACACCAATGGCTGCCTGTAGCTCAGAATCCTGCTCCACAGAACATCACTCTCTCTCACTTCTGATCTGAGTCAAGTCCACACATGACTTCCTGAAGGTTGGTGTGTTGCCAGATCTGATAGTGTTTGATGAATGTATTCATTGAGACATGGTTCAAGATGACATTCATCTGCATGCCACTAATGAATCCTGCACCTGGCATATTAGCATCCTCTACAGTCATGGTGCATGGAAACCAGCCTACCACTCTTATCAACCAACTTGCCCCCGCCATATCAGAACTGATGGGTGTAGAATGGGTTGAGCCATTCATGAATCTCACTCATGACCTTGAGGTTCAAGCTCAATGTCATGGGGGTGCGGCGTAGAATGTGAACCTGCCCACCATTTGCCACCACCGGAAAGGAAATCGTGATTATACTGGTAGCAAACTCCTTGGGAGAACAAACACGGCGTGCCAGACCTTCTATTCTTGGCATTGCGAACCAAGGGTGAAACCCACAAACCTCAGGAAGAAACTCTAGCTTTTGAGGTTCAAGCAAGGAGGCATGGACATGTATCAAAATGTGGATTGTAGGAAGGGGTGTTTAAATAAATTGCGGATTAGCAAGAGCAAATGCGTTTTACAAGTCTGAGTCGAAATGCAAAATTGTTTCAGAACCCGCCCAGCGGCCCTCTGGGAAGGAACCCTGCATCCCGCGGGCGCAGATGTACCTGCTCAAGTGTCTCATGAGCCTACCCATATCAGACTCCCTGGATGAGGAGTGGCAGCGGCGTAACAAAGCAACAGAGGCTGTGAGACAGTACTGTGATGTTCCCAAGGGTGAACCTCTCTGAGGACAGCCACCGCAGCAAGCATCCAGCAATTGCAGCCCAGACCTAGAAACAAAGACGGAGCAGGGACTCCCCACTTCTGTTTCCGCCTGGGATGAAAAATACCTAGCGGTCGAGAAGGATATCCAGTTGGCCCAAAAGCCAAAGGCATGTTTCCAATGCTGAAAGCAATATTCCAGATATGCTGACGTTCTGCAACACTTTCGATCCACCCACCTACAAGATCGCCAATGCAACTTCTGTAGCAATGATGAGGCCTTTCAAAATCAGATGGCTCTACTGGCCAAAGGAGCCATACCAGAAAACTCAAAATGTTTTATTTCATGTCCAGCAAATATTGAAGGACATAGACCATGTGTTTATTGCAACAACAATCTTTGCTGTCCTCTGAATGAGAACTTGCCTCCTAAGAACCACAAAAAAGGGCAGTCATAAAGAGACTGCAGAAAACATAAGGGACAGTGAGAAAAAGCTGATCCAGGTGCAGCACATATGCAATAATGTGGCAGATCACGTAGCTGTTCAGCTTGCCTGTGGCTCATCCATCATAGATGTGCTGGCTTTTGTTGGTCTTTGCCTTTCTTCTGGATAAGCGGTGGTTTATCATGCCGGAACAGTTCGCAGAAACAACACCAGACCTGCCTACAAGGTCAATAGATGGAGTGGTGCTTATCGGGAATTCGGCACACACCATGCCCCCAACGACCGGACAGGGAACGTGTCAGGGGCTGGAAGACGTTGAATGTTTTTCCTTGCTGTATTCTAATTTTTTGAAAAAAATTTATGACTCTTTCGGGGGGAAACCCGCCAGAACCCTTAGCTGAGTTGGAAAGGGAAACTCTGACATTTGTCATGAAGAAACATATAGAAATCTGGAAACCTCGTGTGAACATCATCCAGGAACAAGGAAAGCCGTTTGATGCCAAAATTTTGAAGCTGAACAAAGTGGCAGAATTCCTCATGTATATTTTGATGTTCATTTTTGGTAAGTTGATCGAACACCGGCGGCTTGGGTAGGGAAATAACTCACGCCATGAATTTTTGCAGGCAAACGATCCTCAGCATTGGTAGCGACGTTCGGGTACGATATTGCCGATGATGTTGAGAGCGAAATCATCAAAAACGGAGGCAGACCAGGGATAGTTTTCCGTTCTCCGGAACAGCATAGGCATACCTGCAGCAAGGGGTCTTGAAAAGCTTGAGATTAATAATTTAGGTGTATCTGTTCGGCGTTGGCGTTGGACCTGTTTCCTATCTTGGCGGTTCGATATTTGGGAGACTGCAGCTTCTGTACTCCGTATGGAGTAGTTAAGAAAACACAGGGGTAAACGAGACGAGACCGACGCTCTTGGTACTTTAGACTGCCCCCATTTGCAGGACATAATCTCCAAATACATGACACTCAATTTCATATGGGGTCAAGAACTTGGGCATCCAAACATTGCGCCACTCACCTTCACAGTGTGATGTGTAGCAGGCCTTGCAATATTCCCAGTATTCGGGGTACCAGCCAGCATGAGCCCAGTCGATCACAGCAAGAATGCGCGGGGGCCCTGTCGAAGAGATCATAATATTGTTCAAATGTAGGTCGCCATGAGTAAACTTGATTTCTGCGGTGTCTGGCAAGAAATGTCGATAAGGATCTTGATATCTCCTTGATTCGGGAAGCCAGTGTTGAGGCAAGAATGAAAACCAGTCATTGAACTCTTTGACATTCTTGAAAGGCCCAGTCCGAGGCATGTGGTGAAAAACATAATCACGCAAGTGTTGATGGCTGATGGATCCTATAAACCATAGAATGTCAGATCAAACCTCCTTAGAGAAACATGGTCGGAGGCATGTATATACCAATAAATGAGTCTCCGGGGTCCTGTTTGGCTTGCCGAAGGGAAGATACAATCTCCCGCAGCTGATCACAGATTGACGCCTTATCCAGCTCGCTGAGAGAATCCCATCGATCTTGTATTGTGTCTCCCCGGATAAGCTCCATGTAAATCAGGACTGTATCCCGGTGAACTCTCCAGCCATAGACTTCCGGCACAGGGATTTTCTTGGCCAGCAACGGCGACTGTCGAAGTGCACGTAGACACAGGGCTTCATCAACGGCCACATAATGACCAAACTTGACCAGGAGACCAAGCTCCTCGAACTTGATGGGTGCGGGCCGCGGATTGGTGGTGAACTCGCTGGAGAGCGCAATCACTTCTTGCGGGCTTGGCAAGCTTTTCCCGGTCGCAAAAAAGGAGGAGTCGAAGAAATCCATCTCTTTTTGCGTTGTATCGAGGGTCGGTGCCCTGAGCATTTTGAACAAGTTTTAATTGTCAGTGGTAAGGATTTGGGTGTGAGGGCTGAGACTCCAGTTCGGGTTGTTGGGCACGCACTCGAGGGGTTTACAACTTTGTGATTTAAGATGTTGCTGTGCGAAGGAATAATAAGAGCGAAAAACCTTGCATGGAGTATGGAGATAGATGCATTGCATTCCCACCAGGATGCATGATATCAACAACCACCCATAGCGGAATCGCGGATCTTTGCACTACCATCGGGTTACCGATTTTCCGAGCTGTTGCGTAGTTAACCCTTACCATCACATTGTAATTTCAACGTTGGCTACGCTGTTAGAGTAGCCCCGCGCTCTCCTACTTTCCTACATCACGGAGTACTATGTCGGAGACTGTGCCGTATGTGTTTTAAGAAACCCATACCCGCCATGATCGATTGGCTCATGGCTAATATCTATGCATCTGGACCTGGACCTCTGCACCAGCAAGCGCCTCTGCCTTGATCCGTTCCATCCTTTCAGGGAATCTGGATGAAGCACTAAGGCCATGCTTTCCCAAGTAAAGAACTGCTAATCCATCATCCAGAGGCTCTCAAACTACGTTCTACCGATCTACTTCGCCATATATATCACCCTATTTCCCAGAGAACCACGATCCTTCCCACCGATCGCGTCAGTCCATGCAAGATGGCCCCTCGAACCATTTCTCTTATCGCTTTTCGCAACTCCCCTTCCCAACGTGCCCACTTTGCAATATTCGTCCCTTCTGCGTCCAACGCTGAGTTCGGAACTCTGATCCACGTTATTGGCGCTCCCATGGCTGGTTATCAACTCGAGTTTAAGCGGGGTTATAATCTAGCCACAACTCACCAGCTGTATACCCAAGTTTCGATCGGGGGGATCGATTCGCAACACATTTCTGATCTCCCCGCTAATCTGTCCGCTGGTATTGCAATCAAAGACTCCATTCCCAAGTGTTCGATGGAAGTTGCAGCAACCCAGGTTCTTCCACCGCGCATCAGTGAAAACTTTCTAGCTCCCGTTAACGATGTAAGTCAAGTCGGGCTGTCCTTTATGGTGGCGGCTGCTGACGAAAAGGGCATTTAGACTACCAACAGGAGATGTCAAGAGTGGACCATGGACTATGTTCGCCGTTTAGTCAGTCTCGGGTATATCGACCAAAGCGCAATTCAGATTGTGCAGTCCGAACGTGACCCCCCAACTCATGGAGTTGGTCTAAATCCTGCTGGAGCGGGACGGGGCCGAGGCCGAGGCCAGTGAACGGGGATTCCATAGTATGGAGGATGCGATGCCATATGCATTAGTGCTACCTCCTTGCCTCCCAGGCTCATTGTGGAAGTAGGCTGGCCCTGTTCGATTTTTGTTTTTAGCTGTTGTGACTTGATGCATCAGGGACCGGTTGGAAGTTGTATGCGGTGAACAGGCTTCTGAGTATTTATGTGCTGTAGGGTAGCATTCCGAGTTTTGCAGTGGATCGTTTCAATAAATTGGTATTGGCCAACCTTATGCTGTTGAGAAACTAGTTGCTCACCAGTTGAACAGGTATTGTGAGGGTGAAGAATGGGAACGGTTTTTTGATGGAGGTGAGGGGGCTCCGAAGGCTCTAATAGCACGAAAAACCCGGCTGTTTACTATGGCATACCAGAATGGCCAGAAGGAAACAATGAAAGATAAGAAAAGCTAGGATAAAGCCCTATCTTATCATCTCACTCACTGTCTTTCTCAGAGACAACTTCACATCTAGAGATCTGTATGTCTTTAAAGCAACATATCAACATAGTTACATTGATTTCTTTTTGACAGTTTTGGCATAATCAGAAGTCTTCTGCGAGCACAGATCTTTAATCACTACTTTAATAGCAGCTTCATTGGTCATTTTATTGAATTTTGAAAGTAGAGGGTCTATGGTAGAAAAATCAGTTGCTTTGTGGGTTCGGTCATTAGGTGATGAATTACGTTACCTTAACATGGAGACCTAGCGGTGCTGTTAGGCTCCCCGTTCCCGTCCGTTTACTTTCAACGGTCCAAACGTTGTGAGTTGACTTGATTCACAACTACTATTCAAAAGCGTCGATAACCTACATGTGGCTGGCTGGCCGCTGGGTTCTTTATTAACTTTTCCAATTCTAAAAAAATCACGTATCAGAGATTTATCACAGCTATCATCTTTTCTCAAGCCCAGAAGCGTTCTCGTTTGGCACGGAAATGGTATTAGAAATAATCAATTTTCCTAATAATTGCCCGAAATTTGAAATATCACTAGATGTTGCTTTCCCCCTGATATTTGTGGGGGCTGATGCTCTTTAAGAAGCCTGCTGGTCTTCTGGTAACTCTACTTCGCCGATAATGTCTTTGAGGAGCTCTGGAAGAATGACACTGGCGTCGCCCTCAAATATCCAGTCTCCCGGTTTCATACCACTCCTGGGCAAGTGAGTTCTGTCCATATTGATTATAGCCACACGAGCACCTTGATCTCTCCCGCTATCGATGTAGCCAACCGCAGGAAATATCTGAGCGCTTGTACCAATAACTAAAACCAAATCTACTGGGCCCTTCTCGACCCATTTGTCAACATATTCGATGGTGTTGTCGTCCAGTGGCTCTCCAAACCACACAACACCCGGCCGGAGTAACCCGTTTGAACACTGCGGGCATGGTGGCAGGTCTTCTGGTCTCAAATTTGGAATAGGCACATCTGGATTTGAAATGTCTAACTCCCCTTGTCCAGTCACCCAGCTTGGCGCACCAGCTGCCTTCATAGCATCTTCTAAAACCTGCCCCGCGGCTGCTCCCGTATGATCACTCGGATTGGGGTTGACATTTGACGCCCTTGGGATCTCCAATGCAGGAACAAAAGGATCCGTAAAATCATTGTGACGAACATACGTGCAATATTCATCAGCACATTTGATTGTAAATAAGGAGCCATGAAGACGCTGTAGCTGGGGCTCTGCGTGGCCGGCGCGCTCAGAGAGACCTTCAAGGACGATATCTTAGTATCCCATACACATCAATGTGAACCGAGTTCATACCATCCACATTCTGAGTCAACGATATAAAATTGGGGTTCCGTTTTGCCAGTTCAACCAAGGCATAGTGTGCCTTATTAGGCTTGGCCATTAACGCCATATGCCGTCGATAGCTGTAGAACTGCCAGACCAAACCTGGCGATGCATTAAATGCTTCTGGGGTTGCGAGGTCGATGGCGGAATAGCGTCGCCACAAACCTCCCACACCTCTGAAGGTGGGAAGGCCGGACGCTGCAGAGAGTCCAGCTCCGATAACAGCTATGATACGATCACATTTTTTGAGGTACTCTCGAAAAGAGAACAGGTCAGCCTCTGGTATCATGGATGCCATGGCACCAGGTTGACAGATAATAGAACTTGTTTAGTGGGTAGAAGGAACCTTGGGTCTATAAAAAATAGTAGTATGAGGAAAAAGAAGTGCTCGTTCTTTGTGCGTGTGTAAAGTTGCGCAAGGTGTACTCCGTAAGTTTGTGGTATAGAAAGTGGATGACAGGCTATATGAATGATGTTTTTCCAGCACCGTGGACATACCACCCAGTTCCGGATCGTAGAATGCAGCTTGGTGCTTCGGGCCTATTGCATTACTGTGGACGGCTGAAATCAACTGGAGTAACTAGCGGAGGTGACAAGCATTCGGGAAGCTCCAACTAGCTAGTAACTACCTAACAGGTAACAGGTAACTACCCCGCAGCAGAGTGACTTCTGGTGACGCTAAGACCCCAACCACACCTCAGCACCATCACGTTCCTGTTGCACCTTCAGAGAAAGGCTCTGTCCAAGAGCCCAAAGCTGCATTGTGAACAAGGATTAACCATCGTGTTTCTGACTTGGCTGCAGAGCTCGCTCATTTTGGGACAAAAAGTGCTGTGAATGCAACTCTTTTCTGCGGTTTTCAACCCATTTCCTTACTTGTATGGCACACTCCCTCGACAAGCTTTTGATAGCATGGATTATAGCACTGCGCAAAATGTCCTTGATTAAAGCTAAATTGAAGCCCTAGACGCACATACTCACAAAACGTAGCCAGAGCAGGGAAGAATCCCTGCCGGCGCATTCAGGAACTAGGACCCTAACTCTCGACTAATGAACTTCCTCCTTTGGCAAAGGCACCTTGACTGCATCAATTGCCTGTCTCTCGTTCCGCTCGTTAGCCTTGGCGATATACGAGGTGATATGTTCCGGAACCTCCTTGACTTTATTTTTGGCATCGGGTATGGGCTCCCCATATGTTTGGAACACAGGAACCACGCCAACCCATACTTTGTCCGTAACATCCGGTCGATCCATGTCTTTCCTCTCATCTGATACCCCGCCATCTCGAATCTTGCCACTGCCATCAACAATTCTTACTCTGAGGATCGTGGTTGACTGCATCTCAGCGCCATCGGGAGGAACGCGAGTATTCTCCCATCTCTGGGGAACAACCGAGTTAGTGATCAATCTCATTGCCCAAAGCTTCTCTTCTTCCTCTGTCACGAGTGTGGCGTATCCATGAAGCACGGCAGATCGGTAGTTAAAGCTATGTGAGTTGGGCGTGAGAGAGAGTATTAGACCATCGACGTGAGTCGCGGCAATACAGATAGGCAACCCATCGCCTTCTTTAGCGCGAGCCAAGTTCATAATCCGCGAGCTGACATATCCGTGAAGATAACATTCAAGAGTGTCGTCGATCCCGGAGGATGGATACTCGAATGACCCCATCTGGCCGATCATGGGAAGGATGGCCGGGAATGGGTCATCTCCACTGGGGAAAGATACGTGGAGAACGGGTGAGCTATTAATAATTGAATGAATGGGACCCAAGTCGTAGGTTCCTAAGCTTAATAATTAGCTAATGGCATTTTGGACGGAGACTGAAAGAAAGCTCTTCATGCCTCGATGCTTATACCGATTCATGGTATTGCTTACCCGCTTGGGGTATTCTAGTGACTTTCCCATGATAACCGCGGAAGAAATTGAATAATAGACGAGTGAGGTTGCTTGTTACTTTCGGCTGGATATGATGGGGATTTATATCGTTTTACTCGACGCTTCTGACTCAGTCGCTGGGAAATCAAAGTTTACGTTGCGTTGAAATACAAGCTAAAAGCAGTGACAACACCCCCCCATTCTTCGGCAAAAGATGAGACCCGGAGTCCGGCGTTGCGAGTCACGAAACGACCAGAGCAACTAACTTAAGGGCGTCGCTTGTTCCGACCTTTCATTCTTTACCCCGCGGCCGCCGGCTTATCGCCGCCAGGCCCAACCTTCAAATACGCCCGTGCTGATTGGCTCCGGCAAACCCAGCGACCGGAGACTAGCCAATAACAGGCAACAAATTCGTCGCGTCTGCCAATAATCGCGGGCGCTAAACTATAAACAGTATCTGTAACCGGCGGCTCGGCATCCCCAACCTATCGGCAAACCTACTTTTCTTCCGAAATGGAGAGCGCGCGGCAAAAAAGTAACCTACTAGGACGCGACAGCATTTCATGTGAAGTTCTCCTGCTTTTCCTGACAGCGCTCGAACGGCTTTCATGAGGGTTCCATTCGACCGACAGGGTCTTTGATGTTCTGTTATCAGGACTCTTCTGGGAAGTGGTATGCCGCTCGCTTGACCGTTTACGCTAATGGCAGGAGTTGGTTGGATAAGCTGAAATGACATTATTGAGAAAAACACAGGGGTAACGACCGTCTTGGATGTTATATTGCGTCACTTGAAGAGCAATTTTCCAAATTGAAAGAAAAGCAAAGCAATTACTCTTGGTTCTCCCTCCCCGCAGTTCCTTCACAGAAGATACACTTTTTACAAGAACAAGGTAGCACAAGGACCCATGAAACAGTCCATACCATGTCTCCTCCCATTTTTTCCATCAATCGTCGGCTCGCATGGTTTTCAGACACAACATCAGCGAATACCCATCCTTGCTCCCTGTCATGTTCACCAGCAAGCCAAAAACGCCGTTCGTCCAGCATGCCCTGCTGCATGACCGATTTCGCAAGGAAAGCGGCCAAACCCTGGCCCCGATGCTCCACCTCAACATGCAGTGAAACGAGGCTTCCGTCATAGCCTAGGAATGCCCATCCAATAGGCAATTCTGAAGTATTATCTTGCTCCTCGAAGCCACGCCCTCCGCTATTGTTGGGGCTATCATGATATAGTACAGCACTTGCCATTCTCTGCAGAGCATACTTAGGGCGTATGATATAAGACCGGCTCCTAATGAAATCGTATTGATACGGTTGAAATCCAGTACTTCCATTGCGAGAACAGAAACGATACCCTTCTGGAAGCATGATTGATGGCTTGTTGACTGCTGGATCGTAAATTGACCGGGGAAAGGAGTATTTCACGCAACGTTCCTTGAACGCTATATGATATTTTGAAGGTGGTGAAAGCTTTGCCTGAGTAGAAGCCTCAGCCAATAATTTGACAAGGCCTGAATGGACGCTGCCAAATAAAAGTGCAGTTGGTGGGTTTGGAGGCACCGATTTGGCATGATGACCACTGTTCTGTGCCCAGTCTTTAGGCACTTTACCACTTGCTAGAAAGGCAGGCAGGGCTTCTGTTATGCAATGCGAGAGTAACCCTATGATCTGATCCCGACTTTGGTCGATATCAGAGCCCCTGGCACTCAGAACTGATTCCTCCCCATGGAGTATAGTGCTTTTTGCTTCAAGGCTTGAATATACCCATACCTGAGTCTCTGGCCAAGCGTGTAAATCTATATAAGCAGCTAGCCAAGGCGATGGCGCGTCGTATTCGGCAGCAGAGTAGGGGAACGTAGCCAGATAGCAAGCGGTTGGTGACCTGTGAAGGATACTATATTGGATTCTGCGGAGGAGTGGCCCGGACTGAGGGAGATGTGCCTGCAAAAGAGGGGTAAGGACGTCAGCTTCGGGATGAGTGTAGAACTGCGGAAGTGTCATGTTGGTTTCCGCGGGGTTGAATGGTGGCGCCGGCTTCCTGCCCGCTGTCTCAGCGGAGAATTCCCCGCTACCATCCATGACACGAACTTGAATGCTATAACACCCAACAGTGATAGTAAGAAACGCTTTATCAACTTCAATCGCTTCTATGTCTGAAAATACTGAAAAGTTTAAGTGGGTAAGGTGAGTACGACACGTGATTAGACAGCTACCACCCCCTGTTTCTCGGCCTGGGTTAGGGCTTAGGTCACTGTCAGAGCAGACCCTCGCCTATGCATATAAGACAACCATCACAGCAAGCACTGCCTTGCTTGATTTATTTCACTATCACCCTAATTCCTTTGGAGTCCCATCTCGGATATGGTACAAGGTATGCGTGTTCCATTATCACGTCGGAGTGCGTCGTGTCGTACAATTCGAACGAGAATCTAGTAAACACCATTGCTATTGCTATATATAGCTCGGCCATTGCAAGACTGAGATATTCATTAGCCGAGTACAAACGACGCGGTTAACGGCTGCTTACTTGATGCCCATGCATTGTCGCGATCCTTTCCCAAAGGGAACAAAATAACGCTCCAGATTAGGGTCATTCACCCAACGCTCAGGAATAAATTGTTGTGGATCAGGGAAAATCTTCGGGTTCATCAAAGTGTCGACGTTGGTCATCGACACTGCCGTATTTGGTGGGATTACCCAATCTCTGTATACAAGCTTTGAGTCCGGTGCTAGGCGAGGGTTTCGAGTTGTGATTCCGTGACTGAGTCTTATGGCTTCATGCACGCAACCTTTAAGATAGGGCGATTTTTCTAGATCGTGCCATTCGAATGGGGTTTGGATCCCGGCGAGCTCTGCGCGAAGCTTTTCTTGAATATGTGGATTATTGATAATATGAAAGCTAGCTACGCTCAACGCCCATGATGTTGTTATCAATCCAGCTGCAACGATAAGCTGTGCTTCGTCCCCCAAACGAGTACTTGATTTTTGATCGTCCGGCAGGTCACTATTTAATACTTCGTGGAATATGGTTCGATGTTTAACCTTTTTATAGGAGGCATTAACACCACTTCGAATGTCGTCTACTCGGCGAGCTAAGTCCTGATATAGACTAATAGTGAGTGATAATTCGAAAGCGAAGTGAATTTTATCCGCCTACCTTTCGCAAGCCGACAACTGAGGCAAGGGCTGGTTGCATTTTCAGAACGAGCCACTCGGGAAGCGCATCCAAGATTGGAAAGACTATTGAAAAATGAAGCGCAAAATGCCCAGTAACATATATGGCCACCAAAGCTTCGTGAAGAGTATCTTGAAAATTTGGGGAATCAAGCTGATCATAGGAGTTTGCGAACGCATATTCGGTTATTATATCTGTTGTAAGGGCCATCCAGGCTCGGTTTAACGGAACTGGTTTGCCATCTCTATATTCTGACAGCTTTTGGCACAACTTTTCGACCTTTTCTCGAATGGCAGGCTGGAACTCGGCTATCTTTTGTGCCGAAAACATTGGGCTCAATGGCTTGCGACGCATACGATGTAAATCATGGTGAATGGTTGAAAAACAGTCGCTTGCATACCCAAAGCGCCCCGAAAAATAACTATATTTGTCCCTTCGCCCATTCCTCGAGTATAACTGCTCATAGAAGTCCGGGTCGTCGACGTGAAGTTCAGTGGGCGTTATCCGAATGATGGGCCCTGGGAGTGACGCTCTTAGGATTGTTTGAAGTACACACGACAAGAATCATTTCATACCATACTGCTTGTGAAGGTCCTGAATATGGGATGTGAATTTCCCTTGCAGTATAACATCGTAGTAGAATTCATACCAGTTGGTCAAAGCAGCAAGCCTCGGCCCGGGAAATTTTGCAAGGGGGCTCCAGCAGAGCCTGGAGAGCACAAGCCAGCCGGCATATCCCACAGTCAGGGAGAGCAATATGCAGCATAGGACCTCCATCAGTATCCTGGAGAAAACCCAACTTTGAGGCCAACCTCCAATATTATCACCAGTCTGGCCCAAAACTAGACCAACCGGGATGTTCCTTTTATATATAAAGGAAAATAACCCTGTTCATTTTGGGCGGTCCCGCAAATGCCAATTCCAAGCAGTTAAGGGTTGACTTTGCGGGCAAGTTTGCGTGGGCCGGACAGGCTTTGTGCTTCTGGGCAACTTTTTTTCGCACACTGCTTTTTGACCAACAGGCTTGTTGTAGAGCAGTTCATGGGAGTAGCACCATTGGCCATCCTTGACGATCCTCGGTTTTGGAACAAGCTGCCCGTATTACTGCAATTATTTTATAGTTTTGTTATTACTCTTGTTGTTTGTCAGGGTCGTCGCATGCAACCGTCGTGCTGGTCAGGGGGTTCAGAACGATACTCTGCCGTCAATAATACGAAAGAAAAGGTTCGGAAAATAGGATTTCGGAGCGCCGGGAGCCATGTGCGAAACGAAAAAAAGTTGGATTGACATCAAGCTCGCTCGTGTGGACACAAAAAGCCTGCATGCTCTGTTAATGCACCACGTAAAAACGCTTTAAATCGCCGAACAAGGCACTTAATGACCTGGGCTTGAGAACCCCCTCGCGATACGGATTGGATAGCCTACGGTAAAGCGCCTGCAGCGAGCGGATGCTGAGCGAATGATGTTGAACAATTTGAGAATCCATGATCGATGGCGTGCAGAAAAGGCTGTAACCGTGATCCTTGCCATGGCGACATATAATAGCCTCGCCTAGTTACCCGACCCCGGCTTGGGCTCGGACTTAGCCTGGAGCAGGACAGCCAAAGACGTGTCAAGGCTTTCGATCAATTTTGACTTGAATCCATCATGTCAGCCCAAAGTTCACTGTTATTATTCAAGCAAAAAATCGGCCGTGATCGTCGGAGAATGTAAGTAGCTTTGGTGCATTAGTTAACTATTCGCTCAACGTGTATTTTTTCTGTTTAGTCTTATAGTTAGTCACTACCTAGTGAAATAGTTCACTAACTATGGAGCCACAGCCGCCGCAAATCTGGACACTAGTTCCCGCTGGCCGCTTTCCTATGGATCAAAACCAAGCAGAAAACGCCATTATTGAGGTTGAGGATGACGTTGACTCCTCTTATGGAGATGATAGCGATACTTCATCCATAACCACCTCACTCTATTCACTGATCACCAGCCATGTGTATGAGAATGGAAGGAGATACAATAGCTACAGATTTGGCACATACTGGTGAGGCTTGACTGGTGCACCTAATGGCTCAGGTCCACGAGACTGAATTCCCTCAGGGGCCCAAATGATGAGCAGGCGTCCGATAATCTTGATCTCTTCCACCACGTATTTAACCTTACATTTGGAGGGAGGTCATTTCTCGCGCCCATAGATAGCAATCCCCAACGTGTCCTTGACCTAGGTACTGGAACTGGTATCTGGGCGATTGACTTTGCGGACGAATTCCCGTCAGCGTCTGTCATCGCAACGGATGTGTCTCCAATTCAACCGACATTGGTGCCGCCCAACCTCGAATTCCAAATTGATGATTTTTGTGAGCCTTGGACATTCAAGAAGGGCAGCTTTGACTACATACACGCAAGATCAATATATGGCTGCAGCTCTGATTACCCCGCGCTTTATGAAGAAACCCTCGCTCACTTGAAGCCAGGTGGCTGGTTTGAACAAGCGGAGATCAGCGTTGTAGCACAGTCTGACGATGAATCAATCAAAGGAACGGCCATCGATCATTGGGGTCCGCTAGCACTCAAAGTGGGCGAAAAATTTGGCAAATCCTTTCGTATCGCTGAAGAAATGACAGATTTAATCAAGGCCGCCGGTTTTGTCAATGTCACTAAACACACTTTCCAGTGGCCCATTGGCACTTGGCCGAAAGACCGAAAATTAAAAGAGATAGGTGCTTATAATAAACTAGGCTGGGAAGAAGGGTTAGATGGATGGGCGAAGTTTCTTTTCACCAAATTTCTCGGGGTCAGTTCTCATCGCAACGCAGAGCTGATTTGGTCTCGCATCGCTTAACGTTCTGTGTTGCAGTGGTCATTGGAAGAAGTCCAAATCCTAACCGCGCATATACGCAATGATATTCGTAACCCACATGTCCATGCATGGCAGTCCGTGTGAGTTTTTGCGCTTTTACAAATTGTCGACATGCTAATAATAGTCGTATACTCCATAGGGTTGTTTGCTATGGACAGAAACCAATGTATGGTGGGACCAAGGGAAAGCAATGTCTCTAACCGAGGCGGTTTGTTGGTTTGATGGATTATGGGAGCTTTTGTGGATGCTATTCGGGACTGGAGCCCGTATTGGAGCATATTCACGGAAAAACGAGATTCGTCAATGACCCGTTATTTTGTCCGGCCCAAACTGCGAATCTTAGTTGTAAACAGTGCTGTAAGAATATTTGGAATATTTTAACAAGTTTTTCGTCACCTACACTCATCCTGTTTAACTGAAAAGAAATGCTGTTTTTTGTATCTCGTGTTGTGAAGCGATCTTGAACAGCACTCTTGTGCCCATTATGGCGGCGCCGGCGGAGGTTATAAGGCACTCTCGCAGTGGGCTGCGTGCGCTTCGGAGGGTTAGTAAAATAATTACCCGCTTAGATAGAGATCTTTGCCTAAATATATAGCAATTAAAATCAATGAAATATCCTGTGTTGGCTGCGATAGATGGCTCTCTACGGAGTACTCCGTACTCCGTATGGAAATTTCAGCTAGAATGTTTATTTACTTAGTTAGTTAACTAGTGGTTATACGGGGGTAAATTAGTGTGTGTTATAACCTGCATTACTATGTAAGTTATGCCAAGGTGCTGTCTAACTTTAGTGGGGCAAGTTATCATACTAGGCTCAAGATAGACTAGCTGTGAATGTTACATCATTGTATGACTTGTCATGCATGATGATGACTTTCTTAAGCAGTCTTCTGTTGTTTTGCATCATACAGAACAGTATATAATCCCCACACTCTAGAAATATAATATCTATATGTCAAGAAGATTCAGCAGTTCTATAAGAAAAGCTATAAATAACTCTAAATATTAAGCTGTTTTGAAGTACTGAGAAGATACTGAATGAAATTTATATAAATTAGTCAAAGATCACATAGAGAGCATACAGTGCAAAGTAGTAAAAATAAAGAGTAAGTAAGTCTTTACTTACTACTATGCAGTTTTGTTAAACTGTAAAATTGCTTTCTAATAATCTGACCCTCATATGACATGCAGAAATGATGTACTAAGAAGAGATATAAAAATAAAGAGATGATCACAAAAGTAAAAACAGTATTATTTCTGCAGAAGAAAATCATTGACTGAGAGATTCAGTTCTGTTGTTATAAGAGAAAGTGTATAGATAGAGATAACAATGAAATCATACAGACTCTGAGAAAGAGTTCTGTTAAGATTTACTGTGCAGCTCTTATAAATCTCTGATGATATTAAATAAATGCTGAATTTAACAATCATTCTACTTCTTGTGAAATTATATTATTTTTAATTGTTCATGTTCATTTCACTAGAGAGCACAGATGAAAGCAAAAGCAGTATATAAATTGTGAAGTTAATATTTTACAAAATGAATATATTACTAAGATTTTCATATAAGTGATTTGACACTGCTAAACAGCTAGAAGTCTAAAGACAGATTAAATGAAGTGCTATCTTCATATAACAGCTGATTTTCTGATAAGTTACAGTCTTCTTTTGTGAAAAGAGAGCTGTTATATGACACAGATGACTAATCTATTTATAGTTTCTCTGAGAAATAAGAGATCAACATCTTGCAATCTCTTAATTCTTATTATAAATAATGAAAAAATCAATTCTTTTGAATAACTGAAGTACTGTGCAGTTATATGACACAAAGAGTCTTTGCTTTGCATCATAAGTGTGTTAATATTCTACTTCTTTGTATGATGAAATATATTAAAAGAGTCCATTTTAAATTTTCAGCATTAAGAGTTTTGATATAACAATTACATTCTGAAGAGTACAAATCTCACTGTCTCTCTCTTATATGATTTTCACTGCTACTGAATTATTAAGATCTTCAAGACAACAAATCTTCTTTCTTTAAAAAAAACACATGCTAAATAATCTTAAGAAGCAAAGCATGCTAAGCTTACTGATGTCAGTGAGACATAAATTTATTAAACTGATCAGTGAAATAGTGATGCACTCATCAACTGCTATCTCAGTTACATTCTCTGAAAGTTTGTATGAGTAATGACAGACTTTTGTTCAGAGAAGCAGAAAAGCTACTATTTGTTTCATATAAAAATTAAATTATCATCAGCACTGAAGAAGATGCTCTGATCATAAATGAATGAATAAATAACTTAATTTAATTTCTTTAAGAAGACATTGCAGTCTACTCTTTCATCATCTTCTGTACAATATGATGAAAAAGAAGAAGATCAGAATGATCTGACTGCACAGAAATGTCTAAAACTGCTGAATACACTGCATATAGTTATTCTACAGAACTCTGTAATTCTACAGCATAAATTCTCTGCACATATGATCTGAAGTGATTTCATTTTTGTCAGATCAGACTACACTGAGTTCTCACAGTAAGTGTAAGCATCTCTGTTCAATGTTGAGAATTCAGAGAAGATTTAAATTCATCATACAATGTCAGTCATTATCTCTTATCTTCAAACAATTGAGCAGTTAATATCTTATGCTGTGGCAGTGACATAAAGATAAAGTGTCATAATTCTGAAATAAATAGATGACAATTTAATAAATCTGCTCAATGATACAATAATCTTCACTGTACAGATAAATGAAAGAATGTTCAATACTGCTTCAGAGTTGTATAAAGATCTCTCTTTCTTCTTCACAGTATCAGATGAAATTAATTAAGATGCTTTCACTACTATTACTGCTGTACAGAGTGAAATGAATGTTGAGAAGACTTAAAAATCAGTAGTTTTCTCTTTCACTTCTGTGAAATACAAATTCTCATGAGATATAGAAACAGTGTCAGATTTATGATGTGAATGAACAATAGACTTAAGAAAAGAATCATTCATACAAAGCTTGAAGAAGAAGAGCTTAAGCTGATGTAAATATGATGCAATGATGTTCAGTCAGAGAAAAATAATTATTAATGAGATTGTACATCATCAGAAGCAGAGCTGTAGTACAGCAGTAGCTGTGAAGTAGATAGAGCTCATTTAGATAAGACAGAAACTTACTCTTTATGATCTTACTATCTTTCTCAAGAAAACACATCACTTATAAAGAGAGCTTTGAATGTTTGATGTTCAATTATATATATATATTATAATGACTAGCTAATAAACTGCTTCATATGCTTTTCAGAAGACAAAGTAATTAAATAACTCATACAGACTTTTAAAAGTAGATTATGTAGATGTTATATATATTCATTTCTTTCTAATTGAATTAGATTCAATGTGAGCATTCAATTATATTGTCTACTTATATGTTGTGAAGCTCTCTCTTCTCTTCTCTTCTTCTAAGCATCATATATCAGTAAGTGATTTCTTTCTCTCTGCTGCTTCAATTTTTGTATAAGTTCAAGAAGACTGCTAATTGCTTTATATATATTCTCTTAATTTATTTAATCAGTTATCAACTGATGAGTCTTTCTGCTATCTGCTTATTAAATTGCAAAGCTGATATGTGCAGTCAAAATCACAATAAGTGAGCTTCTTCTCTTCTTTCACTGATATTCTCATTCATGTGCTTGCAAAATGAATATATGTACAAGCTCAAGATGTGATCTGCTCAGATTTTGTATATGCACTTATGCATGATCTGCTTCTGAGTAAGTAAGTGAGTTCAGACTTCATACACACACTTGTGCATAATCTACTTCTGAGCAAGCAAGTGAGTCCAGACTTTGTACATGCATTCATGCATGAATTAATGTAGTATGTACATACAGTCAGCTAACAGAATTATAGTATTACAATGACAACTCTTGTCTCTGCTCTCATCTGTCATTCACAATGTAAGTACTCTTTATGTGTATCATATAGTGTGATGTGTACATACTGATTATTATAGAGCTCTGATCTTATATAATCTTACTGTTGCTGCACTAGAATTGCTACATGTGCAACTTACAAGAATTGACAATTTCAGTTCATACAGAATTATACTTACATTCTTGTCACACTTCAGTTAGTTCTGTCACAGTTCACAGAGTCACACTCTGCTTGTGCTGTCAGATCATAATGTTGAGTTCATACATAAACAGTTAAATCTTCATTAGATTACATTTCATCAACTCTCATACATTAATGAAATTCTAATCAACTCTTGTGAAAGAAAGTTGCAAATTGTCTGCAAAGTGTGTGCAGTCAGAGCTTCTGATCTCACACTCTTTTCTCAGTGTCATTGTACAACAGAGCACTTTAACAGAGCATGTGATAATTGTAAGTGATGCAATCATGCAAGCTGCTGTTTCATACAAGAGCTATCAGATGAACTTCTGATATATGATTTGACAGAGATCTGACCCTCAGTGATAACTAGTTAGTTATCACTGACTCATATTATGAAGTTATAACTTGCCAAGCTCTGATAATTCAGTTATCATGGCACCTCCTCTAACAAACCCATTCAGTATAACTTGGTTATCAGCCAGCTTGATGGCATGAGTTAGAGTTTGTGTTATATGGGGCCCCCATATGGTGATTGACAGGTGTGTAGAAATTGCTAGGCTCAAATGGTGATGACACATACAGTGTGCAGTTGATTATCTATATGGTAGATCTGCTTAGCTTCACTGCTGAATATACAACATACATCCAACCACTACTGATCCCAGGCACCACATAGAGGTGCAGTTCTTTGTCTGGATGCTGCACACAGGGCCTGTACAGCTAGGCAAATCAAAAAAAAAATCAAATAAGTTATGCCAATAATGCTGTACACCACCTGAACAAAGAAAATAAGAAGAGAGAAAACATCATACACCAATTCAAACTCTCATAAAAGCAGAAAGCAGAATACAGAAAGAAAAGAACACTAACTCACTGCAGCTACAATCATACAAGACTAGATACAATGTGAATCATACAAGACTAGTCAAGTATGATGGAATTGTCAGCAGCTGCATCAGAGGCTGGGAGCTGGAGCTGGGGATCAGCAGTCAGAAGAGGGGAAGAGAAAGAGAGAGCTGTGTCAGAAGACATGAAAAGCCAGATCTCTATTAAATCATATATCAGAAGTTCATCTGATAGTTCTCATATGAAATAGTGACTTGCATGATTGCATCACTTGCAATTATCACATGCCCCATCAAAGTGTTTCATCATATAATAACACTAAGAAAAGAGTGTGAGATCAGAAGCTCTGATCACACACACATTGCAGACAATCTGCAACTTTCTTTCACAAGAGTTGATCAGAATTTCATTAATGTATGAGAGTTGATAAAATGCAATTTAATGAAGATTTAATCATTCACATATAAACTCAACATCATGATCTGGCAGCATAAGCAGAGTGCAACTCTGCAGACTGTGACAGAACTGATTAAAGTATAGCAAGAATGCAAGTATAATCTCATACAGACTGAAATTGTCAACTCTTGTGAGTTACACATATAGCAATTTTAGTGCAGCAACAGCTGAATCATATAAGATCAGAGTTCTACAACAATCAGTATGTATGCATCACATCATATAATATATACAGAGAATACTTACATTATGAATGACAGATAAGAGTAGAGACAAGAGTTATTATCGTAATACTACAATTCTGTTAGCTGACTGTATGTATGTACTGCATCAATTCATGTGCAAATGTGTGTACAAAGTCTGGACTTGCTTGCTTACTCAGAGGCAGATTATACACAAGTGCATATACAAAGTCTAAGCTTACTTGCTTATTTAGAGACAGACCATGTGTGAGTGCATGTACAAAATCTGAGCAGATCACATTTTGAACTTGTACATATATTTATTTTATAAGCATGTGAATAAAAATATCAGTGAAAGAAGAGAAAGAGCTCACTTATTGTGATTCTGACTGTGCATATCAGCTTTGTAATTTAACAAGCAGATAGCAGAAAGACTCATCAGTTGATAACTGATTAAATAAATCAAGAGAATACATACAAAGCAATTAGCAGTCTTCTTGAGCTCATACAAGAATTGAAGCAGCAGAGAGAAGAAGATCACTTACTGATGTATGATGCTTAAAAGAAGAGAAGAGAAGAGAGAGCTTCACAACATGTGAGTAGACAATATAATTAAATGCTCACATTGAATCTAACTCAATTAAAAAGAGACAGATATATATAACATCTACATAATCTACTTTTAAAAGCTCATATAAGTTATTTAATTACTTTATCTTCTGAAAAGTGTATGAAGCAGTTTATTAGCTAGTCATTATAATATATATATATAATTGAACATCAAACATTCAAAGCTCTTTTTATAAGTAATGTGTCTTCTTGAGAAAGATAGTAAGATCATGAAGAGTAAGTTTCTGTTTTATTTAGATAAGCTCTATCTACTTCACAGTCACTGCTGTACTATAGTTCTGCTTCTGATGACATATGATCTCATTAATGATTGTTTTTCTCTGACTGAACATCATTATATTACATTTATGTTAGCTTAAGTTCTTCTTCTTCAAGCTTTTTATGAATGATTCTCTTCTTAAGTCTATTGTTCATTCACATCACAAATCTGATACTGTTTCTATATTCTGTGAGAGTTTATATCTTATAGAAGTGAAAAAGAAGACTGCTGATTTCTGAGTTTTCTCAACATTTATTTCACTCTGTACAGCAGTGATAGTAGTGAAAGTACTCTGATTAATTTCATCTAATACTGTAAAGAAGAAAGAGAGATCTCTGTATGATTCTGAAGTAATATTAAACATTCTTTTATTTATCTGTATGATGAAGATTATTGTATCATTGAGCAGATTCATCAGATTGTCATTTATTTATTTCAGAATTGTGACACTTTATCTTTATGTCACTGTCACAGCATAAAATATTAACTGCTCAATTATTTGAAGACAAGAGACAATGACTGACATTATATGACAAATTTAAATCTTCTCTGAATTCTCAACATTGAACAGAGATGCTTGCACTTACTGTGAGAACTTAGTGTAGTCTGATCTGACAAAAATAAAATCACTTCAGATCATATGTGCAGAAAATTTATGCTATAAAATCATAAAGTTCTGTAGAATGACTGTATGCACTGTATTCAGCAGTCTTAGATATTTTTGTGTAGTCAGATCATTCTGATCTCTCTCTTTTTCATTATATTGTACAGAAGATGATGAAGAAGTAGACTGCAATGTCTTCTTAAAGAAATTAAATCAAATCATTTATTTATTTATTTATGATCAGAGCATCTTCTTCAGTGTCAGTAATGATTTAATCTTTGTATGAAGTAAATAGTAGCTTCTCTGCTTCTCTGAATAAAAGTCTGTCATTACTTATATGAACTTTTAGAAAATGTGACTGAGATAGCAGTTAATGAGTGCATCACTATTTCACTAATCAGTCTGATGAATTTATGTCTCACTGACATCAGCAAGCTCAGCATGCTTTGCTTCTTGAAATCATTCAGCATGTGTTTTTTTTAAAGAAAGAAGATTTGTTGTCTTAAAAATTTTGATGATTTAGTGACAGTGAAAATCATATAAAAAAGAGACAGTGAGATTTATACTCTTCAGAATGTGATTGTTATATTAAAGCTCTTGACACTAAAAGTTTGAGATGGACTCTTTCAATATATTTCATCATATAAAGAAGTAGAATATCAACACACTTATGATGCAAAACAGAGACTCTTTGTACTATATAACTGCACAGTACTTCAGTTGTTCAAAAGAATTAATTTTTTCATTATTCATAATGAGAATCAAGAGATTGCAAGATGTTAATCTCTTATTTTTCAGAGAAACTGTGAACAGATCAATTATTTATACTGTATGATGACTCTCTCTCTGTAAAAGAAGACTATAATTCATCAGAAAATCAGCTACTGTATGAAGATAGTACTTTATCTGATCTATTTTTAGACTTCTAGCTGTTCAGCAGTGCTGAATCATTTATATAAAGATCTTAATGATATATTCATTCTATAAAATATTGACTTCATAATTCATATACTGCTCTCACTTTTGTCTGTGCTCTCTAGTGAAATGGACATGAATAATTGAAGATAATATGATTTCATGAGAAGTAGAATGATTGTTGAATTCAGCATTTATTTAATATTGTCAGAGATTTATAAGAGCTGTACAGTAAATCTTAACAGAGCTTTTTTTCAAAGTCTGTACAATTTCATTGTCATCTCTATTCATACACTTTCTTTTATAATAACAGAGCTGAATTTTTTGATCAATAATCTTTTTTCACAGAAATAATACTGTCTTTACTTCTATAATCATCTCTTCATTTTTATATCTCTTCTCAGTACATCATTTCTGCATGCTGTACAAAAGTCAGATTATTAGTAAGTAATTTCATAGTTTAACAGAACTGCATAGTAATAAGTAAAGATTCACTTACTTTTCATTTCTGCTGCTTTGCACTGTATGTTCTCTGTGTGATTTTTAATTAATTCATACAGATTTTATTCAGTGTCTTCTTAATATTCTAAAACAGTTTAATATTTAGAGTCATTTATAATTTCTCTTGTAGAACTGCTAAATCTTCTCAGCATGTAGATGTCATATTTCTAGAGCATGAAGATTATATACTGTTCTATACAATGCAAAACAATAGAGAGCTGCTTGAGAAAGTCATCATCATGCATGATAAGTCATATAGTGATGTAACATTCACAGCTAGTCTATCTTGGATCTAGTATGATAACTTGCCCCACTAAAGTTAGACAGCACCTTGGCATAACTTACATAGTAATGCAGGTTATAACACACACTAATTTACCCCCGTATAACCACTAGTTAACTATGTGCCAAGAACTATCAGACTTATTCTGCCGGACTTCACCACCTTTAACTAGTTAACTAGTTAATTACGGAGTAACTACGGAGTACGGAGTACGGATGGAGTAATTGAAACATAAAAGATTTAGAAGGCGACTTGCATCATGAGCACAGGTTGCTGCAGAACTCAATTGCCTAATAATACTGTGTCTCACAAATGTCAAGCAGTTACCCAACGTCCCGACAGTTTTGGCGCAGCGCATTGCATTTTGTATCCCGATGTCGCCATGACACATCTTGTTTATATCCCAGGCAATTTCTTCAAGGTCCGAGGCGATATAGCTCTATATCCGCCGCAGAAATTCAGTTTGGCCAACCGGTACATGAAACCCACCCTCATTTATTGAAAGCCGGCGAATGTAAGGTCAATCAAATTCCGAGGTTTGATAAATTTTTGCTAATATGGGCAGCCATGTAGTAACTCCCGGTGTCACGGCTTTCGAATATGCCCACCGACGTGCAAAGTTAGCAGCGAAGCTACCGAAGAACGGCATTGCAATAATCAGAGCTGCTGAAGTGAAATATAAAGCAAAGAGTGTCTTCTATGAATATCACCAAAATCCAGATTTCTATTATTTAACGGGTAAGAAGCCGCAGTGCTGCTATTTTCTGGGAAGGTTCTAATTTTTGGATACCACAGGCTTCAATGAACCTGGTGCCTTAGCAGTAATCGGTGAGCTATTAGTTGCACCAACGCCTGCCCATGGCACAAGCATACTTATGTATCCCAGCCAAAAATGAGTCCGACGATGACTATATCTTCCACCTTTACGTGAGAGAAAAAGACCCTAGATCGGAATTATGGCAAGGTGCTAGGTCTGGCACCCAAGCTGCGCTAGACGTTTTTAACGCAGACGAGGTGAGATCGATGCACATCAGATTTGAAGAATAGGGCTAACCCCATCAGACCGGCGATATTGAACAAATCAAAGATATACTCCCTAGTATTGTCTCGGACGCATCAGAAATATTTACTGATGTCAAAGGATTGCCCGCTGCGAAATCGGCTGTCTCACGTTTCTTTCCCAGTATGCAGCGAGATACCGATGCATTAAACAAAACAGCTGCCATCTCAAAAATAAAACCGCTACAACCGCTGCTAAGTGGGCTGCGAGTATTCAAAAGCGAAGGTGAAATTGAAAATATGAGAAAAGCTGGGAAAGCATCCGGTAGAGCTTTCACGGAGGCCATGAAGCATAACTTTACGACCGAGAAGGATCTGTATGCATTCCTAGAATACCAGATAAAAATAAACGGTTGTGAGCAATTGGCTTTCGTTCCAGTAGTCGCAGGTGGTCAAGTATGCATTCCGTACAATGAGATGCCTCTCATACAGTAAACTAATGTGTTATAGAATGCCCTAAGCATTCATTATGTTCGGAATGACGATGTTCTCAGGTATGTTGTCTTCTATAACTTATTAGTATTTAAAAATATGTTAACTTAGGTATTGTAGAGATGGAAGCCTGGTTCTTGTTGATGGTGGTGGTGTAGGTTTATTTTCCTGCCTAATATCCGTCAATTTCATTAACTTTGTGTAGTCTTATGGAGGATATGTGTCGGATATCACGAGGACCTGGCCCGTAAATGGAAAGTTTACTGACCCGCAAAGAGATTTATACACAGCGGTTCTCAATGTGCAGCGTGAATGCGTGGGTCTGTGTTGCGAGTCCCAGGATATATCTTTAGATGAAATTCACAGCCATGCTGAATCTCAGCTCTCAAAGCAACTTACGGATTTAGGTTTCGAGTTTGGCTTCTCGAATCTGACGACTTCTGGCTCTCACCGCCTTTCCATCCCGGTACACCTCCACATTTGGTCTCTTTTACTGCACAGTACAGCTACTAACACTCTCTGCAGACAATCAAGGAGCTATTTCCTCACCATGTTGGGCATTATGTCGGTCTGGACGTTCATGATACAGGGAGCTACTCAAGACGACATAAATTACGAAAGGGGCAATGCATTACCATCGAGCCGTAAGTTTGGCTTCCCGGTCATTGACAAAAGGTGTGCTCATATAAGTAGGGGTATATACGTCCCAAATGACGAGAGATGGCCTGAGCACTTCCGGGGAATTGGCATACGGATCGAGGATAGTGTCTGTATTGGCGGCGACCATCCCTTAGTTTTGACTACAGAGGCCGTCAAAGAGGTAAGCCTTTTTCTAATAATCAATCCTTTTTTGGTGTGGTTGCTAATTTTTCTAAAGGTTAATGATATTGAGGCTCTCCGACCTTGAGATTTAGATACGGAGTACTCCGTATATTTATGTATATACAGTATTTGTGAAGGTTTATCTTGAAATTGTGTATCATATTAAACAACCGTGCCGGAGGTAGATAACAAGATTCATATAGTTATAGTAGCCAACCCAAGGGATCACGAGCTTCAAGGGTCTCCCTCAAAGTATCGGAGTATTATAGGGCCGGGTATCCAAAAAGGGGCTAGGGCTCACGCGGTCATGCCCGGCGCCAAGATGGCCGTGCTTGGTGGGCAATCGCGGACTCGCGGGTTGTTTGGGGCAAAACATGGACTCAATCGCAAACGCCTGCTGTTGTTGACAGCGGATTGCAGGAATTCACGGGCTGGGAAGCAATTGCAGCGGGACATTCTATCTTACGATTATCTATTACCCCTTCTACCTCTTTTCGACCGCGTCTTAACAATTGTTATGCACTCACTTTGACTTACGTTTCCGCGTTCAAGACGCGAGTACTTCGTTTTGCTGAATACTCCCGCTCTTCAGACATTGTTACACCACTCAGAGTACATGGCAGCTGTATTAGCTCCCTCCCCTGGGGCCCTAACCACAATGTCGAACCGAAGAGTCCCCTTGGCTAGCGTTCCCAATGCTACGAACTCTCCCCATCGAGGGGGCCTCCTTGCTACAAAAAGAGCGCGACCTAATAGTGTACAGGCTGACGGGAATGCCTCTCAACCTCCCTTGAAGAAGCAAGTACTAGATCGAGGCAATGTCGATTTTAAGTCGCCGTCCCGGCCATTGGTGTACGAGTCAGGCGACACCAAGGTTTTCACGCGCAAAAACAATGCCCAGCCGAGTGCATTCGAACGGAAGCTGGTAGCTGCTAAACAGGCTAGCCAAGCAGCAACCAGACAAAAAAAGGCTGTTATTGATTCTGCGGAAAGCGTGCGCCAATGGCAGAAACATTATCGAAAAGTGTTTCCAGGATTTGTCTTTTACTTCGACAGTGTCACCGAGGAAACTCGTAAAAGATGGACAAAGCAGATAGTATATCTTGGAGCAGTAAGCTTAAACACTACCTTGCTATTCATGTTTCCAAATCTCACTAGAAGCATCTGTGATAGAGAGACGAGAGGTTCTTCTCAAAGTACATCACCCACGTAGTTACCAGCCGACAAATCCCCCTCGAAGTCGAATTTCCTCACCCAGTGGAAGAGAATCAAATATCGGATGGCCTTCATACGGAGACGCATACTGTCGATCCTTCACTGCTAGAAAAAAGTTTAGAACAATCATGTCAAGGGCGAAGCCGATCTAAAACTGGACTAGATAAACGAATTTTGGATGCAGAGGGAAAGAAAGACCTGAGTGGAAATGTCGATATTTTGTTCCGTGCACGACAGATGAACATGAAAATATGGACACTCGATAAACTGCAACGATTTATCTGTGCAATTACTGATCGTGAACTACCACAACATGGTCATTCTACTCGCAACAATATAGCGAATAAAAGCAACGCTGAAGCTGAACTATCTTCGGTTTTACGGAATGAAAAATTAAACGGCCAGTCCGATCCGTCTTTGGGGTCGAAGGATATTGTGCCTTTCAAAGGACCTTACATTTACATTTACGATTACCACCAGAGAACCCGCCCTATAATGATTCGAGAGTATCCTAAAGTTGCGAACAAATTTGAGGGCATTTGGCCCCAGTTTCGCACTACTCCCCTTGGAAAATGCCCCTTTGTTGAAGAACCCCAGAACAAGAAAGAGATTGAGCGAGATAAAAGACAACGAAGAGCAGAACAGAAATATAATGTTAAAGTGGCGTCAGCTGTTACAGCAAAATCAAATACCATGGCTCCTCCGCCCCCGGTTGGAAAACCGGTTCCTAAGTATTCCCAGAGCAATTCCCGTGGCGAAATTGCCGAGGGCCTTGATAGCGCCCAGCGCTTTTCCAATTTTGGGGCTAGTACCATACCGTACCCGTCATTTGAAGGCCATTCTCGCGCAGAAATCGCGGCTTCAGGGATTCAGCCATCTAATATCACCTCTGCAATTCGATCCCAGATGATTTCCTCCACAGCTGCTGCTTCAGGTGTGAAGGCTGGAACCAGTAAAGAGATTCATGAGCTGAAGCGAAAAGTGCTGGAGAAAAACAACGGAATCTATTCCTCAGCAAAAATGTCTCTGGGCGCTGGAACATCCAGGGTACCAGCAACGCGATCTTCGAAACTTAAGGCTACAGAGAATTTTGTGCCAATTCCAGATGATAGTAGAGCCAGACCTACAGAACCTGAAGCGCAAAATACTCGTGCTATAGTAAAGGCAAGCAATACTAAGCAGAACCTCAGGCAGAAGAAGGACCCAAAAGCGGGATATTGTGAAAATTGCCGTGAAAAATATGATGACTTTGAGGAGGTAGAGTACTCACAATACCCGTCCCCTTTTATGGTGCTGCTTTCTAACGTATTTGTTTCTTTAGCACATCCTTACACGGCAGCACAAGAAATTCGCAATGACTGCATCAAACTGGGTAGAACTGGACTACTTACTTCGAGAGCTACAACGCCCTGAAAAAACCAACGCGGATTTAGAGCGTTCTGGGGATTGTGGGTCCACATTTTATTGAACATGCTCTCGCCTCCTTATAAAAGGGGCTCTTTGATATTTTGAAAATGATATTGGCTCGTGGCCATTATGTACACCAGTCAGCTGAGGCCTTGGGAATTGAGAGACCTAGAATACAGTATACCTATTAAATCGTAGTTGTTCTATATATGCTATGAGATTACCTCGATCTACCTAAAATCATACTGTATTGTCATTCCCCGTTCTCTTACCGGTGGCTGGCATTTTATTCAACTGCGAAAAGCTTTTACATATAGTCTTGCAAAATCAGATGTGAGGATAAGGACCCGATCCTTATCGTCCGTCTATAAAAGGTGTTTCTGTTTAGTGTCCAGAATCGCATCGGTTTATTATGCCCTCTTGCCGTTTGATGTTCGACTGCTTTTCCAAGTTACCGGCTCGTATATAATCAGCTTTAACAACCTGAGATTTTGCGGAAAGTACCTCACAGTCTTGGAGGTTGTTTGACACATTAGCTAATATTCATAAGCTAGCTTCTGACAGATTAATTGCCCTTTGTAAACAGCAGAAACCATGTAATAACAGTTCACGGGACTTTCACGCTAGAAGCGCTAGTAATATTTCTGTCTGTTTCTTTCCTGATCAAGCTGTTTTTTTTTCTTTTGTGTTGATTAGAAGCTCCATCTGTTCTTTTCTCACCTTCTCAAATTCTTCAAACCATATCCTTCATGATTCTAGCCCAAAGTCAGCTCTTTCAGTTGTTATCGTGCCTGATGCTTCTTTGGTAATAATCGCTTTCACACTTATAAGAAATTTCTGTTAAAAAGGCGCGTCTTCTTGATAATCATAAGCCCAGAACTTCACTGCCTTCATCTTTCTCCTGCCTGATTGTCAGTTACTACAAGAGGCTCTTCTACCTTCGCCCCCCCCCCTTTTGCTTTTAAAAAAGATAGCCAGAATCGACAATCATCCTTAGCTATCAAACTCATTATAACATTCGCAACCAGCAGTCAGCATCTTGAAAATGGCATCTCCTTTCCAAGTTCTGTAAGTCAGATGCTCCAGACTAGGCATTAAGAGATGTGATGTTAATATATAGCAGGGGTTTCACTGTGCCCCCGAGACGTCGAGTAAAGTTCTTTGTTGAAATGCCCGTGGAAATCATGTTTATGGTTGCAAATTTCTTAAGCAACACTGATTTGGCAAATTTGAGACTTGTGTCAAAGGATTTTGGCTGGGTTGAAGCTGTTCTGTTGAAAACAATTCGCATTAGGGTGTCTGCCGATTTTGTGAGAAAGGCTGAACTTTTTATACAAGCACGTCCTGGCACCACAACTATCCACTGTCTTTCTTTCAGCGCCGCTTTTGCCAGACCCGGGGTGAAAGGTGTCAAAACGTGGAAGATACTAACGGCTGGCGTTTCCATGTTAATCTCCCGGGGTGATGTTGTGAAAATTCAAAAAGTCAGTATGCTACCAAGCAGCACAGAAATCATACCATTTCTTAATGCTTTGCGCCGGAGTGGAGTGACAACAATAAAAACACTTGAGCTTCATCGATTCACTGAGCATAATGGAATATATGCTCGTGACGCAGACCGGCTAGGCTCTCTTCTTGCGGGCATAGAAGCCCTAGGAATTTCCATTGAATGTTGGAGCCCGAGGAGCGGCTATCCTCGATTTATGACTTTGGTAACAGGCAGTTGCAGAAACTTAAAGGTCCTTGAGCTCTCCCTTTGGATGAGAAATTTAAGGGTAGCAAGAGCGATTCCCCACCCTCTGGACCTAGGGATAAGTAGAGTCAGATTTCCGCAGCTTCGTTCCTTAACCCTTTCCCAACTCGCCCTTGACTGGAACTGCTTTGACTGGCCTCTTTTCACGTCCAGCAAAGCTCTTGAGACGGTGAACCTATTTGATATTTTGCTGCAACCGACGGATCTAGGGCGCTATTATGCCGACTACATGCCTCAGCTCTGGCCGCATTTATGGATAGGAGACGACTGGGGGAGCGTGATCAACAAGCTTACTTTAATGTTTGCAACCACTGCAACGCAAGTGACAATCTGGCAGCCCCTGGCGCCGGTCTTCAACAACGAGCAGTTCCATTGGTCAGCAGCTATAAATCTTCCCAGTTCTCCTTCTGTGAGAGTTTTAGGACGGTGAAAAGGGACCTTTTTAAGGACATCTGTGAAAGGCTGGCACGCCGAAAGGAAAGTGTTTGGAGCGCCATTGCAAACAGTTGGGCTTGTCCTTGTCATGTAGTCAGTCAATAGATTCAAACAAAGACTCTTTAAGGCTTGCGGCTTCCCTTTGCTCCCTGCCCGGAATATATAAGAACTGCTAACTTCTAAGCCGGCATCACAACGAGGAACTTGATGTTGCTGCTTAGTCACGAAGATAGTTAGTACTAACGAGTTAACTAGCCGAATCAGGCCTAGTTTGCCTCGGCCAACTTTCGCCGCGGCTGTATTTTCACCAAAATATTCTCTACTCTACGCCGCATAAACCAGCACGTCGCGCAGTTTCGACTCAGCCAGTCTATGACTATATAAGCAGAGGCTGAGGGCAAAATGGGTTATGTTTTTTCCCCATCCCCCCATTGGAGTCTTCAGCGTCACAACGTTTGCTGCATCCTTTATTGGATTCCAAGTCTGTGTCTCAATCCGCAAGACACGTGAGTGCTTTGAAAATGGCTCCTCGCTTTCATTTATTCACTGCGCGCCCTACGTGCTCCTTTTTCTATACAACCATGGCAAGATCGGCACATTCTTTAGTCTTACCTGCTGCTGTGGCCGTTCCCGCTCTTCCAATTGTCTGGCGCCGCAATAGTTCTCATTCTCCGATGGGAGCAACGCCGGTCAACGTTCGGAAAAAAGTGACCATCAAGACGCTTCAAGCACTATATAGAAAGAATGAACCAATTACTATGTTGACAGCTCATGATTTTCCCAGTGGTCATGTCGCTGAGGCAGCAGGAATGGAAATGGTGCTCATTGGCGATAGTCTAGCGATGGTTGCGCTAGGAATGGCAGATACCAGCGAAATTTGTCTGGACGAGATGCTCTTACATTGCCGGAGCGTATCGAGGGCGGTGGGAACAGCGTTCACTGTATATTCTATCCAGCCAAATACATGTTCTCGATTTTCCTTCATTTTCTCTGACATCAGTGTGATTTTTAGGTTGGAGATATGCCAATGGGATCTTATGAAATATCCCCAGAACAGGCTCTTCAAACTGCCATTCGCCTCGTGAAAGAAGGCAGGGTACAATCGGTAAAGTTAGAAGGTGGTTCGGAAATGGCCCCTACTATTCGACGTATAACTCAAGCCGGAATTCCGGTTGTCGCCCACATTGGACTCACACCACAGCGCCAAAACGCTCTCGGCGGCTTTCGTGTCCAAGGAAAATCTACAGCAGAAGCTGTAAAATTTTTTCATGATGCATTGGCCATCCAGGAGGCGGGCGCATTTATGGTGGTACTAGAGGCTGTTCCTGCCGAGATCGCGAGTATTGTCACACAAAAGCTGAAGATCCCCACCATTGGAATTGGTGCTGGAAATGGCTGCTCTGGCCAAGTACTCGTACAGGTGGATATGGCCGGGTATTTTCCGCCAGGCAGATTTCTCCCGAAATTCGTCAAACAATATGGGAATGTATGGGGAGAGAGTCTGAAAGCAATTGAACAGTACCGGCGTGAAGTTAAGACTAGAGAGTACCCATCAAAGGAATACACGTATCCTTCCTCAAAAGACGAAGTAGACGCGTTTGAAAAATATCTTGATGATAATCATTAATACCCTTAATTCTTCTCTGTACACATGTTTGTCAAATGTTGCTATTGCACTTATGCGATTTATACATACATAGCTCACTTGGTTCTACTCCTATCACTCTTCTTCTATTTCTGTCCCAAGATATTAAATAGTTAGATGCAAGTGTGAGATTGGCTTTTTGAAGTGACTGTCCCTGCAGTATGGTTTTCAGGGATCGGCATCTCTTACACCCTCAATCCATTATCTATAGCATAGCCCGAGGTTGTTGTATTTTAGAAAACCGCCTTTTCATTAAGGTGGTTCAATGCTGGAGACAACATTGACGTTTGACAAAAAACGCTGCCCGCACGTGGAGAATCTCATCCAAAGGCTGGAGCCATAGAATAAGAAACAATCAGCTGATCATCTGTTTTAAAACACTGCACTAAGGTCAGATATCATAACTGCCATAGGAAGGGATATTCCATGAGGCATACTCTCCAAAGCCCACCAACACTTTCATCCAACCCAGGAGCAAATACGCTGTTTACATAGCAAAATACCGAATCCGATTCCTTGCAATCTAACTTTTTACGAAGAAATCGGACTACAGTTTCGAATTTTTGAGAGGCGCTGATTTTGAAGACACGGGTTCTTAGGATTGGCGCTGAAGGCAGGGGTTGGAAACGAACAGTAACTGTTTATATCAAAAGTCAATTAAACCAACATGATTGCAAAACAACTATATTTCATTTAATGATTGTGAATGAAGACGTAGTAGAAGTTAGAATGACAAGTTAAAAGATCTTAACCGGTGATGAAAAGACTATACATGGGCAAGCCCCAAGTGAATAGTAGGAACCGTAGTAAATGTGTACAATCACAAACGAGGGTCAAGAGCGGCATACCTTTTCCAGCATCAATTGCCTCTACATCTGCTAGAGCCTGGTGTGCATCTTTTGGTAAACTAGTCAGAATCACAGATGCAGTCATCGTCAAGGGCAAATCGGCGCCATGGTTCTCATCTGGGATCGGCGCAGTGCCTGTGCGATTCGGCGTAGCTGGATCTTCGGAGGTGTAGGGCTCATGTCTGTTGGTTCTCATATTGGCATGGTTTTGCCTACTTACATGACCGGAGCTTTGGGGGGAAGGGCGTGGAGATGAGGGTGCGGGGGAGCCACGGGGTTCGATAGGCGAAGATGTGGACATGTTTGGATGAAAGTTGGAAAGGCTAGTACCCGTATAGGTATCAGGACCGATGATATGCAGAAGAAAGGCAAACCAGGTGCGTCAATGACTTCCTGTATATTTATGAAGGAGGACGTGGTGTGCTTGATAAGAAACTGGAGGAAGGTTTGACACCTCATATAAGTATAGGACTCAGCATTGGATCGATTTGCGATACAAGTCGCTTTCTAGGTGTGCTTGGTTAAAGATTTGATAGTTAATTAGCTATCGCAAAAATATTTATGAATCTACAATGCAAACTCAACAGGAAGAGCTTTCGACAGTCAAATTAGCTCGGTGGTATGTAAGTTAGTTACGGAGTACTCTGTGGACATTGACGATCACCTGTACTTATGGCAAGGATCAAAATGTCGTTACTCCGCACAAGGCTGACTACGTAGCGCGAGTAATTAGCTACTAGTTAATCCTTTCTAACATTATTGGACTTGCAACAGAGAAAACTCTATCCAAGTAGCATACCCGCGGGTGTATATAATGACGTTGTTCCCCCCCTTCTTATAAGTTTATGTTACGTTTGTCTTGGCCCCTCAATAGGTCCTCAATGGATGTTCAACATGTTGCTTTCGTTGGAGCGGACGGAAAACTCGGCCCGTCCGTCCTCAAAGCTCTAGCCTCGTCAGGTCAATTTAATATTACGGTGCAAAAACGCCGGTCTTCTTCTTCAGTATCAAACTACCCTCCTTCCGTACAAACCGTCTTGATACCCGACGAATTCCCTGTGGACGACCTCATCGAAGCACTCAAAGGAAAGGATGCGGTCGTTGTCACTGTTAATGGAAGCCTGGACAAATTGCAGATGCGTCTTGCCGATGCGGCGGCCCAAGCTGGCGTGAAACAGTTTATACCGGCTGATTTCGGCAGCTGCGATTCCCAAGAGCAGATGATCTGTGAGCTGGTTCCAATATTCCAGAGAAAAGCCAATGTCCGCAATCACCTAAACAGCCTGGTGGTTCGGTATCCTGGGTTCTTGTGGACTAGCCTCGTCTGTGGGCATTTTTTCGACCAAGAAGACTTGGAATTCCTGCATATTGATCTTAAAAGGCAGAAGGCAGATGTTCTGGATGATGGGGAGACCCGCGCTTCGACAAGCACCTTCCACCAAATTGGCTCTGCTGTAGTGAAAATATTGGAACGACGGGGAATGGAAGAAATCAAGAACAGGGTTATATATATTCAAAGCTTTTTCGTATCGCAGATGCAGGTTGTTAGGGCATTTGAACATGCGATGGGCCAGAAGTGGGAGATCAGTCATATCAACTCTGCGACTTTGATAAAGGAGAAAAAGGAAGAGGCAGATAAAAAAGGCACTGTTGCTTCTGTGGACCTAGTCTGGGCGTTGGGAACATTATATGCAAACTGGGAAAAGAAGGATGGATTTGCAAATGAGGTTTTAGGCTTAGTTGAAGAGGATATCAGCAAAGTCGTTGCTAATTTTGTAGATCTAAATGATAATCACAGCTAGATTGCACCCAAGATATTGTGATGGAAAAAAGCTTGAGGTAGTTAATATCAAGAGATCATTTCTCTCTCTGTCTCTCTCCCTCTTTCTTTTGTTTTTTAGTTCTCTCTGTGTGCTCTTCTAAGTAAGTTTAGAGAATGAACAGTCATGGAGCACTGCTGACTAGAAACCAAATGTGGACTCACTGCAAGAGTAAGTGCACAAGATTTTGACTGGAGACTACCCTTTGTGGGAGGTCCAACACAGCCGCATGTTCTCGCTGTATTTGGAAATGTGGAATTGGAGTGCGGCTGGCATGCCGAGCGGCTTTGCACTTGTGGCCCCAGATAGGCAACTGGGACAAACATGGATCCTCTTTCATTTAACTTCCAAATCCATTACCATTCAAGAGAAACACCAGACACTTTATATGCTACCATTTGGCCATTAAGCATCTTCTGTTGCCATATTCGGCTGAAAAAAAGAAAATCGACTATCCTGGCCCCGATCATGGCGATTTTGAGTGAACTGATATGCTGCTGCTGCTGCAGTAGTGAAAATGTTTTATCAGCCTCCCATTCCAATAGTGTTTATGGCTAACGAGCCGCATTGTAGGAAGAGGAAGAGTCGTCGGTATGCCACCAGCTATGGGCCAGAATCAAGTCGTGGTTTGGGTTCGAGAGGAACGATCGAATGTTTCAGGTAGGTAGCATTTTTTCCTCTCTCGAAAGAAGCCAGGGATAAAATACCTGACAACAATAGAACCCGTACCCATCGATATATTCGGATGAGTCAGAGGAAACATTGAGGCCCTCACCGATCTCAACACGACCGTCTTCGCGAGATAGAGACGAAGGCATCGTAGCTAGGCAGAGGTCCTCATCTTTTATCGGACTGACCACGGAGGACTTCATGGCATATCAAAGTTGGGTGGTATGTTACTTTCCCACCCCAGGAAGGAAGACATTCTAACTTTGAGGAGGAGAGCGGCTGTTAAGCCACCACCCTTAATGGCCTTCTTACCATCATAACAACAAGCGGTCAAAAATGAGCTGAGAGACCTGCGGGGATTTGTTTGTTATTGCGAGGTTGACGGCTGCAAAGTCAGACAGCAAGCAAAGAAAGAATATGAATATGTGGCACCAGTAACTAGTCAGTCGTGATGATACATTTAGCCTTTGCATTTTATGCTTGCTTGATGCCATCATAGAAACTTGTTAGCAATTTTAGCATTATGTATTTGTTACTGAGTTGCTTTCTGGGTGTTCATTGCCTTTTGGCCGCGGTTTCAGGCAAACAACCGCACGGGCCAGGCCGCACCTGACCAATGCGTTAAGTAATCCACCAGAGCCGTTGATTGGCGGCGAGGGCTTATCACTGCCGATGCTGATCATCTGCATGAAGTCAATCTCTCGTCCCGACATCATCTGTTCCTCTCTCAATAGTCTTCTATCTCACCACTACATCTTGATCCTTTTACTTGCTCTGCTGTTAACCTTTTGCTTGTGGTTTGTTACAGTATTGTTCCTGGCCTTTATTATTAGACTCTGGTCTCCCGATACCCATCCTTGTTGCAGTCGGCCGTGCCAGTGCCGCCCGCTCGTCAGTCACCGCATTCCCTGCCGACCCCACCCCGCCGTGTTCCACACCACCAGGCCACTTCATATCTCCTTCAAAGCACCCCTCCACCTTCAATCCGTCGCGCGGTCACCAGCTGCGTAATTTACTGGATTTAAACGTTTGGAGCTCCCCAATTTGTCACCTCGGCAAAATGAGCAGCCCAAAGCGAAGAATTGAGACAGATGTGAGGAATTTTTTAAAAACTACGGCTTTCAAAACTTGTGCTGACATCCAAGTCTTATTGCAGGTCATGAAGTTCGCCGATTCTTTAGCATCCTATGAGTCGTATCGTGCTAACTCGCCGGCTTAGGATGTAATGCTCCTTGCTTTGCTGTAACTGCAGCATACACGTCAATACTATGCTGGAGTCGATGCTTGGTATCTCGGAGTGCTAACTCTATATCATGATCTCAGGTTGATGAGTGATTATGAGGTTACGCTTGTTAATGATAATAGTGAGTAGCGAATAGCATTGCTAGTATTTGACCATGTTACTAACTTGAACCCACTTTTAGTGTATGTGATAATAACCTCTATGTCCCAAACTTAGCTTCCGATGCTGACGGCCGGCCACTTAACAGGCAGGAATTTTATGTCCGTTTCAAGGGCCCAGAAGAGAGTATGTTTTTTAAACAGGGTTTTGGTTTCATTACTAATATATTGCTGGCACAGCACCGTTTGCTGGAGGACTTTGGAAGGTTCATGTCGAGCTACCTGATCAGTATCCCTATAAGAGCCCGAGCATTGGCTTTGTGAATCGTATATATCATCCGAACATTGACGAATTGTAGGTTTTATGACCTGAATTAATGTCGACTAGCCTAGCGGCTGATGCGCTTTGCTTAGATCTGGTTCTGTCTGTCTCGATGTGATAAATCAAACCTGGTCTCCAATGTTTGACATGATCAATATATTCGAAGTCTTCCTACCGCAACTTTTACGTTACCCAAATCCGTCAGACCCTCTCAACGGAGATGCCGCCGCCATTTTGTTGCGAGACCCAAATAAATACGATTTAAAAGTTAGAGGTGTGCAACATTTGGTTAACTGTGCAGCCCAAATTTTTTCGGTATGCTAACCGAGATGATCTTAATTAGAATACGTTGCAAAATATGCAAGTAAAGATTCCGCCGACGACGCTGGCGAAGACTCGGGCGAGGACGATGAAATGAGCTCGGTGGGCAGCTATGAGTCTGGTGGCGAGGAACCAGCTGGGGAAATGGATGATGTTTAACCTGATATTCCTTCATCTTTTGTTTCCCCCCTTCTTTTATATCTATCTTTTTGGTGGAGGATTAATTTGAGATTTCCTGTTGAAGGAGCGGTGTTTATAGGTGTTGATCCCTTGTCTTAAACGTATAAACGGAACGCCCATGTCCTAGCAAGATGATATCCATGCATTTTTCAACGCCCCGGCGTTTTTTTTTTTTTTTTTTTTTTTTTTTTTTTTTTTTTTTTTTTTTTTTTTTTTTTTTTTTTTTT